ATATTAATAGTTCAAAATAAAACAGGAAGAGACAACACTCATTCAAAAATAATTGAACCAACACCTCAAAATATCAAGGAAACATAAAAAAAGAACAAAGTCAATGAACAACACGAGTAAACAGGAAAGTCTCAAGACTGCACACAGCCATACACACAAGACAATAAGTGGGACAAAGTTGTCAGTGTTTGTGAACAGCTTGCAAATAAATATTCATATAATCGAAAAACAAAAGGGCACAGATTACGTCTACATTTATACAAAAGTGATATTTAGTATTTTGCCTAGTATTTAATACAAGCTCTACTTATCATTATAATATCTAAACATAACAAATCATTGTGAAATTCTCACCTTGTTGTGGCTTGTTGTTCGCTAGTTTTTCAAGTAGTCATGCAAAACGACTGATCGCGAAGTCTATTTTCCGCGAGGATTGTTCTTGCAGTGCAGATCCAAACATACAAATTGGGAGGGGGTGGGAGGGGGGGGGGGGGGTAGCAGAAACCCCTTCTCCGCTGCTTTTCAGCAGGATTTCGGTAGTGAACCCAGGGGCGGATCTAGCTTTTTGCAAAGGGGGGGGGGGGTTGACCCAGTGGCGGATCCAGGATTTTCCAAGAGGGCAAGACGGGGAGGGGGGCCCCGAAATTTGAAAAAAGTGCCGACCAATATTTTGGGGTGGGGGGGGGGGGGGTAGAAAGCACTACAAAAAAATATATTTTGCCCCTGTCATTTTTCTTTTGGCCAGCCCAGGGTGGGGGGGGGGGTTAAATTCTCTAGATCCGCCCCTGAAACCGTTTACATGTACTTTTTAAAAAAAAGTATCTTAGGTGTTCTTATTTTTTTAAGTGCACTTTCTGGCCTTACGACCCCCGCCCTTTGAAAAATTTGTCCCCACCCCAAATCACCGCTTCCGCGATGGGCAATTAAGTGCATGCGTAATTGCTCCTCAAATATATGTTCTCATGCCCAAAGTAGGCCTACCCCTTTTCATTTGTGATAATTGCCTCTTTTCATTCATTTTCAATAACACTAAATGCACCTTTAACTTTTGACAAAATACAAGTTACTCGATCATCCCCCCCCCCCCCCCCCGCCTCTTTTTTTGGCCGCCGCCTCCTTTTGTTTACTATTTACTATTCAGGAAAAAGGGAAAAAGAAAAAGGAAAAAAAGGCTGTGGTGTACGTTTTGTATAAACAGCTTCTATAGCTAATTCAAGCTGAACACATGAACATTTTCACTGTTTCTGAATTTTGAAACTTGCTTTGATAGCAATGGACTAAAATGATACAAATCATTTGGTTTGTCATACATTGCATCAGTATACTAAAAAACTATTTATAGCACGATATCTGTGAATAAATATACCTTAAATTCGCCATCTTGGAAACGATAAATAGAATAATGCCCTGCCTCCTCCCTCCGTTTTTGATAAAGTCCTGACAAGAAACTCGTTATTTTTTTTTTATTTGGCCTATTAAAGAGTGCGCATACTTTTGATAATTAAATTTGTCGATTAAATTTCAAAAGAGAGCAAGAACGTTTAATAAACGGAACCTGATAACTGTTACTATACCACCAACATGCAAGGCGGAAAGTACTAGTAGGCCTACTCACTCTTCACAGAAGTTGTATAAAGTGCCTTTTCTAAAGTATAATAGTGCACCATCACTTTTCCTAGAATTAAGAGCCAATATAATATTACCCTGATTACAGCTCTGAGGCTTTTTGTTGACTCTTTTATTTGTTATTAATTGTGCATTGACTATTTTTTTTGTACAGACATCAAAGTTGTACGGATTTAAAAGCAAGACGTGTACTTTGTTTTGCTCTTATTCAATGTTTATTTGACTATGTTAATCCTGCATTGTATAGTAACATAAACAGGTCAGATCAAAAGAAGTTGAAAATTATACAGAAAAAATGGTGAGATTCATCAACTGTTCTCAGTGGTCCAAGAACTCATGTTGGCTACAGCGAATTTCTAAAGCTGTTTTTTTTTTTAAAGTCAACCTAAGATCAAAACAACTCGTATATTACATCACGTGCATAAAATATGTCATATTCGGTCGAATCATTATATTCGATCCAACTTCGATCTTATACAGTAGGCTTGCGGGTGCACCATGTGAGAGAGAGGGAGGATTGAGGAGTCCTGAAAAGGACTCTCGGTAATCTTTCTTGAGGGTTAGTCCTGAAAAGGACTCCTGACGACGGATAGTCAACCTGTTCGAAACTTCGAGCCATTCCCGCCACCCATCCTCTCCAAGCGCTATATAGTTCTTCTTAGAACTATAAGCTAAGAAATATAACCAACAGTCTTTTTTCAAGACTACACCAACAGTCCTTTTCAGGACTACACACCCTCAAGAAAGATTACCGAGAGTCCTTTTCAGGACTCCTCAATCCTCCCTCTCTCTCTCACATGGTGCATCCGCAAACCTTATTCTACATCACCATGCAAGCCGATCTGACTTCGATCTTGTTACTGCACAAGAAATAGCTGATTTAACTTTAACTTACCAGAAATAGTAGGTCGTATATTGGTAATTCGTTTTATTACAATGGCATAAAACATTGGAATTCCCTTTCTAATGATATAAAGGAAATAGAAAACTTTGCTCATGAGATTCAGAGAAGAAAAGCGAATGACATTGTTATATGATTGACATTTTTATTCTTCTACCGGTTCATTTTGCCCCCTTTTGTATATACTTATGTTTTTGTACGTTATAAAAATTCTACATATTCATCATTAGTTTCCTCTTCCTTCTCTCCTCCTCCTCCTTTTCTTATTCTCCTTCTTCTTTTCTTCTTGTACCTATTATCATTTCTATCATCAGTCTGCTGTTTTTAATATTATTATCATCATTATCATCTTTAATAAGTTTTTTCCTTATCGGTTAATAATGTACATGTCTGTCGGGGACCCCACTGGAAATAAGCTCTCGAGCTTTCGTGGGTTATCCTGTTCAAGCTGACTTAATTTTGATCTCTTATTCTTGTATGTTGGAAGCTTGGCGAATAAAAATCAATCAATCAATCTATTTGACTTTGTTATATTTGTATACGGGGTGCTCAAATATATAGAAGAAAATTAGAAGGAAATGAAATAAATTACTACATCTGGTTCTTTATAGAACGATTAGCTCCTGGACAATCACCCCCGGCCAATTACCAGCGGAACAATTACCTCCCCCCCCCCCCGAGGACAACCATCCCCAGGACAATTACCCTCCCCCCCCCCCTGCCTGAAAATTGCCCCCTTTGATAATCCCCCCCCCCCGGACAATTACCCCACGAAAAAAAATCTGATTTTATAGCAAAACCAACCTATTATCGTGTGGACAGCTAAATAGGCGGATATTTTTTTTCGGGGGCATATTCATCGGGGTGGTTGTCCTGAGGGGTAATTTTCCGGGGGTAATTTTCAGGGGTGGGGGCAATTGTGGGGGTAATTTTCCGGTGGGTAAATGTCCTCGGGGGTGTTTGTCCGGAGGGGTAATTTTCCGGGGGTAATTTTCCGGTGGGGTGATTGTTCAGGAGGTAATTGTCCTCAATACGACTATCCTCCTATTAGTCCTATTAAAGATATCGAGCGCTAGCTACTTTACTGCTGACATGCAGGGGCATCTTCAGTTAGGCCAATCTGTAAATGCTTAGTTATCTATAAGGGGCCATGCCTTTACTTTTACCAAATTCGGGAGTGACTTTTCAAATAGGAAGCTTGATCTAATTTGATTTGATTTGATCTGTCAAGCTCAAATATATATCTATAATCACTACATATCTTCAAAAGTCTCAATTCGCCATAGTCTATTCACCGCTTAATTATGTGGCTATAATGCAATACCGTAATTTTGCTTACCCTCCCTTTTGGGCCCCCAATTTTAAAATCCCTCCACCTCCCCTTCGAATAGCCCTACTAGTAAGGACATAATATGATGGAACTGTACGAAATTGAAAAAAATATTCTAGAAAGTTAGGATTTTTAGCAATAAGGGTTTTATACAGCTTAGGTGGAAGTTTTTTTTCTTTCTGGGGTATTTTAGGGCTAACACGTTAGTAACAGGAGGCCAACTTTTCCTTGATTCCAAATTTGGAAAAGGTGGCGTCATAGGCCTATATAGGGGTTTTAAGTTGGAGAGGGATGGTACGTGTGCCCCGGCCGGCCCCTCCCCCAAAATAGAGTCAGCATGTGCACTCCAGCCCGCTGTGCTGTATCGTTTACGGCCGGGCGTATGTGGACGAGGGTGTTGGGAGTATGTTTATCGGGGGGGGGGGGGGGGGAATAGACAACAAAAAATAGACAAAAAAGTACTATATTCTTTGATCATATAATATGCAAATATTTTCTAAACAGTTTATGAAAATGTACTTTTTGTTTTTCTTTTATTGTTGCAATTTATGTTTGAGCCAAAATATCAATGTAAGTGCATCCAGTTTAGTTATGAAGAATATACAAATTTGTTTAATATGAATGATTTGTACAATATGTATTTGATTTTAGAGAAAATAATAACAAATGTTTTTTTTTTAATCCAGGATTCTGTAAAAGCATGCCCATCAGGGGCCACAATTCTGATCCTGAAAAAGAAGATGCCATATATGGGGTTTAAATTGTAAGATGAACAACAACAACAACAACAACAACAACAACAACAACAAACAACAACAACAAACAACAATAACAACAAACACACGCGGCCTGTTCCCTATCCCTTCACGAATCGAAAATGATATAGCAGCCTACGTTCAATAAGATAACAATAATTGCATGTTACGTGCACTTAATGTGATACAAATGCGTTTAAATTTAATATTTTTACAAAAATTATAATTAAATTAATATTTAAACATAATTACAAATATTTTCGTAATGTATAAATAACATTTGATAATGTTTATTACAAAAATATATGCTTTGGAAAACATACATCCGATCGAGTACGATCAATTTGCCATGACACTTATGACGTCATACACAAGCCAGAACTAGCAAAATAACTCAAAACTGGCACAGTGGTGATAAACAGATCGCCGTAAAACATAACAAAATAATGAATAATTTATGTTGAATTCCAAAACTGTGGGAGGCACTACATACGTTTGATGTGACTGTAACTGTTCATCAAGGACTTTGTTGAATGAACTGGAATTGGAAAAAGAAGGAACAAAATAGTGGCGAGTTAGTACGGCCGAAGTCGAAGAAGAGCTCACTGCTCGGCACAGAGTCGGAACGGTACGGCGTGTCGCGGTACGGTGTCTGTCGGTGAGTTTTACTGCACTCCTTGGCTCATCCTCTGATCTTCCATGCATGGCATGGGCCTGGCATTGTTGAGGGTTTGTAATTTGTAAGGCCAAAAGAATGACACAGCATAGCCCAGATCTATGCCATTTAACTAAGCATGGGAATTCAGGAGTGAAGGCAGATTATGACGAAGAAGAAGTAGACTAGACACTAGTCTACTGGTCTACCAATAATCAACAATTAAAATTAATAATACTTCCTCGACACGAAGAACTTTGCGCATGCCATTGAATGATTGATTGAGCGCTGTAGCCTAGTACATTGTAGATCTACAGTGAATTTTTAGATGATTTGTCATGTAGGCCTATAGTCAATGATAGTAGTAGGTCTATTGACAATATAATAGTAATACACTGTAGACCCTATTGTAGACCTAGACTAGTTGATACATATCTTTTTGAATGATTCGTGAATATTTTCTTACAAAAATTGTTCTAGCGTCTGGATAACCAACCTGTCCAGACACAAATGTGGGTAAAGACTGTTAGTGTTATAGTTTAGACGCTGGTAGAGATACGTTTAATAAAACCATGTCGATAACCAACCTGTTGCTCTTGAATATTATGCAGTATACAAAGTCTGAGAAGTCTGAGGACGATGTACATATTTGTATGTCTAATTTTAATTTTCAAACATGAATCTTTTCTTTATTTTTTCCAGACTGGCTTGGTGGCCTGCAAAAATGGCTCAGCAGTGAGGGATAGAATAAGAAATTATGACAACCAGAGATCTCAGAAAATCTCTTAAAGAGGAGAGCGGAGGTGATGCTCTCCCTCTGCTTGCTCCATCATCCATCGCTGAGGAACGTGCATTTCAAGAGCTGAGACGGAAACAGGAGGCTCGCCGTATCGAGGCAACCCGGACCGAGGGCGATGTTATTCTGGCAGAACGAGGCTATGGGGATGACGAGGATGTAGAGAATCTACTGAGGTTGTCGGCAAAAGAGAAGCGCAAGACAGCCTTGGTGTTCCATGATGCGCTCTTCTTGGTCTTGGACTACCTTCAGTTCTATGCCGTAGTCTTGGCTATTGCTTTGCGGTGGCCATGGCCGTATGCTTGGATGCAGTACACCAGGTTCATCCTCTTTGCAAACCTAGACATCTGGGAATTCATAAAGCTGAATACACCCACCATCTATGAATCCACAGTTAATCGGTTCATACCCAGCTCCCTGCTCCCATTTGATTATCGCTTCTTGTTACTGGCATGGGGTGTTTTCATCTTCCTTTTCATCTCCATCTTTATTTTTATCTACCTGAGCATGTATTATCAGAGGAAGTTCAATCTACTGCTGCAGGTTGCCAGGTTCAAGCGCACTTACCTCTTCCTTGCTCAAGTTCTTGTGATGCCAGTTGGAGTTGCCTTGGGGAAGGTGTTCCATTGCAACGCAGAGAACAATATGGATGTCCACAACGAAACACCTTGCGGGAGTGGAGAGCACATTGCATACATGGCAGTGTCGTTGGCCATCTTCTTTGGGCTGTTCATTTTGCTGCCTGCTTGGATGATCGTGAAGGTCAAGTCTCAGATCTTCAATCTCAAGAAGGATAGCCACGAGTCTCATCTCCAGCTCAAGGAAGCAGAGTACGCACACTCCCTGGACCTCATCTGGGCTCTGAAACACTACCACATGTTTTCATCCTTCAAGCTCTTCTGGACATATTACTACCCTATCATACATTTTCTCAAGTTCATCTTCATCATCGCATATTCTGCTATGTTGTGGTTACCCTCCTGGCAGATGTTAGTCTTCGTTATCCCTGTCCTCCTGTTATTTGCTATCATCATCTTCAAGTGGCCTTTTCGAGTGACCAGCTTCAACTTTCAGCTGGCTATTAACCTCCTCTGCATGTTGGTCATGTCCTTCATGGGTCTCATGCAGAATATGGACGGAGTCGACTCTGTGTTCTTCACCGTATCCTATCTCTATCTTGAACTCCTCGTCATCAACGTATGTTGGCTTGGCATGACTGTCCTTTGGCTCATCTACATCGTTCTCCGCTACTACGGCTGCCTCTGCAGATCGAAACCCTTCTGGCCGCAGCTCACCAGCAACAGCCTGGACAGCCTGGAGGAGAACACCCAGAAGTACATGCGAGCCATCCTGTGTGGACGCATCGTCCTGGAGCAGGCACTCGCCTGTCCTCCACTCTTCAGTCCCGCCCATGAGGTCGCCAGACAGATCCAGATAATCAACGCTTACTGCAGGGAAGCAGAGCTCCTGCAGGACCCCATCCATGACACCCTCTGGGATCTCCTGGATGAACTCATCGAGGCTCACAGTCGCATCTCCCAGACGTCACTCTTTGCAGCGTCAGTCAAGGCATCCATCAAGGAAACTGCACAGGAGTTCATGAAGATCCTACCAGAGTTCAAGAGGAGACTGGCGCAAAGGGAGTACGACTTCTCCCTCATGACATCCAAGAAGCGACGCATGCTGCTCAAAATGTATACCATAGGTCAGTATACTTAATAATATTGAAAAGATTGATTAACTTTTAGTCAATGTACTGCCTTTTTGTTGAAATTTGAGTTAGATGTCCAATTTCCCAAAGGTTTTAATGAAGCACAAGGGAAAATGGTGAATCTAATTAGGCCTCCACATTATATCCTGGTGCATAAAATACAGAGAAAACCCATTTTTTGGTAAAAACCAAGGTACATTATCTTTCTAATTTCCCACAAAAATACTTGAAATCCGATATCATTTTTTTTTCCAGAATAAAATCAGACACTCTTCATGGTTATACCGTACCTGTAATTCAAGTCAAAGCTTTATTTATAATCGATGATGGAATCGTACCAAAGTAAGCCAGATCCCTACTTTTACTGGAGAAACATTCATGTTTTCATGAACTTTGCAAGTTTTTCACATAATCTGTGACAGTTTCACATTCCTAAATAAATGAATCGCAACTGACATATTTTTTGTAAAGTGAACGTTGCTGCAAATATGGCCGTTTAGAATTCACTTAAGAGTCATGCTGCATTTTCATTTGTTACCCTCCAGGAGTGTTTGTGAATGGAAGAGGGTCAAAATCGAAACCAGCTGCTACTATAGAGGCCATGGAGAAGCTCTATAACCCCCAGGTGTCTGTTGTTCTCAAGCACAGAGGGGTGGAAGGTAGGTGGCAATGATGGCAATGATGATGATAATATGTTCTTAAAGCCCCACTGCACTACTTATAGCTACTTGGGCCCTCTATATAGTAAACAATGCCGAGGCGGTGACCATTGTTCCCCCATGGTCCCCTTTTTCTTATGTTAATTGAGAGCTTATTTGATGAGATAACCACCTGTCAGTGACCATGCAGAGAGGTCTAATCCCTCCTGGCCAAACTAGTGCAGATATTGTATGCTTAATCGTATTGCACAAACATTGGAGAAAATGGTGAGAATTCGTTAAGTATCACCCGGCGTAAGATGGACGCTGTTATGAAGTAAAATCAACTTTTCACCAAAATTACCCTAAACAGTATTCCATCAATTGCTGTCAAATATCTGTAGATATGTACTATTTTGTGTGGTGTACTGTTTTGCAAGATGAGTCTCAACCGATCATGCAATGAACGCTTTGTTTTCTCTGTATTAATTCTCTTGACCGTTAGGTGATGATGGGCATTACACGACCGAGTACGATGACAAGCACTTATCCTCTGGCCCAGCAGCCTACAGGTTCAAGCAACGGCAGGCTCCGGCTATCATTATGGAGGAGAAGGAGGACGATGAGGAAGAAGATGAAGGATTGCTACCGATCTGGTTGAGACCACAATCATCTGCATCGGTAATATTAAACATCTTCTTTTCTTTTTCATGCATGAGGAGAGTGTAAAATGAACAAGGTCGTATTTTTTGTTTGTTATTTCATCCTTTGATAATAGCATGCTGCAAACTATGAAACAAGCAAGAGTAGAAAGTATCATTTTGTTGTTTGAGAAGGCTAAAGATAATTCACAAATGCGGCTACATCTGCTAAAAAAATGTAATATCTTTAAAAATATCTCTTAATCTTCATAAATTCATTTTTTTCTCTTCATCTTGATCATAAGCTCTGGCATAGGGATTAAACCCGAATATGAAGTCTGAACATAACTACCTTGGAAATGCCCACATAATATTATACAGTTTTAATTCAGCATGTTCTGTATTATGCAAAACAATTGTAACCATTACCGGTATTCAGATTGTCCTCAAACATTTATTTATGTCCACGCTGCTTCTATGGATGAGAGTTTGTACAGTGGATCTTTGAATAATAATAATAATAATTACATTGTTTTCTGTTTTCAACAGGTTATGTCTGGTATATCATCAATGAATGACGATGATGACCTTGCAGCATTAATGTATGGCATTCCCAGTCGTATAGGTACCGCTGCATCTATGGCGGCCTACAGATCACAGAGGTATGCATGATATGAATGACCAGGCAATCCTGGGCCCCGTCTTACAAATCAATCGCAACTTTTTTGCGATTTATATCAATCGCAACTATGTACATAAGAGATAGGAGACTAACTCTTTGTAAGATAGGGCCCAGGAAATTGGTTGATACAGCTAATTAAATCAAAGTTATAGTTGAGTGCTAGAAGTGAGCACCACTGTTGTGGACAAAGCCTCTTTCAAACAATTATTTAACCAAATTTATCGTCATCTCCTCTTATAGTGTCTCCTCTTAGTGGAAAAGGAAATATTAATTGATATTAATTATACAGACAAGAACTTGAATGGAATGAACCATACCTTCATACATTCAGTACTAGCCATTGTGTATTAATTAGCCTTGTCAGTGTTATGAGTCTAAGCTTTGGAAGATCAAGCAAATTCTGTAAAAGTCAACATGGCTTTCACATTTGATACGTGTTATGCGTAGCAGTAATGAGTTAAAAACAGTGATATTGTGTGTGTGTGTGTGTGTGTGTGTGTTGATTTTTAACATCAATGGTACTATGGTAGAACCTTTGAGAACAAAATACAGTACTTAATATGCAATTATTGCCAAGCAAAGCAGAATTACAATAAATATTTTTGAAAAAGACACTTTTTATATTGGCCTCATACATGTACATACCTGCCAACCAGTACGATTTAGTCGTATTTAGTATGATTTTTAGAAGCAAATACGACAGTACGATATTCCTTAAAAAAATGGCGTGAGGACAACACCTTGGCCTGGGGGAGGATTTTATCCCTAGGTATCGGGCGACGGCTGAGGGCACATCGGGGGAAAAGGGGTGGCCGTGACGGATTCGAAGACCATCTTAAATTATGTACTATCAATGCACGCTCCCTTCGAAATAAATCCACAATTTTTAATGACTTTGTTAAGGATAACAAATGTGATATCGCTGCTATCAGTGAGACATGGCTGTCTGCATCTGATGATGCAGTCATAGCTGACCTCACTCCCCCTGGTTTTGCATTTCTGCACCACCCCAGAGCCTCCAGGCGTGGAGGTGGTGTCGGGCTCCTGTACAGGGACAATCTCTCTGTACATATTAACCAATTAGTTAACTATACAAGTTTTGAATCTATGTCAGCCGTGGTCTCCAATGGCATGACTAGTCTTGAGATCTTAGTCATGTTTAGACCACCAGGTTATCAATCTTTTACATTGTTTATTAATGAATTCTCAGATCTGTTGGATGAGAAATTGTATAAATTATCTCCTCTGGTCATCACAGGAGATCTTAATATACATTTAGACAATCTCTCATCCCAACACACCCAAAGGTTCAATGATCTTGTCGACGGGCATGGACTCTGCCAGTTGGTGACTACGCCTACGCACGACCATGGCCATATCCTTGATGTCATTCTGGTCAGGAACTCCGATAGACTGTTGTACTCTCGCCTACAAGTAATACCCGGTATCTCTGATCATTCTGCTGTTACCTGTTTGCTACGTTTCGACAAGCCCCAGCGGAAAAATGCAACTTTTTCCTCTCGTAATATCAAGGGCATCAACAGGACTGATTTCGCCAACGATGTTACTAACAGTAGCATCATGTCTTCAGCAACAGAGAGCGTCGATGCTGCCGTTATCCGCTACAACTCAGAACTCTGCAGGTTACTGAACTCCCATGCTCCAGCCAAGACTCGGAAAGTAAGAGCTCATCAAGACAGTCCTTGGTATAACCATGACATCACCGAAGCGAAGAAAGAGCGGCGGAGACTTGAGAGGAAATGGCGGGACAATGGAAAGCTCCAGATTGACCGAGAGATGTTTTGTGCTCAGAGAGACCGGGTGAGCTACCTTGTCTCCAAGGCGAAACGTTCATACCACACCAGACTCATCGAGGACTGCGGCGATGATCACAAGAAACTCTACAATGTCGCCAATCGACTCTTGAACCGAAAACAGTCTTCTCCATTGCCGTCATATGTTGATGGCAATTCCATGGCTGAAACGTTTATTCAATTCTTCTGTTTAAAAGTTAAAAAAATCCGAGATAGTCTTAATCCAAATGTTTTACCACTGGAACCTGTCACCTCTTCCACACTAAGGACCTTTCAACATACCACCGCAGATGAAATTCTTTCCCTTCTTCGTAAATTGCCCCCTAAATCTTGTCCATTAGATCCAGTTCCTACCATTCTTTTAAAAGATTGCGCTCCGATATTTGCCCCGATTATATCTCACATTGTTAATCTTAGTATGAATCAAGCCACTGTACCCTCAGTCTTAAAAACAGCACTTATACGCCCTTTGTTGAAGAAACCCTCTTTGGACAATGAATCCCTGAAAAATTACCGTCCTGTGTGTAATCTGCCATTTTTGTTCAAAATTCTAGAGAGAGTCGTGTTCTCTAGACTCTCAGATTATTTGCTGGAACACAATTTATTTGACCCTTTACAGTCGGCTTACCGCCCTCATCATAGTGTTGAGACCCTTCTCATCAATGTTTCAAGCTCAATCTTACGAGAAATGGACTCCGGATCCGTCACTGCCATGGTCCTTTTAGATCTGTCCTCAGCCTTCGACACCGTAGACCACAAAATACTTGTAAATACTCTAACAAGTCTGGGTATCCAGGACCAGGCTCTTGAATGGTTTGAATCCTATCTTTCATGCCATTCACAGTCTGTCCTTTTAAATGGTTTCACATCCTCCCCCAGGCCACTTGGCTGTGGAGTACCCCAAGGCTCTGTGGGCGGGCCCACCTTATTTTCAATATATTTAACCGGTCTCAGAAATGTTTTTCAACGTCATTCTGTTCGTTATCATTTATATGCAGATGACATACAAGTTTTTGTTTCTTTTCCGCCGCATCAAATTCGAGCTTCCCAAACCTTGCAAAATTTGGAAAATTGCATCGCTGATATTGACGCCTGGATGAAGTCACATTCTCTGCTATTAAATCATAGTAAATGCGAATTCATTCTTTTCGGCTCAAAATCTCAGTTGAATAAATTAAATATAGACTCAATTTCTATTTCCGGTAACACCATTCCCTTATCAAATTCATGTCGCGATCTTGGCGTCATTCTTGATTCTCAAATGTCTATGTCTAAACAAATCACAAGCATTTCCAGATCAGTTCGCTATCAATTGCGCAATATTGGCTTCATACGGAAATATCTGACTCGTTCGGCAACAGAGAAACTTGTTCACTCACTTATTTCTTCACGTTTGGATTTCGGCAACAGTTTACTCTATAATTTACCAAATTCTCAAATTGCACAGTTACAAAAAACTACAAAACGCAGCTGCACGCATCATTTCTCTGTCAAGCAAACATAGTCACATTACACCTATCTTACAAAATCTCCATTGGTTGCCTGTAAAAGAACGTATAATTTTCAAAATCCTCCTTTTAGTTCATCAAATCATGAACAGAACAGCTCCTGAATACAACCAGTCTTTAGTTCACCTCTACCAACCCACACGTACCCTCCGATCTTCCAACTCTGGTCTTCTACACATACCGCTTTCAAAGAAATCTTGGGGGGAACGAGCTTTTGCTCATGCCGGACCAGCCCTGTGGAATTCACTTCCACAGGAGCTGAAGAACTCCGACTCTTCAACATCTTTTAAGAGCAACCTTAAATCCCATTTGTTTAATTTTGCGTTTTGAAGACAGACATTCATTCTTTCATTCTTTCATTTTTGCATTTTCTTTCTTATGTAAATGTACACGATTCTTTGTCATGATGTAATGTGTTCCCTTATATTTTGAAGCGCCTTGAGCATTTAATCAAAATGGATAATGGCGCTATATAAATCTCATGTATTATTATTATTATTATTATTAATAAAATATGATTTTAATTTTTTTAAATTTAAAATTGTAAAATAATTTTTTAACTTTTTGTTGAAGTTAATATTTTGTGTGTGCGTCCGCCATTTTCAATGGCAAAATGTCTGTTCTGTCCTGTAAAGTATCCTACAAGCATCTCACATCTGCAATTTGGGGATGTTCATTGGTTCATCGAACATACCAGTCATGACGAAATCATGCATATTCAACCAATGATCAACAAAAAAATTTTTTTCCTGTAGGTAGAAACCCTATGAGGCATTGATCCGCGTAACAACCCATGTTTATTTCAAGAATACAACTTTTGTCAGTAAAATACCACTTTTGGGACTAAAGAATACAGTTTTTGAACTTCAGAGGTTGGCAGGTCTGCATGCACATACCAGTACATATAATGTGCACACATGACAAACTTTGTGGAGCCAAGGTTAATCAAACTATTTTGTTGCACATGTCTAATGGGGCGTTGCAAGAAAGTTGCGATTGATTGCAAGTTGCAAAATTTGCAACTGATATTTGCAATCGATTGCAAATCAACTTTGTCTCCTAAGTTCCCTAGGATTTTGTTAAGGATTAAAGTTTTAACAATTAAATTAAGTTAACTACATCTATCTTTTGTCCCCCCCCCCCCCTCTCCCTCTCTCTCTCTCTCTCTCTCTTACTAATGGGGCGTTGCAAGAAAGTTGAGTTGTGATCAATTGCAAATTTGCAATTAATCGCAAGACTTAATTACGCTTGATTTGGGGGATATGCAATTGATTGCAACTTTCTTAATTATTATAGTTTAAATTCATATTGATTTATTCTTTGCCTCGACAGTTCCGGCTCTGTGCAGGGCAAGCCCTCGAGGGATGGTTCCTCGGCATCTCTTTCCCGGCCACGCTCGTCATCCTCAACCTCTCCTCACTCTTCCCGAGACTCCCTGCTCCCGACCCGCCTTGACACCAACTTCCAAGACATCCCTGAAGAGCTCTAAAGCAGAGATGTGTTGATTGGCAGCATTGTGATAGAGAATGGAAAGATGGGGATAGTTTGAGTATATTTGCGAGTTCAGGCCTGGGCCCTATTTCACAAAACTTGTCATCAGTGACAATTAAATGACAGGTTTTGTTATAAGCTAGTGAAATCCTTGCTTTTGATTGGTTATCAGCAGATTTGTCACTGATTTTTTTTTTCATTTGTCATTGAAAAAATGCTTTGTCAAATAGGTCCCTGTTGTGATCAGGGTTCTCACTATCATGGGGGATATCTTTAGAATTCAAATTTCAGATTTATTTAAAAATTCCCTAGAAAAAGTTACATATACATAGATGCATGAACTTATAAAACATATTAATACAAGTAGAAATTTCCAACATATATGTACAATTAACTCTGCATAAGTCAAATCTGTGGGGACTCCACAAAATAGTTAGACTTATAATGCAAAATTCAACTTACAAAGTTTAAATAACATGTTTTGCATAGTTTGGTTAAAAAAATTGATTCAACCAAGGGAAAATTTGACTTGTGCGACCTCGAGAGATGCAGAGTTAACTGTATATACAAAGGAATAGGCATAGAAATCGAATTGAGAGTCCTTGTTCATTGCAAAAGAACCTCTATGGTTCTGTCAAGGCAACAACCCTTTGGTCAAAAATTCCAAAGGCAAATCCTCCCCTGAGGAGGCTACCGACTTCAGACTTTTTAATGTAAATATCTTGTTCTACTTTCAGCCTGTGTGGCGGAAAGACCAATTTGCATACATGTATTTTGAGATAAAAACACCCCCAGAAATTAAGTAGAAAACTTGCAGTGAGAATTCCACACATGGAGATGATTTGATTCTGTTGGTCACAAAACAAAAGAAACAAAAGAAACAAAAGAGACTAAACAAAATGCATTATATTCAAATTAATGGACTTCACAGTCCTGGCTAAGAACTTATTACTAACTATCAAGGTGGCAATACCATCACACTTCACGGACAACTCATTGTCTTTATTTCAGCATCAGTTTGTTTAAAGACAGAATTGAACTTTAGTAGAAATATGTAGTATATGTGTATAAAGCATAATTTCTTTTTCACTAAATCTCACTTGTATCTTGAATGACATGTAATATACATGTATTTATAAATGTGTGCTGTGTCTAGTAGCAGAATTTTTGTTTTATTTTTACCAGTAGATACATTGTATATCACTCCAATTAAGCTTAGTATTTGTAGATCAATGAAAGAAAGTAAGTGAATTTCTTCATCATTCTATTAATTAGTCTTTCAAAATTGTAATGATTTTATATACATGTATATATCTGAAATTTTATTATCACACTTTTTGTTGGCGTATCATTTGTACAAGTTTGTAAATCAATAAAAAAAGCGAGTGAATATCTTTAATATTCTATTAATCAGTCTTTCAAAATTATAATTATTTGTAAATATATCTGAAATTTTATTACCACATTTTATAATGCAGAATTGTTGAGCTTACATGTATATTTTGATATCAGAATCTGTTGCTTGTCTTTCATCTGTAAACGTCTTTTATTCTGAAAATAATTGTTTACAGATTCATGTCATTGAGAAATTACGCATTTTATATTTTCACATTTGTATCTGTATCAGGAAACTCAATATCCACCTTGATTGAAAATGTAATATTTCACATACATGTACATAGCATCTCGTGTGAAGCTGTTCTACAAAAGAAAACTTAAAACCATTCTTAAATATGTAGCATAAATCTTGATTAGATCTCCAAAAAGACTGGTTCATTCCAAATGATAATCTAGGAATTGTGGGATGGTTTAAAACAAGTACCATAAATCATGATTTAGATCTCCCCAAAAGACCAGTCCATTCAAGATCATTTTGTCTAGGAATCATGGGATGGTATTTTGACAAACTAATTGTTAATGCACAAAGTTGAGGGGAGGGGGGGGGGGGGGTGCTCTTTTAGTTTGTCCCAACTATGGGCTTGTTGAAATATGATTAAAATAAATGTAAATATTCCAGTCGTGATCCAATTTTTTTAACGATCTTGGCACATCGGCACAAAGGCTGTTAGGTCTGGGGCACCGTTTCATGAAACTTGTTAACAAATGTGCTTTCAGACAATCAAATGCAACTTTTTCCTGATAAGAAGTTTTATGAAATGGGGGCCCAGGACTGTCAGGATAACATCACTGCCTTTGAATTACCGTTAGCAAAATACTATTTTAAAGATGTACATGTACCACAATACATGAAGTGGTTCTGTGATCATACTCCCATTTGTTAATAGTACTGCATACATCAGAGTCCGAGGCCGTATGAGAATACTTACATAGCATGTTATGTAGATATGTTTTATATATGTTGGTTGTAACAGAATGTTTGTGAACTTCTTGTGTGTATTCAAATACTAGTATTCCGTCCATCTCATTTGTAAACAAATCATGATCAATGATAATAAACACTAATTTTTCCATATTTCATCACAAAAAATGAAGTCTCTGTGTATGTTTGTATTCAGTGTACCTGGATATGATATATCTACCTGCCCTCTGATACATTCACTTCTAATTTTTCTCCTCTCTCTCTCTCTCTATCTGGGGACAATAAACAGTGAACTTAGAAAAGTACTAGGACAATACATGTAGATCTCTCTTTTCTCATCTTTGTTTTATTTTTTTTCCTCCCCCTCTCTTTTCTTTTGTATCCCCCCCTCTCTCTCTCCTTTTGTATCCCTGTGTCTCTCTCTCACTTCCTGTATCCCCCCTTTCTCACTCTTTATTTCCCTGTATCCCCCTATCTCTCCCTCCTCTGTATCCTTGTATCTCCCTGTGTATATCCATGTATCCCCCTCACTGTATCCCCCCTCTCTCTCTATCTCTCCCTCCCTATCTCCCTGTATCCCCCTCTCTCCCTCTGTTCCCCCTCTCTCTCCTAATCTTTTTTCTTTTCCTTTTCTTCTTTCCATTTTTTCATTATGCAGTGTCGTCTTTTTCATTCATGCAAGTGTCGTCTTTTTCCTGCTCACCACCATCCAACTTTACAATTGGTACAATAGTAAAAAAAAAAAATGAAACCAATAAACAGCAACAATACACTTTGCAGTTGATTGATAAAGCACTTTGTTTATCATATCTTCAACGAATAACACATTCATTGTGCATGGTCAGCCATACAAGTACAATAAATATATAATTTCTCTTTACATATTTTGAGTTATGTAGATCTTACAGCAGTATACTGTTTATATTAAGTATGCGTTAGAGTTTAACATATTTTTGTTGTTTTGTACTTTTATGACATGAGTACAATGTCTAATTATAATTATTTTTGAGGAAAAAACATACTTTAAAAACATACGTTTTAATCTGTAAAATTGATAACTATGGAAAGAATATAGCACCTTCACTTTTCACATCTAAAAACATTTATAAGCCAATGCTGATTTCCCAACAAGACATTCATAAATCTATTACAATATGGTACTTAAAAGGGAGAGGCAGAGATGCCAACCTTCATCAACAACAAAAAAGCATTCTTCAGAGGAAAAACAGTATTAAAAACAAACAAACGGTGTTTTTGAAAAAATCTCCCACCTTAACATATTGCCCAATCGATATACGGAGCATATAGTATACGTGGGTTGTTCGCAACATGTGCAGTTTGGGGCCCAGAATCATTGTCCTGAGTGCATTGTTTGAAACATAGGTGCATAATACACATACGACACAAAGCCCATGATCAGAAATTGAGAAAAACTTCAGTAAAAAAAAAAAAGGAACAAAACATACAAAAAACGTACAGCAGTATTCATAGCAAAAAAACTGAACAAATACGGCAAAAACAGAACAGTTGGCATATCTGGAGAGGGTCATCCATTTCCACATGCAGGTCATTGGAGAGATAGCAATAGCCTTCCTGAGAAACTAAGTCATATACTGTGAAATTGTAGCATGCCAAGTTGCCAACCTACGTTAATAGAATCAGGACACCAGACTTTGTGGAAATACCATTAATGAGGGTACAAGTCTGCACACAGCAAACCCGTAGTCCCATCAAGATATACCCCCTATTCTCTCAGAGAGTCTTCAGTGAGGGAATTGTAAGATAATGAATGTTCCATTTAGGGCGATTGGTTGAAAACACAGAGCATTATATAAAGCCTGTTGGTCATAAAACTGAAGGCTATTACTGGTGATTGACAACACCTGTTATTAGGTACACACTCCAGTGGTGTCAAATTCCCCATGAATGCCCACGACTACATTGTATGCGTCTCTAAAGCGCTATACCCATGCAAAATATCACAATTATCGTTGTTATCTATCGCTGAGAAATTAAATAGTATGAACCTAAAACAACAGCCTCTATCATCTCTTGCCCTTTCCTTTGCCCTTGGCAGTCTGTTCTAGCCCATCAATATACCTCCTGGGTATCTTGTAGTGACCTGTAAAAAAAACACAATTGAAGAGATACAAAAAATGTATTAATGATACAAAATATACAAATAATTACCACATTCACACTATGCTCATACTTATTCCAGGGAATGTGCAAGATGTCCACAAAATCCTTTCATTAATACTCTGAGTTTAGCCAGCTGCCCTGGGAGACGAAGCTTTCAATGGATAACTTCCTATTAAAGCCCCACTGTACTACTTATAGCTTCTAGCGCCCTCTATATAACAAACAATGCATAATCGGTGCCTGTTGGTCCCCCATGATCCTCTTTTTCTTATGTTAATTCAGAGCTGATTTGTTGAGATAACCACCTGTCCAGTGACCTTGCAGGGTGGTATAATCCCTCCTGTACACTGGTACAGAAGGGCTTTAAAAGAGGAACCCATTTCCTACACCCAGGTGGAGAGTGACAAACTTAGATTAATGTCTTGCCAAAGGGCATTAAGTGCTGCTGCAGGACCCAAACCACAAACCATGTGATGCTATGTGACTTGTTCACCAGCGTATCAGGAAAAGAACTCTAACTAGATGGAATTTGACTGCGCGCAGTCGAAAATGATGCCTCCGTCATAGAGCAATTTTACAAACCAAAACAGAAGACATTTTTCGAATTCAAGTTCAATTGTAATCCATTAACAGGTTCTCAGAATATCGTGATTACAAGCAATTTCTCATATACATATATGACCCTTTGATCTTTGACCTCATGACCCTAAAATCTACTCAGTTCATTGGCTCTGCAAGATGTCCTGAGTTAAATAGTAATCCATCTGTCAGTTCTAATGAGAATGTGTTCACAAGCTATTTTTGAATACATAATGAGCCCATGACCTTTGACCTTTGATCTTATGAACCAAAAATCTACTCAGTTCATTGGCTCTGCAAGTAACATACATGACCTAATTTTGGCAGGAATCCATCAATCGGTTCTTGAGAACGCGATCACGAGCTGTTTTTGCATACATAATGTGCACTGTAGCCTTTGACCTTTGACCTCGTGACCCCAAAATCTAATCACTTCATCGGTTCTGCAAGTAACATACATGACCTAAGTTTGGCAGCAATCCATTACTCGGTTCTTGAGATAACGCGATCACGAGCTGTTTTTGCATACATAATGAGCCCTGTGACCTTTGACCTTTAACCTCATGACCCCAAAATCTAATCAGTTCTTTGACTCTGCAAGATACATACATGACCAAAGTTTGGCAGGAATCCATCAATCGGTTCTTCAGATAACGCGATCACGAGCTGTTTTTGCATACATAATGAGCCCTGTGACCTTTGACCTTTGACCTCGTAACCCCAAAATCTAATCAGTTCATCGGCTCGGCAAGATACATACATGACCAAAGTTTGGCAGGAATCCATCAATCGGTTCTTCAGATAACGCGATCACGAGAACGGGACGTACGTACGTACGTACAGACGTACGTACGTACAGACGTACGTACAGACGTACGTACAGACGGACGGACGGACAACCCGAAAACATAATGCCTCCGGCTACTTCGTAACGGAGGCATAAAAATGCTTAGTAAGTGTCCGATGCCCATGCCATTAGATCCCCTACCCATCTCAAAGAACGGATAATGAAAGTACTATGAACCTGCTTTCATGTCCACCTTTAGACAGACCGGATGATTTGTTTTCCTTGAATGAAAAAACCTGAACTAAAGTGACATGTACAGAAAGACAACCTGTGCATACAGACCCAATATTTTCTTCTTCTCCCTCCCCCCCCCCCTCTCTCTCTCTCTCCCTCCTCTTCTACCTCCCTCCCCTTCTCTCTCTCTCCCTTTCCCCCTCCCCCTCTCTCTTTCTTTTTTTTTTTCACTTTCTCTCTCCCTCTTGTTTTTCCCCTCTCTTTCTCTCTCTCTCATGAGGTCCCTTTGAATGTTCATAATTATCTGTGGATAATTCACTCATAATTACCTGTGAGAAATTTGTCAAGGAATTTGAGTTGGTTTCCCTGCACTGTCACCTGTAGGCCAGACTTGGCATTGGGGCCCTCACCCACTGTAGTACTGGCTGCAACAGCTATCTGGAGCCGATGGCCAAACTCCTTGGGGTCCAGACTGAACTGCTCCAAGTTCTGGATCACTGTGATCTACAGAGTGGCGTTTGGAGAAACAATACAACAAAGCAAACGGTGTAAACGTGTTATTGAAAGCTATCTGGAGCCGATGGCCAAACTCCTTGGGGTCCAGACTGAACTGCTCCAAGTTCTGGATCACTGTGATCTACAGAGTGACGTTTGGAGAAACAATACAACAAAGCAAACGGTGTAAACGTGTTATTGAAAGCTATCTGGAGCCGATGGCCAAACTCCTTGGGGTCCAGACTGCACTGCTCCAAGTTCTGGATCACTGTGATCTACAGAGAGTGGTATTTGGAGAAAAAAAATACAACAAAGCAAACGTGCTACCGAAAGCTCAGACACAAAATCTATCCAAAGCATTGGGGACATTTCATATGACAAGGAAGGCAATAATGTGCAGCGGGACTTGAACCACAGAACTTGTGATCCACAGTCCGGTGACATATCCACTCGACCACGACTGAAGTTAGAGATCAAACATAAAAGAAATTATAGTATGATTTCGCTGACCCAAGATTCAAGGCCATTTCTTACCCATTTGTTGCCTCCCTTTCTTTCCAATTTGAGTATGATTGGTTGGACCTGGCCTTTGTGGATCCGAGGTTGAACCTTGGCAGAAAGATCGCTGGGGAAGAGTATCTGATAGCCGGGATTCATCTTGTGCAAGAATCTACAGCAGTTTAATTACAAAATAAGGTGAAATATATGCTTAAAATGTGTGTGATTGAGATTGAGGAAGGTTAATTTAATGCAGGTAAGCTAATCCTATTCTTGCTTCTTCAATATATATTTCTATTTTCAGTGATAAATCAAGCTAGAGAATACAAAAACAGTGATTGAGACTACCAAATCATCATCTCCTCACTTTCAATATAAATATGAATTTCACAGCTATAAATTTGATTAAAACAATAACTAAATGCTACGATTAAAATGATTGCTTGCTTTATCATGTAAACTGAATGCTCATGGACTTACTCCCCAGTCACCTCATCAGACTGATTCCAGACTGGCCAATAATCAACAAGTCTTTACATTTTGGGTAAATTTCCAGTATTATCTATTATTTGACTTGTGTAATAGTATTGTTATGATTGCCTGGGGGGGGGGGGGTGTTTTACAAAGATCCTAAGTTGAACTTAACTCTAAGTTTGACTTACAAATTATGGAGAGCCATTTGTCGCCTTAAAAAAATATATATTCAAAAGCGAAAATTCAAGTATTTTAGATTTTATTTAAATTCCACATCAAGAACATGAAATCTCCTTGATAATAGAAAATATGAATGATTTGAATCAACATTTTATGCCTTTTTAAAATAACTTTTACAAGATATTTTCATAGATGCTAATGGCTGTCCATAATTGTAAGTCCAACTTAGAGATAAGTTCAACTTAGGATCTTTGTGAAAGACCCCCCTGGTTTATCACTTTGCAGGATTTCCAAGGACCTATGGAAATAACATGACTTCTCACAGTGGTGAAAGAAGCTTTTTAACAGTTCCAGAACCATCAAGAATCTTCTAGAACGTGAGAAGCCCTGCAAATGTTCCATGAATCAAATCAGAAGCTCACCTGGTGAAAAGCTGATCCCATTTGAGATGACTGACGCTACCCTCAGACTTCTTTATGGCTGCATCATGGAGAATAGGGTCTAACATCACATGGCTGGGGGGGGGGGGAAGAAATAAAGCTTGGTCAGGGGGCACTGTAACGGTTACATTCTTCCTATAATCTACAGATAACACAAATAACCTTTTGAAACCAACTTGAAATTCCACTCTCAAAAAGGGGTTTGTTTCTCTTAATTTTGTATCACCATTCTGCCTGTCTCCAGAATTGGTGTATGGGACCGACCATCTCAAAGCGGAACAAAGATTCGAGAGAAAAAGCAGACATCTTGCAAGGCTTTCTCACACTCATCATCACAGATTGACAAACCAGGAAATCCAGGAGCTTGTAGACTTTGTGCTCTGAGCATTCTGGAGGAGTAAAGAGTGTATCCACCATACTGCAAGAGTTCTCGATTCCAGTAGGCCAGTGGCATACAAGATAAATGAATCCATGGAAGATGATGTGAATTCTTTGGAATATTCCAAAGCTGTACCTCCTGAAGTGCTAGAATGCAAATCCAAAACCGGTTAGTCAAAGAAAACCGAAACAAAGGAGATTCATACTATTCAGAAAAATCAAACAGACTTGTGCTGGGTAGGAAATATCTCAACAAAACAAGTTGTTCTAGGTCATCAAGAAGTCACAAACACCTTGATTGTCATACTTTGAGTGACAAGGATTGGATTTCTTTGAGATCCCAATGTTATGGCCAAGGCAGTTTGCTATTGCAAATGGAGTGGCTGGCTAGACACATACATGCAGACATACAGAAGAGAGTGGAGCAAAAGGCCAAGAGACATATTAGCCCTTGATAGGCTTTCTCTACAAAAATTCATGATGTTCAAGTGACAGCTACCAAGACAAGTGAGACTGCCCAAAATGAGTTTACCATTTAATACAGACTTGTTTGCAGCCTTCATTGATGCAGTGCTCTTTTGTGCTTCAAGCATTTTGAAAGGAGTAAAGAGTGTGTCCATCATACTGAATGAGTTTCTGATTCCAGTGTGCCCGAGGCATAAAAGATAAATGAATCAATGGAGGATGATGTAAATTTTTTAGAAAATTTCAAAGCTGTAACTCCTAAAGTGCAACAATGCAAATCCAAAAACCAGTTAGTCAAAGAGAACCGAAACAAAGGAGAACCATACTATTCTGAAAAATCAAACAGACTTGTGCTGGGTAGGAAATATCTCTACAAACCTAGTTCTAGGTCATCAAGAAGTCACAAACTGTGACAAACACATTGATTGTCATACTTTGGGTGACTAGGACAGGATTTCTTTGAGATCACAATTCTATGACCAAGACGGTTTGCTATTGCAAAGGGAGTGGCTGGCTAGACATATACATGTAGCTTACAGAAGAGAGTGGAGCAAGTGGCCAAGAGGCATATTAGCCCTTGGTAGGCCTTGGATCTTTGCTAGTCCCTGCGACCACGCACTTTTTCGGCACAATGTACGACAATACTCTGTAAGATGGATGTACTCCAATGGAAAAAGAAGAAGTCCCCCAAATATACTCAATTATCATGTTAAGTATGTATCGTTCTTTATTGTATGTTTATGTGGCTATTGTAATATTTTGATGTTTTTCTTTCTGCATTGTTGTACATGGCTGTTTTTATGAGTTTTGTGGAGATAATTGAATTGAATTGAGCAAAAGAGTGCGGAGCAAAAGGACAAGACCCATATAAGGCACATCTCCTATGTCCTGTCAAGTCCTTCTCAAAATGGACAAACCATACCTGTGTGTGAAAAACCTTCCACAGCACCGTTAACATCTCGGACTGCTCAGTGCGTCCTATAGTTGATAAGAAAGAATCAAGGCATGGTTTCTTAGGAGAAGAGAAACGAGAGGGAAGACAAAAGCATGAGCCAATGAAAAGACAGAAAATAAACAGACATTTGCAACTAAGTCTGTGTGTTGATTCACATTAGTGCAGGGCAACACAAAGTGCTGTTACTTGTCCAAGAACAAAATGTCTTGGATGTTTGACAAGGAGAACCCTGGGCTTGCTTTCATACTCTCTGTATATCAGAGTTATGAGAGAAAACAAGCTTCAAATCCAAAGGTCAAAGAAAGACAAGTGTGGAATTTGTGAAACATGTACCTCAAGATGTACCTCAAGATGTACAGCAAGACATCAGAAAAATTGGCACATCTCCTATATCCTGTCAAATCCTTCTCAAAATGGACAAACCACACCTGTGTGTGAAAAACCTTCCACAGTACCCTGAACATCTCAGACTGCTCAGTGCATCCTACAGTTGAGGAAAAAGAATCAAGGTATGGGTTTTAGGTGAAGAGAAACGAGGGGGAAGACAAAAGCATGAGCCAATGAAAAGACAGAATTTGTTGAGCACTTGCAACAATTTCTGTGGTTCAATTGTGCCGTTACTTGTCTGCAGATCTGTTCAAGAACAAAATGTTTCGAATGTTTGACAAAAATAACCGTGGCCTTGCTTCAAACTCTCTGTGTACCGGAGTTATGAGAGAAAACAAGCTTAAAATCCACAGGCCAAAGAAAGACAAGTGTGGGATTTGTGAAATATACCGCAAGTCATCAGAAGATCAAAATAATCAATTGAATGTGGACAAGAAGCGAATTAGGCATATCTCCAATGTCCTGCCTAATGCTTCTCAGAATGGACAAACCATACCTGTGTGCAAAAAAACCTTCCAGAGCACCCTCAACCTCTTGGATCGCCAAGTGCTCACCATAGTTGATAAGAAAGAATCGAGGCATGGTTTCTTAAGTGAAGAGAAACGAGGGGAGGGGGAAACAAAAGCATGAGCCAATGAAAACACAGAAAATTGTCGAGCATTTGCAACAATTTCCGTGTGTCGATTCACATTACTGCAGGGCTAACCAAAGTGCCGTTATTTGTCTGCAGATCTGTCTGTTACTTGTATGCAGATCTGTCCAAGAACAAAATGTTTCGGATGTTTAACAAATTAACCCTAACCTTGCATTCACACTCTGCGTATATCAGAGTTATGAGAGAAGCAAAGAAAGATAAGTGTGGAATTTGCAAAACATACCGCAAGTCATCAGAAGATCAGAATAATCCATAGAATCTTTTGTGCTTTTTTCAATCGAAATGTCGGACAAGAGGAGCTACAATTGTACCAGAATACCTCTCCACAGTGCTGCTGTATTTGACCTGCAGGAGAATATCTGCATGTATCCACCTAACAACCGGGAAGAGATCTTCTAAAAAATGTAGGTTGGCATGCTTCAATTTCACATTATATGACTTAGCTTCTCATGAAGTCTATTGCTATCTCTCCAATGAAACCATCACCAATTATGTCTTAAAATCGATCAGCCTTCTTGGTCAACTGTAGAAACATTCAAATTACAACTAAAAACGTATTTGTTTCTTTCGTTGTAATTAATGCAATATTCTAATTTACATTGTGTCTAGGAGAATTTCGAATTTGTTTTTCTGTTTATTGTTTTTTCTTTCTTATGTCTGTTACATGTACTTTTCTCTAAGCGCCATGAGCATCGAAAGGTGGACCTGTGCGCTATACAAGTAGCCACTATTATTATTATTATTATTTATCCCGGTACAGTACTCAGCTGCATACAGGCGCGGATCCACGAGCCCAATTCTTTCGGCCCGGCTATGGCAAGCCCATTGTGTAAAAACTAGATAAACTCAGTTTATCAGAAAAACTGTGTTTATCAATGATAAACTCAGTTTACCAACTGATAAACTGAGTTTTTCTGATAAACTGAGTTTATCAACTGATAAACTCTGTTTATCTGATAAACTCTGTTTATCTGTTGATAAACTGAGTTTATCATTGATAAACTGAGTTTTTCTTGATAAACTGAGTTTATCAACTGATAAACTGAGTTTATCAACTGATAAACTGAGTTTTTCTGATAAACTGTGTTTATCTGTTGATAAACTGATTTTATCTGAGAAAAACAGAGTTTATCTGAGAAAAACAGAGTTTATCTAGTTTTTACACAAAGGGCTTGCCATAGCCGGGCCCGAAGAATTGGGCTCGTGGATCCGCGCCTGGCTGCATATGTATGGTGCGATGAGCTGCTCAAACTTGTGTGTGTACTTACGAGTACCGAGTCTGTGTATGTATGTGTTGGCATGAGAAAGTTTGTGAACCTGTCATGCCCATTTATTAATTCTGCTGTGTGCTAGCTGATCGTGAGCAAGTTTGTGATGATGTTGCGCTATTCATAAATACAACTACAATCTTAGTAGTTCTACTACTAGAACTATGTGTACATTGCGTGCGGTTTGTGTGGTTGTGGATTGTGTGTTAATGAGTGGTATGACATAGTCCATTCATCAATTATTTCATTCACAAAGTGTCAGCCAGTTTTTATTTGGATTTGTACTCTTGTAGGGCTATTCTTGCATCACAATTTTAAGCCACTCAATGAGCGACCCCCCCCCCCCCCCCAATTTCCCTAAACCAAACGATGCATCCTATGGTCTTCCTCCTGCTGCAGTGAGATCTGCAAACGAGAAAGTTGAGGTTTTAGGAGAAAATTTTTCTTTGACTCCATAACTCGGTAAGAAGCGACATGAGCCGTATGGCGCATACAGCAGCAAGCTGCGAGCTAAAATCAGACGTTATGCGGCTGAAAATGGAGTCGCAGCAACTCGCCGAAAGTTTTCAGCAGAATGAAAGAAAGCAATCAATGAGAGCAGCATTTGTGGCATGACAGATGCCTATGTCAAGGCAAGCAAGTCAGACGAGACCCCGGAAGCTCTGCCAAAAGGAGCGAGAAAAAAGAATGGGATGAAATGGCGAAAGCATTTATTGGTGCCGTTTGAAAAAGTGATGGTGGCATCAGCACAAAGCTGGTGTTGGCTGGCACCACAGGGCTCCTTCAAGCAGCTGAACCTCCCATTCTAGATGAATATGGGGGTTCCGTCACCATCCACAAAACGTGGGCAAGATCCCTCCTTGGCAGAATGGGATACACCAAGAGGAAAGCGACAAAGGGTGTAAATAATTGCCCTGACGATATCAACAAAATGGTCATAAGATTTCATAGGAGGATTGGTCGCAGGGTACGAAAGTTTGACATTCCCAATCAGCTCATCTTCAACTGAGATCAAACTGATGTTGATGCGATACCAGCTACATCTTGGACCATGCATCCAAAGGAAGATTGGCAGGTGCCCATCAAGGGAAGCGACGACATGCGTCAATACACCTCTCTCTTAGCCTGTAGTCTGAGTGGAGAGTTTTTGCCTCGTCAGATTATCTACCTAGGCAAAACTGTGCAGTGCCATCCTCCAGTAAAATTCCGGCCAGAGTGGGACATTTGGCACACGGAGAGCCATTGGAGTAACAGTGACACCATGCTCCGGTATTTGGACAAGATCATCATCCAATATGTCATGCAGACGAAGGAGAAGATGGGTCTACTCAATGTCAAGCCACTCCTCATCTTTGATGTCTTCAGGGCTCACCGCACTCGGGACGTTCTCACAAAGCTGAATGACATGGGATACATGTACGTCTTTATTCCAAGTACATATTTTATACCCTTCCCAGGACCTACACAACAGTATTGGTAAGTAAATTCAAATTGTTGATTTAGTGTTGATTTAAACCCTTCCACCTGGTACTGTGAATAAAATAATAACTCACCACTTGTATTCTTTTGATTGAAACCAATTTTTCATTAAAAACTGATGTGTTATATTCAGCAGCTTTGAGTGAGTATAATCACCAAAAAACGCTAGGTATTTTTTAACAACATTTTTTTTTTATTTTCTCGGCTGTGTCTAAAAAAATGAAGGTGCATCTTATACGCGGAGATATACGATACCTGTAATCATTTTGATCTATTAAGCTCTCATTCTTGATGTAAGCTGTAATGGCATTCCTGACATCTTCCTTGGTCATCCAATCACCTCTCCTGATGGTCAAAACAAAATGGAGATAGACAAGATGAAATTAATAGTTTGAGAGAGAGAGAAAGGGAGAGGGAAACGGTGAGAGAGAAGGGGGGGGGGGGGGGGGAGAGAGAGAGATTTTGCTCTAAATTTAACTGACCAATTCCTCTTGTTTTTCTGCTTCTATTAAAAGCAACTGAATATCATGGTGAACTTCCCCTTTAAGAAAAGTTAGGTAGTACCACCTAAGCTAGGATTTTTGGCTTTATGAACTGGACTTCCAATAATATCACCTCTAACAATTACACCATCCTCTGAACTTACTTGTATCCACTGTGTTGGAGTACTGGTGCTTGGTTGGGCATGACTGAATAGAACTGCCTGATCTCTGGTGGTCCTTCGGGTGCCTTTGAGCTGGAGGATGGGTTGGACGACGCTGCATCCGACTGCTCATCGGAATCACCAGAATCAACAAGAGGTACAAAGGACCTTAGCCTATGGGGGAAAGTTGGGGGCAATTCCAGGGTACAGACAGTGAAACGTGAAGACAGGATGATATTGAAGATTCCAACAACAACAACAACAACAGAAAATCAGAAATAACAACAACAAAAAAAAATTCTATCAAGGTCCTCCTCCCTCGGAGCAAAATGCAAAATACATTATGGATAGAATAATATAGGTCCTCTAAAAAGAAAAGACCCTCCTGAGTCATATATTTGGAAAAATTGACAGTCAAAGCAACTTAAGTGATACCAATACACTAAGTAATAGTCTGATTTTCAGACCATTGTACTGAATGGTTGTACCTTTTGTGCTGCACAAAGATTCAATCAGTTTAATTTTGGCCATTACAAGAAGTGGGTAATTGATTGAGACAAATGCTCATGTACCCTATACATCTCATTTTATGTATGTAATTACCAAAGAAGAAAAAAGAAGTCGGTCAGTCACTTAATAGTGTCTGACCAAGTAAACAAGTTTCCTTACATAATTTGAATATTAGGACTAACCCTGTAAGTTGGGGCTCTGATCGGACACCCTCGCACCTTTGATCGGTATCGGAAGATCGACCCCAAAAAATCGGCTGATTTTTTATTTATTTTTAACAATGAAAATTTTCAAGTTTTTGGCTATCAAATGCTCCAAAACTAGATGGAATTCGACTGCGCGCAGTCGAAAATGATGCCTCCGTCATAGAGCAATTTTACCAACCAAAACAGAAGAAATTTTTCAAATTCAAGTTCATTTGTAATCCATTAACAGGTTCTCAAAATATCGTAATTACAAGCTATTTTTGCATACATAATGAGCCATGACCTTTGACCTCATGACCCAAGAATCTACTCGGTTCATTGGCTCTGCAAGATACATACATGATCTAAGTTTGGCAGGAATCCATCAATCTGTTCTAATGATAATGCGATCACAAGCCATTTTTGCATACATAATGAGCCACGTGACCTTTGACCTCATGACCCCAAAATCTAATCAGTTCATCGGCTCTGCAAGTAACATACATGACCAAAGTTTGGCAGGAATCCATCAATCTGTTCTTGAGATAACGTGATCACGAGCTGTTTTTGCATATATAATGAGCCCTGTGACCTTTGACCTCGTGACCCCAAACTCTAATCAGTTCTTTGGCTCTGCAAGATAAATACATGACCAAAGTTTGGCAGGAATCCATCAATCTGTTCTTCAGATAACGCGATCACGAGCCGTTTATGCTTACATAATGAGCCCTGTGACCTTTGACCTTTGACCTCGTGACCCCAAAATCTAATCAGTTCATCGGCTCTGCAAAATAAATACATGACTAAAGTTTGGCAGGGATCCATCGATCGGTTCTTCAGATAACGCGATCACGAGCTGTTTTTGCATACATAATGAGCCCTGTGACCTTTGACCTTTGACCTCGTGACCCCAAAATCTAATCAGTTCATCGGCTCTGCAAGATACATACATGACCAAAGTTTGGCAGGAATCCAGCAATCGGTTCTTCAGATAACGCGATCACGAGAACGGGACGTACGGACGTACGGACGGACGTACGTACGGACGGACGTACGGACGGACGGACAACCCGAAAACATAATGCCTCCGGCTACTTCGTAACGGAGGCATAAAAATTAATGGCTGGGATTATTTTGTCATTTGAAGTTGTTGTAGACCATGTTTGTTGATATTTAGTGCCTTTTCATGACTTTGAATTTAATAATATTGGTCTAAGAGCAGAGGCAAAACATGTGGGCCGCCATCTCGGATTATAATGATCATTTTAATTGATCGGCGATCAGAAATTATTATACGATCACCCCTGATCGGATCGGTATCGGCGTCCGATCTAATGATCGTTTACAGGGCTAATTAGGACACTGCTGGGGTTTAAATTTCACAGATAGGACATACATGACATATTCATAATTCCTGCAAAGTTCTACAGAATTTGATGTTGGCTGCAAAAGGGACATAGTATGTTTAAAGGACATGAGTTGATGCCTTCAGGCTCTCATCAGATGAAACACTACACAGTGACTCACTCATCATGGTCTTTGTAGATGGCCGTTATGCTGTCCACACCCCTGCTCAGCTCCCTCACGTCCAGGAGACGTCTCTCCTGCATGGCGCGCAGGAACTTGGACAGCTTCTTGTAGCTCGACTTCTTCAGATCCAGAGTCTTCCCTTCTGGACTAACATCAAGGTAAACATTTTCAGTCAAATCTGTCTACTACATGGAATAAGAGAAAGTGGCCACCATATACAGGTGGTCTTTCTAGACCGATTCTACAATATACACCTCTCTCTCTTGAGGGAGACACAAATGCATGGCCATTATAGACAGGTGGACTTCTTCAGATCCAGAGTCTTCCCTTCTGGACTAACATCAAGGTAAACATTTTCAGTCAAACCTGTCTACTACGACCACCCCCGGGAAACAGAGAAATATACAGATGGTCTTTCTAGACAGGTTCTACAATATACACTTCTCTCTTCTGTTCTCTTGTTCTCTTGTTCTCTCTCTCTCTCTCTTGTTCTCTCTCTCTCTTTCTCTCTTGAGACAAAAATGCATGGTCACTACAGAGAGGTGACTTTTATAGAGAGGTGGCCATATATCAAGTCACAAAGAGTTTTCACATTATCATGATTCAATAGTATAATTTACTAATTTTTAGAAAAGCAGACCATTATCAATGATAACAATTGGGGAAAAACTGAAACCGATTGATTCCTAAATTCCCCAACTATATTATTATAATTAAATTATAAATTAAAGTGAATGTTGATCGTTATAAAGCAATGAATGGGCTCTATATACCTTTCCAAACATTTACGTGTTATTTTCATGGAAAAAACAGTTGGTATGATTCAAAATTTGGGAGTCACACATTGACGCCTTCACAGAAAAACCATAAATATCTTTGTGGTTTGAGAACTTTTACCTGATTTTTGGCATGTTAGAGGGTTAGTACAGTATAAGTACAGAATATAATAAGAAACATTTCATACCAAATTAGGCAGTTTTTTTTCATCATCCTTTAACAATGTTACCGGTTCACTTCAAAGGCGATGTATTAAACTCACCAGGATGTCTGCATATAATTCCTATACAATGAGCTAGTCAGCAATGGCAAGTCTGAGGGCTTCACTTTCTTCTTGAGGCTATGTAATAAACACTGGTAGAGACGTTCATCCATGGCGTCTGTATTACAAGATTATTTTGTAAAAAAAAGAGGAAAAAAAAGGGTCCTTTAAATGGGATGGGAATGATGATTTTATTAACATGTAATTTATGATTGTTGGGTTATTTCTAATACTCCCTCTCATTCTCAGATTACTTTAGACTTCAAACTTTTTCAGTATTATTATGACGATTTAAAAACATCTACGGCCCATGACAGATCAGCTCAGATCTTTTTATAAGCTATGAAGCAGCAAAATCAAGAAGTTTGATAACATCTTTTTAAAAAAATCAATAACTTTTTATTCAGACCCCTAGAAAAAAAAAATGCTTGAGAAAAAAGAAAAGAATTGGGGAAGATTTCTGCACATATTGTGTCCATTTTTGTTATATAACCACATTGCGCTCGATTCCAGGAATTCAATAAGGGAAATTGGTAAGCCTTACAATCCTTAAAATGGCAAGATGTAACACATTGAGAGGTTCCAAATTTTGTCAAGCTTTTGACGAAGTTCATACCCATGTATTCGTTTTCAGAGACATGACATTTTATTACCACAATGCAGCAATAAAAGAAAGACACTTTTGTTGCCAATTTGAAGAATGACATGTGATCCTTGAAATAAATCCTGTCCTTCACATTCCTAATACACAGCATCAGCAAACATCTTCCAGCTCATATATCATCATCATCACCACTCACCTACAGGCGAGACTCCATCCCCTTCATCTTCTACCGGTTCCGGCTCTCCTCCGACTGCTCCTGCATCCAGGGACAGACCAACTAAATCCTCCTTTAAACCACCTCCTTCTCCGTTTCCTTCACATACATGTCCACCATCAATGGCACTTTGGCTCTCTAAGCCTTCAGTTCTTTCCATATTCTCATTATTATTGTTACTTCCCGCAGAGTTCTGGGCGGCGATGGCACTTTCACCCGGAGGTGGAGAGTCTCGACTGATTGGGTTGATTTGCGGTGGTTTTAGTTTACCACCGCTTTCCCTGTCGGAGAAAAGGAAACTGAATATTAAAACTTATTCCTCATTCGCAGAGTCTGAGTTCATAATACATTGCACAAAGCTGTGGTCTCCCGGTAAGAAAGAAAGATTTGGTGACCAAGGAAGTAACAATAATAATCGGCATACAAGACGTCTTCAGAATTAATTTGACATTGATATTTCCTATATGATAATGATACCCATCATGAATTAACATTTCCTGAATGGTTATATTAATAAATTGTATATTTTAGATGAAACAACTCTAATATAAACGTCTACTTTCAAGTTGCAGAGTATGCATAGATAGAAAATGGGAGAGAGTCCATACATGTGAAGTGGGAAAAATGGTCACATAACTTTCATACAGACACAGAGACAACAAATAGGGGAAGCAAAAGAGAGAGAGAAAGAGGGGCACAGAGAGAGAGAGAGAGAGAGAGAGAGCAACAGAGATAAAGAGACAGACAGACACAGATAGAAAGAGAGAGAGAAAGAGAGAGAGAGAGAGAGAGAGAGAGAACAAACAAAGAGACAGCCAGACTGCCAGAGAGACAGAGACAGAGACAAAAACAAAGAGAGAGAGAAAAAAAAAGAGGGAGAGAGAGAGGGCAACAGAGACAAAGACAAAGAAAGACAGAGACAGAAAGACAGAATACAATAACTATTTTTGTTTTACCACAGGTGATCCCCTATACAGTGCAGAGTGAGCACTCCTTTTCCTTTCATTGCTCTACCCAGCATATCTTCTGAGGAGACGGATGCTGTTCCTATGGCGACGGGAGCCAGGTTACCAACGACATTCACACTGCATAGTTGTGATTTCTCCAGAGGGGGAAGTCCCGTCTCTGGGAAGACTACACCTGGTAGCATTAGATCTGCAGTAGGGTGATCAATTGAATTCATAAGGTCATCATCATCATCATCATCATCATCATCACTTTTAATACATGACTCACAATCATTTTTATAATTGCAACAATTAGAATTATCATCATTTACATTATAATTATACTGCTGCTACTACCTGTACTACTATTACTTATGTGACTACTAGTACTTCTATTAGTATCCCTAATGCTACTACTTGCATTGCAACTACTATGACTATTACTACCACTAGTAGTATTACTACTACTTTTGTGACTACCAGTACTACTACTACTGCTACTAGCATTGCTACGACTATTACTACCATTACTACTTCCACGACCACTACCACTACCACCACCACCACTACTACAACTCTAAATACATACCTGCTCCACCAGCCATCTTCTCTATAACAGGGGCATATGTACTCAGACATGGTAGCAATGATGGACATTTCCAGAGTGTGTAAACTGTGGAAGGACAAAATTAAGATTAGATTAGATTTTAACACATTTTCTCTTCTAAAATCATGTTTTATACATTTTTTGTGTGAATAATTTGAAGCACTGCATTTGCTTCCTTTTTTTTCCTCGTAGATAGTAATCACCATTGCAACTTTTCAGAGTATGATGTTCCTTCTTTTCAGCAAAAGAATGTTTTCATCAGTGAAGCAGTACAAAGCATACAAAATTAGAGCCGTAGCACAGTCATTGTATAAATTAAAGCCCAAACATTTATGAACAAAATGGAATCACTGCATGTACATGTACGACATCTAAATCACTGTATGTATTACCTGTAGGGTAAAGAACTTTTTCATTCTCAAAGAAAGCGGGCACTCCATCTGCACAGTAGACCATCATATGTTCCCCTGTATGTGTTTGTATCTTCATGGTGGTCGTTTGAGATTTGTTAGGGAAGATGGAGTCCACCTGGACAGAGGTGATCTCACCGAACTGCTGCAGCACAGAGGTTTTCATCTTACGCCTGGAGAGAGGGAGGGAGAGAGGGAGGGAGAGAGGGAGGGGGAGAAGGAGGTATGGAGAGAGAGGGGAGAGAGAGGGGGGAGAGAGGGAGAGGGAGAGGGGGGGGAGGGAGAGAGAGAGAGAGAAGGAGAGAGATAGTTAGAAGGCAGAGAGGGGAGAGGAGAGAGAGAGAGAGAGAGAGAGAGAGGGTGAGAGAGAGAGGGGGAGAGTGAGAGGAAGAGAGAAACAGACAGAGTGTGAGTGAGATATAGAGAAAAAGAATAAGAGACAGAGAGAGGTAAAGAGATAGAAAGGTAGAGAGATAGAGAGAAAGGTAGAGAGATAGAGAGAAAGGTAGAGAGTTAGAAAGAGAGGTAGAGAGAGAGAGAGAGAGAGAGAGAAGGAGAGAGATGGAGAGAGATAAAGAGAGAGAGGTTGAGGTGACTTACTTGTCGCTCATGAATGTAATAAAAGTACAAGCCATTGACAGTACACAAATTTATAATGGATTTGTTTTCTCTTCACAGAAACACTGAAGTTTAATTTGAAGGAAAAAAAATCTCACCCTCCTAAATTTTGAACAATCTCACAAGAAATAACAAACACAGTAGTGTTTCATACCCAGGAAATAATACCAGAAATATAGGCCTCTCATAGTCATATGTACATCATCACAAATGAAAACATTTGATTGTAAATTCAAAACTTTAATTTGGTTGGACATCTTACAAACTGCTTCTAAGTCCATGTTCTGGTGCAATTGTGATTTGTATCTTATGGGTACCTGTGTAAGGGGTGTAATTATGACTTTCTGCATTTAGTAAATAGCATCAGTGAATACAGCCATATCAACTGACACACAGACAAATAATGTTTTCATTCATGTAATTCTCCACTGATTGTTAAAAGTGACACTGTATTATTTTGCCGCGAAACATAATCCAGAAATTTTTACTTTATTTTCCTCTATGAAAGGTGGTCATGGTGATTCATATGAACCATATACAGTCAAACCTGCTTTAGTGACCACCTGTCTACAAAGACCACCTGTCTATAAAGACCACATTTTGTGTTTCCCTTGGGCGGTCGCTATAGACAGGCTTGACTGTAACTTCCTACTTTTTAAACTTACTTGTCAGATCCTTTCATCGCTGCATTGGACTTGACATGAAAAGGCTTCTTGAACATGATGCCTGGCTTTCTTAATCGAACAATGAAACAAAGAAGTAAGATAAGGAGAGGATCCTTCCTGGTCTGTAACCTTTGACCTTTAAATGTAATAGAGGAGAGATGAAACTAGTTAACATTATAATCTTGGGTCGTCATGGGGAATTTACCATTCTAATTTAAAGATTATGAAATGTCTTGGTACTTCAGTGAATATTCAAGTGTGCTTTTTATAATCTTCACTAAGTTCACTTTATAATGTATTCCATTCACGATCTGCAGGAGAACAGCTTTACTGGGAAAATCAATGACAATAATTTCTTTATCATTTACACAATTTGAATGGAATATGTGTGAACATGTTTGAATGGCTAATCAAGCTGCAAGTGCTTGATGTTGTCCCCCAAAATGACATGATTTTCTCATCACTTTCACTTTGAGTAAAAGTATAGACATAGGAAAAAGTGGAACTACAAGTGATCATTTAAGTATATTCCGACTTGAAAGTGCAGTATATAGCAGTGTGAAAAGAAGAAAAAAGAGGGAACAAGACAAAGTTCTTCATCCCCCCGTATGTCTCCACACTCTGGTTTATATATTTTTATGAACTTGTGCACATAGGTAAGAGTATACCTACAGTATGTCAGAACCCAGGGGGGGGGGGGGACTAAGCTTCATGCATGTAAATTAAAACATCAAAAGTTTGATTATTTGTAAAAAAAAAAAAAAAAATCATTGATTTAACATAATTTCAAACTAGATCAATAAATGGAATTGGAAACAAAATGTTGTACTTCCCTCCCTTCCCACTTGGTTTTGTAGTCCTCTCTCAAAATGTAACAATGTGCCCAGACTTTATGACAATACATGAAGAGGAGGGAAAGATAAACTGTTTAAAACAGGTCTAGCTACATGTAGATGTATGTCTGAATAATGAGAATATTTATACTTAAAAGTGGAAAGAGAATTAGATAAGTGGAAAAACAAAATAATCAAATAGACTATAAAGATGTGCAAAGATTTTTCAATATGATTAGGAGAAACAAAGAAATAGAGAAAATAGGAGATGAAAAAATGAGGAAATACTTGATGTGTAGATCACAAAAAATGGAGAAAAAAAAAAGAAAACTGTGGAAATAAACCACATGCTGATCTAATGTAGATGTAGAACTAGCTCAAAATATTGAAAGACCAAAAAGATGGGATAAATACTAAGAATAGCTAGATCTATGTAGAGGCCTACTATAGAAGGTCTAGATGTTAAGAAAAGAAATTTAGAGAAAGAAATCCATTAAATAACAAAAATAAATATCATGTCATTTATCATAAAAGACAGAAGAACTGATAGGCTAGTATTTGATAAAAACAGACATAAATTGAAGATAGAAAAAAAGATGACAGAACAAAATATTGAGAAGACAAATATAAAGAATAGTCTAGCACAAGCATGGGACAAGGAGTTGGATTAGGACTCAACTAATTCCTTCTCCTTCGATCAGCAAATGGGAGTTTATCAGTTTCTGTGTCATCATCACGATCATTCATGGCATTATTGTTGAGATCTCATGTTTCAAACATAGAACCTAGAGTAGGTCTACAGTGAGTAGACTACATCGTCATTGGCATTGCAATTTGCATTACTTCCTTAGAGTAAATCATTATCATATTCATATCATTATCATTATCAAATCATTATCATATTCCAATCACCAATTCATTTCAAACTTTTCTTTTAGTTTTGCCATTCTGCTTTCATAAAAATCATACTTCACTACAATATTACCAGGAAGTAGGCCCACATCAACTTAGACCTAGACTAGACTCTAATTCATGATTTGGATTGCCCTTTCAATTCATTTTCATCAGTTCATGCTGTCACTCATTTGAGTCATTGATTCATGATTGTCAGTCACTTGTGCCGTGGGCGTGATACTGTCCGAGTCGGGACCCGTCCGAGTCGCGAGTAGTACGGCAACGAGTATGGCTGCATAGACCCTAGGAATGAACGAAGCTAGAACAGTAGAATTAGAAGAGCGCGCGCGGACTAAGTCCGGGTTCTACTTCTACCCCCATCTCGATATCTACCGGGCGGCTGCGACAGGCAGAAAGTAACAACAGCTGCCGTACACTTACTTGAGCTGAGCCCGCGCCCGAGCTCGAGGGACGAGTTTCGACGCTTGACTGGAGTCTGACTCTGACTCTGAGGAAGCTGCCAAAAACTAAATCGTGTACAGGATTAACACAAATAGACTACATGTTTTATGGTACATAATCAACGGCTGCAATTTTACAATTAACTCTACAAATAGTAAACTCTTACAGTTTAAGATGACAGGTAAAACTGAAAGTAGCTCTTCATATATAATTGCACGTGTGTATGACCACCGGATGTAAATATCCATTTAAACTTTGACCTGTATAATGAATGGCATTCGCGCAATGTATAATGGCAGACGATACTGTCGGAAGTAAAATTGATAGACATCGCCATTTTGAATATTCGTGCACTTTTATTGAAAAGTAGTTAGTAATTCGATACGAAATGTAGCATTATAAGAAGAAAATTCATGAATATGTGACGAATATTTAGACTGCTATATTAATTTTTTACCATATATATTGAAAATAAAGGCAAAATTTAGTGCTGTTTATTCAAAGAGTTAAACGCGCACTACTATTTGGTCCCCAATGTCATTTATGTTACAAGTTAGTGATGCGGTTTTGTTGTTTTGGCGCGTCTAGCCATGATAAAAATTTCGGAAAACCGGTAGATTTATGACATATTCACTGGCATTTTTCACTCTTCCATGAAACCTCATGGTTCCTTAAGATTCATGTAAGTTCAAATCGAAATATGGTTGGTATATTTATTTGTGAGAAGTGTGTTATTATTGGGTGTTTCGCTTGGGTGCCGCTCACCAAATTATTGTTCATATTGGCCGCCGTACACGCTAATGCATAGCGTACGGGATTCAATGGGTGCGTAGCCCGACGTACACCGCAGACACGGCGAGGAGGGGACCGTGCCTCTGTCTGTCTGTGACTGAGATTAGACCCAACTCTTTTGACTGGTAATTTATTATGGGAGGACAAGGGCAACCATTTTATTTTCAATAACCTAGATCTAGACAAAGTGGAAACCCACATGCTGTGTGCCCGTTGAAGTTGGTTGTCCGGACGGCCCGTTTTCATGAATCAAACGGTGAAAAGAACAATTTTTTTCATTGCAAATTTTCATGAATCAGTTATTGTTGTCAATAATCAGTAGGGGCGCTAGTCCGAAAATGAGGATCGTCTTAGTAAACGCAGACAGACGCGTCCACATTTTTGCAGACGTTTTATATTTCCGAATCCACGCGTTGGTGATGCGAAAGGACGCATTCCACGATGATTTTCTTGATGCCTTTTTAATTTTAGTACATTGACTTTGTCTTTGGACAGAGACTTTCACATTATGAGCGATAAATCCTTGAGAAGATGGACAACCCATAAAACTTGACGGTGAACTGGTGTTATTTTCTTACGCGGAATCCGTTCTTCGCCTCGCCAGCGCGCGGTTCAGGAACCCATTGGTATGTGTGTGAAGAGGAGCTCTTCTGTGTTCACTCCATCGCCGTGAATTTGCAAATGACGCACTTTCCGCCGTGCAAGAGGTATTTATACATTACCCTTGCCATGCAGTAGCGCTCGTCCAGTACTATTGGATCAACGCACTGACATTCAGTGCTTTGTCGCACAATTGTGTGAAAATAGTGCTCAAATACGCTTCGCTCCTTGTCAACGGAGGTACCTTACCACGCTAAAATCGTGTGACCGAAATCTAGGTGGCGCGACCGAATACTGGGCAAAAAACTGCTCTTTCTCTAGGCCTAACAGTTAGAGGTCTACTCTGAAATACTTTGCTTAGTATCATCATATATTTTAAGTGACTTTAAAATCATGTTAGAGGACTAATGTTCTTTTCTTTTGATGGGTAGATCTAGATCTAGATTGCCAAATAAAGGAGGTACGAATTCAAAATATGAGCGATTTCCCCTTAACTTAGTGTCCAAATACCGGGCGCGCTACCCTAACCTCTTTTGTTCCAAAGATTGAACAATTAGTCAAACATAAATTTAAGACAATAGCTTATCTCTTTGACTGACTGTTCAATTTTTGTATTTTGTACACTGTTATTTCATATTTTGTGGAAATAAAATTCAAATTCAATTTTCTAAGTGCATGCGTGTGAAAGTTGAAAATGATAATCTTTAAACTAAAGTAAGGAGTGGTTTCACTTTGAGTTGTAGATTGTAGTCAAATTCTAATCATTAATGCTGTTCACAGCTTCTAATAGTACGTCGGGAGTGAGTGCATGCCATGACCAAGACAAGTTGACAAGTGGGTGAGAGTTTGAGCCTGAGTCAACTTAAAAAATTTCACTATTAAATCTACTTCTACAGTAATACTCAGCAAGATGCCAGGATCCATAGCATAATAATTAATATAAGTGAGGATGTAGTGCTAAAGTAAGGACAGTAGGGAAAATCTCACCCATTTGAGAGACTGTCTCCCATCAGTACTTATTATTCATGGAAGATTTAGCTTACAAAAGAAACAACCTTTCCCTACCAATTTTTTGTCTCTATGAGGTCAGGTGCCCATTGGTTTTGTGTGTGGATCGTTAAAAAAAGATGTGAAGAAAAAAAAAATACTGGTAAATAATTGCATTTTAAAGTAGATGGTCATAACTAGGGACCATAATAGGCCTAGACCATAAGAGATGATTTCATGAAGAATCTGCGTATCATGTTCAGGGGGGAAAAAAATTATTATGGGGGCTACTTATCAAGCTTGCCTGCATAATATACTCTAAAATTTGTTTTGCATTGAACTCTGCAAATTTATGGCGGTTCTTTTGGGCATTGCAGGGGCAAATTTGCCCTAGTAAGCCCCTGTGTATTTTTTTCACTGATCCTGTTTTTGTTGAGTTAAGGTGTTCCCTCAGCAGCAAATGTTAATAAAAGATATATGTGTCCCAAATGGGAGACTGTCTCCCATATTGGTCGTGCAATAACATGCACCTCTACTGAAAGATTCGAACTTGTTGCTCATTTGCAGTGCATGCTTGTTGGTACGTTAACAAAAAATGCAAGTAAAAATGCAGTTCCTCAGTGTAGATGCTCAGCACTTGGAAACGCATCTATTGAAGGTCTCCGATGAAGTGATGGGTGTTTTTAGGAAGTGCATTCCAAGCAGTTACTGTGCAAAGAAAATATGGCTTCTGATAGAGTCAGGTGCAGGAGGGAATCACCAGCAACTTCTCTGGGTGATACTGTCGTATGTTGCTGGCAATCATGGGTGCTGTGTAGTGCTGTGCATCGATGGTCACCATATTGTGTTGGGATTTTGTTCATGATGCAGATGCTCACAGTATTTCTTCTCCTCTCCGTTCTCTCCCATTTAAGTTGTTAAATTATGGCAGAGTCCCCTCATGTACATTGTATAGTGATATCTCTGTAGGATGAGTCTTGCAGGTCGCCTTTGGATAGCCTCAATTTTGGAAATGTATTTGTTTGTGAGTTGGTTCGAGACTGAGCTGCAGTATTCTAGGTGTGGTCGAACAAGATAGAAGAAGACTTGTTTGCATGAATTTCTGCTGACAAATCCTAGCATCTGATTGGCTCAGGATATGATGTTGTTGCTGTACAATGCACCCTTGCCAAGACTAGTTGGACGAGAATAATCAGCCCTAAATATTGGAGATCTGGTATGGGTACAAGGGGACTATCTCCAAGTTAATACAATGTCTGTACATTTTAAACCCATGTACTATGAAGCAGTTAGAGATCTTGTAGGGTTTGGATGTCGTTGAGGTCAATGATTGGGCAATGAGGATTTGATGAAGGATTTAAAAAGGAGCAGACTGAGAACCGTGCCCTGGAGTACCCACTCAGATGAGCCGTAATTGTTTATTGTATGTTCAGCAAGTTGTTGTTCATTTGATTTCAAATACATAAAAAAATATCCACATTCATTTTGATTTTCTCTCATGCCATTCTCTTTTGCAGTAGTAAACCTCTATCATCAGAATGAATGGAGAAGTGCCAAGTGTTCCCATCACAACTCTTGCAGGAATAACAAGTCTTACAGACTGTAAGTCCTCATCGATTTTCATCCAAAAATTAGTCTAATGTATAAAGTGTGCAATATATTTCCTTTGTTTTCTTAGATGAGAAATGGACATGGGAAGTTTAATATTAAACTGACTGACAGTGATTTAAGTCTACCCTGATATTAAGTTGGTTTTAAAAGAAGCAGAAAATAGTTAAAGACAATGCTATGAAATTTTCTTGATGCATTACTCCTCTAGTAATAATTGAACCTATGACTTAGGGTTACTAGCAAAGTTCTATTCATTCTTGTGGAAAAAACTTTTTTAACCATGTCAAAATGTTTATTAGTGCATCAAATATTTCAAATGGAGATTTGTACTAGGAACAGATTTTTCAACCAACCTTTATTTTATTTTTTTGGATTGTTAGTCGCAGTAGTTCATGTGATATGATATTGTGCATTTCATTTCATTTTTTTTTCCTTTCACATACAGTGTTGACAGAGTTGCCCCTGCCCTCACCCCTTCCTAGTGCAATCAACAGCAAAGGCCTTCTCTACACACCCCAAATAGCAGAAGAAGCTCAGCGACTGCTAGGGAGGCAGGATGAAAACCTAATCCCTCAACTCCTTCATGTCCTCAGCCAGACAGATACAGATCACATGTAAGATACTTTTCAAGATCAATTGGCCTGTCTTCATCAGGTAGAGTTTGCCAAATAACCCACTGTTTTCAGACTATTATTATTATTCCAAAGATAAAAAATGTGTCTTCAGCTGACCGATACGCTCATCACAAACTAACTCTGATGGGCGCAAATTAGCCCGCTATTTCCCAAATAGCAGGATTTTTTGGAAACAAGACCGAGATTTCTTGGGATATTTTTTCGACAAAATATCCCGCTAATTGCAACTCCAGGCTGATGAAGACGCAAAATAAGTGTTTAATTTGCGATCAGCATAGTTAAATTAGCGGGTTATTTGGCAAACTTGAGCTGATGAAGACAGGCCTATTGAAATGCCACTTCCTGGACTACCAACCAAGGAACCACCCGACCCACTCCTATAGTTGGGACTAGTATTAACATCGGGGTGGTTGTCTGGAGGGGGGGGGGGGGGGGTAATTGCATACGAGTTGGTTCAGGTCATCGCTTTCCATTTGAAGTGGAACTCTATACCTAGTGGTGATTTATTACCTTATTATAGTAGATAGTAAATCTTTATTTTTTAATTGCAAAGACAGCTGTTGGTGTCTGCTACGTGCTTTTAAATGTATTGGAACAAAGAATTTATTTATGTTTTCCACATGTTCAGATGCCATATTGGTGTGCAATCACAAGTAGATGGCAACTCATTTTTTACTTTCCATATAGTCTATCGAATGGAAATGTATTGAATCATGTCTTTGCTTTGATATTTGTGATTCTTTAACAATAACTTGTGACATATTTTCTGTAGTTTTCTGTACCAATTATTTTTTTTCGCATGGAAAATGTTTTAGATAATAACTTGCAATGTAGATCTATTTTTTGCAAGCTCTCTTATTAAATTTTACTCTGATTTTATAGGTTATGATCAATGACTAGCTAGATGCTTGACATACTAGAACCTCTCTGAATATCATTTCGCATTGAACTTTATTTAGAAATCTCTGTTGAAGTGGAATATGATTCAAGTGTATTTCATCGTTACTGAGATTATTATGATTCTAATTGGCATTTTTAATGGAATTCCTACAGAGAGCTGAAAGACAAGACAACCAGCAATGAAGTAGAGGGTGAAGTGCCTGCACTTCTTCAAGCAATTCTTGCCCGCAACCCCAACGTATTTAAATCAAGGGTGGAACAAATAAGTGGTGAGTATGAAGCAAAGAAATACTACTCAGTAGTGACTGTCCCCTTTCTACTGCACCGTGACCTGGTGGTGTAGATTATGGTGATTTAACAAATTAAACCATGATTTTGAGATTTTCTTTTAGAGCTGACGTAAATTTTTAATCCTTCATGCCTCCCCCACCACCTTTCCAGATACAATCTTTGGGATGTGATGCCCATGAGTACATGATGTACATGCAAAGTTATTTTTGCATCATAAAATGTCTCAATTCACAATTATGAATCAATTTGAAAATGCTAGGTTAATAGTTGAATCCTATTGTATAAAATATTTCAATTCCTTATTTCAATCCCAGGATTAACAGGGTTGACCTTTGCAAAAGGGAATTTAGATCTCCTAATAATGTAATGATAATGAAAATTATACTGTTTATGATAATGATAGTGTTAATGATCATAGTATTGACAATAATAATAGTAACATTTATATGGCGCTAAATTCTAAGTGTACTGTAGTGATTTTGGCTAAATTTTTCTGACACGTGTACATTGTTCTTAGGGAGTGGATCAGGACAGCACAGTTCGTATTCTCCGCGAGGTGGACCCAGTAACTCTTCATCCCCTGGTGCGAGTACTCCTCATGGAAACCAGCACCAATTCCAACAACCTGGCTCCGTGTCTGCACAAGGTAGAGTACCCCCATCCAATCTATTAAAATGAAATGTCATTTACCATACCAAGACTGTCGTTTGTGAAGGGCTCTAACTTAACTATGTATGTGGGTTGCAAGTCAGGCAACGTAAACAAATACTTACAGAAGCAGCTTGTGGTTTGAATTTCCAGTGTACTGAGCAAATATGACATTGTACATTATTATCTTTTTTTTTTAAGATGATAGAAGTTGCCATTAGGGTACAAAGGCAGGATGTAAAGGTAGCACATTGTGAATTGAGGGAGCGACAATTGGCAATTGGTGCATTCAGTCCTTTATAATGTATGCTTTAGGAGTGTACACTTTGTACTTCATCACAACAATCTCTAAAGAGCATCGAGAAAGCATTGAGTAAACTCCAAGAAACGGTGGTTTTAATCTTCATCCCTTCATAAAATCAACAATTTAATTTGTAACAGACACCACTAATTCTTCTGCAGAGCTTTACCCATTCATTCATTCCGACAGTACATGCATTTGAACAGCATGTATCACATTTGATTGTTCTTCACAGGCTCTGCCCAAGCACCTCTCAATGGCTATGCTGCCAACCAGTTCTCTCCAGCTCCAGCCAGTAGTCCTATGTTTCCAGCCACCCCACCAACCCCCAACTCCCAGACAAGATCGCAGAGGTCACCTTCAAGAGGTACCGTTTACGATCAGCAAATGCTGCTTCTTTATTCTAATGTAGAATGTTATTATTGTTATTGTTTGTTTGTTTTTCTGGATGATTTAGAGATGAATAAGTTGGGTTAATTGGATATCTATTTAAAACAAATTATTTCAGTATATCAAAATTACCAAGAAAAACAAAAAGTTATTGAGGATGAATTCGATGGTTCATCAAAAGGAGTGTACCAGGCCTGATAAAAACCCGATTTAAATCGGTTTCCCGATTTTTTTGATTTTTCCCGATTTTTTCCCGATTTTTTTTTTTCACCCGATTTTTTTTTTTTTTCCCGATTTTTTTTTTTTTTTTTTACCCGATCTTTTTTTTTTTTTTATCCGATCTTTTTTTTTTTTACCCGATCTTTTTTTTTTACCCGATCTTTTTTTTTTACCCGATTTTTTTTCTTCCCCAAATTTGTTTGTTCTGCTATTTTTTTCCTCCAAAAATAAATAGTCTCTGAGATCAACGTAAATCCGGTTTAAAATTAGTGAGGTGCCGTCTTCTCATGACTTGTTTATGATGATCTGCAAACTGTGCGTCGCAAAACCGCCCAATTTAGGAATCGCGCGCTAGCTCGACAGAATGGGAAAATACGTATCTTCCAATTATGTGGCTAGATGGCGCGCGCGCGAGATATAATAAGCTTTTGTCTTTAGGCTGTACATGTGCATAATATCCATGCAATTGTTGCAGCTTTATGATCAGATAAACATGCGGTGAACGTCCTGAGCCGAAATTCTTGCAAGTTTTTGGCCATGCCTAGACTGAAAAGTAAATATGAATAACGATGACCACGCACAGAAAATTTCTAGACAGAAATGAAGAGTCGAAGGTGAAAGAGGTTGACGCGTCATGCCGTGAAAAATGGAGTTGGAAATGGGTTGAAAAGTCTGTCGATGGGACGCTAGTTAGTGAATGCATACGTAAAATCGCGGAACCCGGAAAAGTTTACTGCATGTGGTGCGATTGTGAAATACAGTACGGGAAAGGTGGATGGAGAGTACTCCGGCAGCACATGCAGAAGAAAAAGCACAGAGAAAACGCAGAGCTGAGAAAAACCAACTACAGAATTTCAGGTAACCTTATTTATGTTTTTATACACAGTAATCATTTTTGGCATAAAAAGCATCCATATATGTATGTCAAATTAGTCACCGCAACATTTTTGAAATTACGTATTTTGTACTTTGCCGCCATTACGTATTTTGTACTTTGCCGCCGGCAGCCTACGCGGCTAGCTACCCGTGACTCGCGCGTAGAGAGTACCCTAACTTCACACACGCGCCTGCCCGTACATAACGCGGTATGTACTTGTATTGTGCAGCGGTTTGCAGTGAAACCGGGTGACCAAACCTGTGAGAAAGATCGAGTACCGTATATTATCATGTCTTCTTTTGTAGGGAAAATACTCCAAAAGAGATAAGAAAAATGACACAAAACAGGTTAGATAGATAATAACATTAACATCTTGAACATTATTTGAACAATTGTGGAAGATTTAGTGAATTTTGTGGTATGTTAGATTTGTGTTTGGTAAAATAGTTGGGCACTCTACACACGCGAGTCACTCACGGTTAGCTAGTACCGGTACCGTAGGCTGCCGGCGCCAGAGTATCCGGGTCACACTTGTGACCAAGTGCCAACTTATTAAAGCCCCTCTAAGGTGTTTGGAGCCCCTCTAAAGTGTTGGGGGCCCCAAATTCGCCAACATTTCACTTAAATTGTATCATAATGTGAAAGAGGATGTCAATTAATACATACTCATCCAAAGACCCCCCCCCCCCCCCCCCCAAAAAAAAAAGTGTTTGAAGACAAATATTGTTGAAAGATTTTTCCTAGGCCTAGATGCAGAAAACCTTTTTTTATTTCTTTCATCTATATTTTACTTTAAAAACATTTGTTTTGAAAATTCTTGTAGAAATGTGTCTTAAATGGCATCCTCATTCACATTAGGCCATGTAAAAAGAATTTTCATGTTTAGCGTCCCCGCCCGCTTCCTTTTTGGGGGCCGCCTCTTTTTTATTTTAAATTATTATTATTATTATTTTTTTAATATTTTTTAAAAAGAAAAACAACATGAAAAACACTGCTAATACGGTCTATTTCTGACTTTTGTATAACAATTAATAAAAATGCTGGCGGCCATCTTAAAAAAGTAGCCTGATTGTCAAGGAAAATGTAACGAGCGGCCATTTTGAAGAAGAAAAAAAAAGGGCATCCTTCCTTTTTTTTCAAAAAAGGCAGGACGCTAAACATGTTTTTTATTTCTTATTTGGCCTTATGATACAATTTAATTGAAATATTGCCATCAAATTGTTGGGGCTCCCAACACTTTAGAGGGGCTTTATGACTAAGAGCAACATTCAAAATGTTAGCAATAGCAAACCATGCTCGTGATTTTTTTTTTCAGCTGAAGCTGCCCCTTCTACGTCCACCGACACTTCAACGTATGGCATGCACCCGTTTTTCAAGCCCAAAGCACAGCCTAGTGCAGCTCCAATACAAGCCAAGGTACCACTGGTGGATAGAAAGGCTAACCAGGAAGCCATGTTATTAGCGTTCATGGCTGAGAAGTCACTGCCCTTCACTATGGCACCTGATCTTATTGACTTATCAAAGGCCTTGTCAAGTGATCAAAAAGTACTGAATGAACTTTCTATGGATAGGAACACAGCATCTTATAAGATGCGCTTTGGTTTAGCTAAGACTATGGAAGATGAGCTTATAGCTGACTTGCAGAAAAATAAGTTTTCTATGAACATAGATGAGGCAACCTCCGATAATAACAAAAAAGTGTTATCTGTACTCGTAAGTTATTTTTCCGACAAGGCAGGGAAGGTAGTAATCAGACATTTAGCTTCGATGAGCCTAACAGTAGTGAATAGTGAAAATCTGCGGAACAAAATGGACAACTTATTGAAAAGGAACAATATTCCATGGACTAATTGTGTATCCATCTTGATGGACTCATGCAATGTCATGCGTGGCTGCAAAAGCGGCCTAGAAACTCGCTTACGTGGAAAGCAGGCACCTCACCTTGTGGATGTTGATGGCGACACGTGTCACCATGTGCATAATGCAGCCAAACGGTTCTCTAAGGAGTTTGACAATTACCTTGAATGTATGTTTAGTTCCATATACACTGATTTCAAGTGGTCCCCAGACTTGCGTGACTATTTGGAGGAATTATGCATCATCCTGGGTATAAAATTCACAGTGCCGGAACGGTATGTCCCAACAAGATGGTTGAGTGTTTATGGTGTAGGTGTTGATACACTGAGACTGTTTGACGTATTTACTCTATTTTATTATTCGTTCTTGCCAGCCAGTGATCGTACACACTTTTTACATCTATGTGTGGAGATCTACATAAGGAAAGGATTAGGAAGCAAGACACGAGATGCTGTGAGGGACATTCAGAGCAAGTTGCGAGTAAAGAACATGACCAAAGATGGGGAGAACAGAAAGGACCGTATAACGACAAAATTGTTTGTTACCCGTACTTATACAAAGCTGTTACTCCACTTCTATGCCAGCGTGTTACCACTTTTGAAGAACTTTGTGCTTTGTTTCCAGAAGAAAGAGACCCAGATACATAAACTGCATGACAAAATAGTAGACCTGACCAAAACATTCCTGGCATGTTACATCAAGCCAGAAGTGTTACAGCAAAGCGACAAGAAATTGAAAACAATGGACGTCACAGAAAAATCATCGTTGCTAATGCTTGATGACATATTTATAGGGCCAAAAGCTGAAGCTATTCTAGCAAAAGAGAAGAAGAGGGAAGTGAGACAGGACTTCCTTACAAGGGCCCTAAATGCCTACACTGCCACAGCAAAGTGCTTGCAAGACAAATTACCCCTGGCAAACAAATTTCTTATGCATGTGTCTGCTTTGGACCCCTTAGTTCGGGGTCATACACAAGCACAGAGGTACATGAAAGCACTTCCCAGTCTCCTGACCAATGTCCTAAAGGAAGATGAGCTAGAGAAGTACATGTTAGAGGTTCAGCACTACAACATGGCGAAGCTCCCAAATCCTACTCCTGAAACTAAAATAGATGAATGGTGGGTTGAAAGAGCTTGTCGATATCCAACTATTTGGGTAGTAGTGAAAGCAGTAGTAAGCTGTTTTCACGGACCATCTGTTGAGAGTTCCTTTAGCATAATGGGTAATGTAATAACCTCTCAGACTGCCAGCATCGGTATCAAGACATTTGCCTCCATACAAACTGTCAAGTACACACTGCAAGCTTCACAAAAATCAGCTGTGCAACAGTTCAAAAGAAAAGACTTACTTCATGACCCTGTATCACCTGCCCTCGTAAAAAACATGAAAACGGCATATAAGAGATATGCTACTGAACTTGAAGACTTGAAGACAGAAAAGGAAGCTAAAAGAGCAAAGCTGAACTTAAAGAAAAGTAAAGTAGTTGCAAAGAGAAAAGCGAAGGAACTTAATTTGTTGGCTGCACAAAAAGCAAGAAATGCACATAGGGAAGCGATGAGGAGGAAGCACAAAAAAGCCACCAAGAAGCAGCAACCACAAAAAAAAGCAAAGCACTAAGTACCAAGTAGTCAAGCAAGTGACAGGTAGGTCACTGATTAGTACATCAATAAAATGTAATCATTGTTTTAAATAATCTCTTGTACATTTGCTTTTTCTTTGCAGGATCATATAATCAAAAAGGTGAAAGAAATGGTAAAGCCTATTACATAATATTATGTAAATATTTGCCCATGCACTGTATGTTGATACTTTGTTGTAAAGTGGTCTTAATTTCACAATTTGTATAATAGGGCGCTGCCCTCTTGAACCCCTGTAAGGGGCTGCATCCCCTGGACCTCTGCTTGATAGCCTCGCGCCAGCGCTCGCGGCACCTCGCTTTGCTCAGATTTATAAAAACCTATTTTTTTTTTACCCCTCACTATCAGGCCTGGTGTACCTAACAACATAGCAACTCTTACTCTCTCTTTCTGCTTGTATGTGTAATTGTTTTTTTTTACAGACGTGTATCAATCAGATATGATTATTTACGTCTGGGGACCGACCTTTAACGTCACCATCCAAAAGATGTGACTCAGTTTCGAACCGGGGTCGCCTGAGCCAGTTTGTAAGCTTAGACAGAGAGCTGATCAAGTGATTCTGACAATTTTGAAAGGGATGGGGGGGGGGGGGGGATTTTGGAGGCTCACAGGGGCTTTTCCAGTTTCAGGGGCCTATCATTCTCTTTTTGAGCATTAAAATACCTTTTCATTCTACTTGCTCTTTGTAGCTCCAGCCACAGCCACGCGAGAAGATGAGAGGCAAGGAACAAACTCTGTCCACAATAATGAAGTCACCGACGTGAGGCAGCGCCCCAGCAGCAGATCCCAGTCTTGCTCCTCAGAGACGAATCACACGGTGAGGATAATGGGTTTCTTCTTTGAATCGTAGAATAATGCTTAAGCTATATTCAAATAGATGTTTGTAAGTCTTGCTTCGTGTAGAATAGTCACAAAAATCAATCATTTTAATGAAGAATAGTTTAGACTAAGAATTTGTTAAATAATAGTTTTTTCTTTGGACTTCATAAGTTTAAGATCCCTGGGATATTGTGTTCAGCGCTCTCCATCAAATTGTCCCTTTTTCGTAACATATTTCAGGTTAATGTTTTTGTTAACAACAGTTTTGCAGTACTTTTACTTCTTTAATCTCGTAAACAAATTAGTAGAAAATCTAGATATACACATTTTCAGGCAAGAAAGAAACAGAAACTCAATTAAACACATTTTTCTTGTGTTGCTTTTTCTCCATTCGTCAGAATTCCAACAACCAGCCAGAAACTCCTGTTGATACCCAAGGAGAGTCTTCGGCAGGCATGCCCGAATCAGATAATGCAGATGCCGGAAGAACTCGCTGGTCGTCCAAGCGGAAGAAAAGGAAGGATAAGAAAGATAAAGAAAAGAGAGAAAAGGACAAAAAGGACAAAGATGAAGTCAGTTACAACATCATTCAATCCCCCACGCATTCAGGGTTACCCAAGATCACTCTGAAGATTGCCCGAAAACCTGTGACATCGCCAAAAGCCAGCGAGAGTGAACCTTCCACCAGCGGGGAACAATCCAAGCCTCCTAGCGTTGAGCCATCAAAACCTACTAGCATGGAACAACCTCTACCACATTCTGATATCAAAACTGAAGTGCCTGACCAAAGATTGCAACCAGATGTACCAGTCAACGCGCAACACCAGCAACAGGATGTGATCCGTCAACAGCATTCAAAGGAATCGAGAACTGAACAAAGACTCAGTGAGCCAAACAGGACTCCAGGAATGGCTCCAGCAAGCCATCAGCAACATGTAGATAATAAAAATGATAGCACTGCTGGACCGCCGAGGAAGAGTGTTTTGAGACTAAGGAACGATTCAAACAGTGATGTGCAAAGTAAACCGGAGCTGGTGCATAAAAAGGACAAGGTGTCCAGAACTCACAGTAACAAAGGTCAGGGGGATGCTGATGTAGCCTCTATGGCGGTTGAGAGTGCACACGACGGAGACATGGAGGAACCAATGGATGCAGGTTTGTGAAGATATGTCTAAGGCGGGCATGCCTTACTGAATCAGACAATGCAAACACCGGAAGTACTTGCTGGTCATCCATCAAGTTCGTCCAGTGTCTGCATTGTTCAAGTTGGTGATGCTTTTGTATTTAAAATATACCTGCTTTTAAACGTAGTCTAAAACTTTGTTCTAGTAATCCTGTGAATCACAACAATAAAACTTTGCAATTTGTGATGGTTTCTGGTCTTGCCGTCTGCTTTGCCATGTGTATATACACTACTGCCTAAAGGTTTTGGCAGCGGGCTGACCCGATGCCCGAAGCGCGTAGCTGAAGAAACGATGTTCGGGTCGCGCCCGATGTTCGAGTCGCGCCCGAAATCTGCCCGAAATCAGCCCGAAATCAGCCCGAAATCTGCCCGAAATCTGCCCGGTACTATATTCGCCTTGAAATGATGCGCGTGCTGAAGTCGTGCGTTTTTAAGACTCGCACGCGACAAGACCCGATGACGTCACGTTGAAAAGTCAAATTGGTCGAGAAGAGCGATTCAACTGCAGATCAATTTGCCTATACAATTTACGTGTTAAAATATGAATCGCACCGCACAAAAATTATACACAAATACACGTAGAGTGTATGGGAGAGTCGAGTGTTTGTTAGGAAAGACGCTCACTAATTTGTTTTGGTGTTCACCAACTCTCACAGCAATATGAGTAAGGCAGCCTAAAGTCTAGTCTAAACCCCCTGATTTAGATCTAAGAGTGGATGACCACCGTAGGCTTTAGATATTTTTCTGCCAAACATCTTCGAGGAGCTAGGCCCAGGGTCCATGAAGTTAGCAGTCGCTAGCCGGACGGCAAGGGGGACGGCAAACGCTAGCATAGATCTACCGTACCACACCGTCATGCCTAGCCTAGGCTCTAGCCTAAACTTAATAAAATGGTTCAATTGAGCATTCATCAGACTAATGATATGAACAATTTGGTCTCACCTTACATTATGCCAATGACACATCAGTCCCTGTTTCCATATTTTAATTCCAAGGATTAAGAGATACTTTCTTTGCAACAGCTAAGTCATAATTAATACTAATAGTGCTACATTGTGTAGCCTGTAGGCATAGCCTATGCTAATAACACTATGCATGCTGGATCTAGATTTTGGACGCACGTGGTACGCGAAGCTTACGTAGATATCTAGGTCAACTTAGGACCTATGCTCGCGCTGCTTGCATCACGTTCGTGACCTTAAAAAAAAAAAGGAAGGCGAGGAAAAAGAAGAAAGGAAATATGTAGAAGGAGGGGAGGGGGGAAGAAAAGGAAGGAGAAGAAAAGAAGAAGAGTAGATGAAAAGCAGAGGGGGCGGGGGAGAAGAAAATGAAGAAGAGTAGATGAAGAAGCAGAGGGGATTGGGGAAGGAAAAAAGGCCCAAGGAGAGGAAAAAACGGGATATAAAGAAGCAGGGGGGGGGGGAGAAGAGTTGATAAAGAAGCAAATGGGTGGGGGTGAAGAAAAAGATGGAAGAGTACACCTGTAGATGAAGAAGCAGAGGGGATTGGGGAAGAAAACAAAGGAAGGAGAGGAAAAAGAAGGGGGAGAAGAAAAGGAAGGAGAAGAAAAAGAAAAAGGGGGAGAAGAAAAGGAAGGAGAAGAAAAAGAAGAAGGGGAGATGAAGAAGCAGGGGGAGAAAACGAAGGAGAAGAAAAAGATGAAGAGTAGATGAAAAGCAGAAGGGGGCGGGGAGAAGAAAATGAAGAAGCAGAGGGGATTGGGGAAGAAAAAAAGGAAGGGGATATAAAGAAGCAGAGGGGGGGGGGGGGGGGAGAAGAATAGATGAAGAAGCAAAGGGGTGAGGGTAAAGAAAAAGAAGAGTAGATGAAGAAGCAGAGGGGATTGGGGAAGAAAACAAAGGAAGGAGAGGAAAAAGAAGAAGGGGAGATAAACAAGCAGAGGGGTGGGGGGGGGGGGGGGGGGAGAGAGAAGAGTAGGTGAAGAAGCAGAGGGGCGGGACCGGGGGGTGGAAGAAAAAGAAGTGGATATGAAGAAGCAGAGGGGTGGGGGAAGAAAAAAAGGAAGGAGAGGAATAAGAAGAAGGGGGAGAGGAATAAGAAGAAGGGGGAGAAGAAAAGGAAGGAGAAGAAAAAGAAGAAGACAATCTAACTAAAAATAAGAACAAACATAGACACACGAAACAAGCAGAGAACTTATTAATCAATTCCAAATTTAATTTGTTCACCAATGAATTGAATGTTTGAATGAGGAGAGCTAGCGTAGCGTATATTTCGTATTATGTTAAAGGTAAAGACCAGTAATGGTCATGCGATTGCATTGTGAAAGAAACGTTGTGGAATCGATCAGAAAAGGTTGATCATCTAGCATCTAGCATCTGCAAGGTTCTGGAATCATCAAAATGATAAGAAATTTGGCCCATTCTTCGTAAAGTTACAAGCACTATACACAGAAAGATGTATATGGGACTACCCTATCTCTCTCACACGACCATGAGAGAGATAAATTTACCAAATATATGAATTAGTAGGCGGTTTCCCGGCAAATTTTTTATCATCATGTATTAGTCAAAACATATTCTTTCACATGATTGGTAATGAGAGCTTCCATTTCATTTTTTGAAATTGGGGCGTTACCAATACTGGTCTTTACCTTTAAAAGTGTTTCTAAACAAAGGGTACTTTGGAGACGAGGTGTCTGGCAACATGCGTTTATCTCAGAAGTTATTTATAAACAGATCATGTTTGCGCGGTAAGATCACGTGATCTTAGTAGTGATGATTGAACTTTCGAGAGAGAGAGAGAGAGAGAGAGAGAGAGAGCAGTTCTGCCCTGAAAACTAAGCGTATGCATTTGTTCGAATCTTTCTCATCTTTTCTGTTTTTGCAATTCTTTGTTCCACCCTCTCTCCCTCTCTCTCTCTTTGCTTGTATATTCCCTTCTCTTGTTCATTACGGTTCTAGTTCTAGGAGAATTACCCTTGGGCAATCACCCCGGCCAATTACTCCCCCCCCGCATGCCGCTGCGGTTTGTAGAAAGAACAGAAAAGGCGTAAACTTTGCGTAACATGCACTTTCTCTGTCATCATGATGGTTCGTAGTAGGTCCATGCTGAAGGCTGGTGGAATTTGACAGGGGCCATGCGAGCGGCCACAGAATATTCATAAAACAATAATTTAAATGTTAATAACTATGCATCATGAGCCACTCGTGTTTTCTTAAGAACCCCTTTAAATATTGTGTTGCTCTTTACTCGAATATCGCAACCCTGAATCGCATTTGATTCCACATTTGGCGTCCATTATGCGAGCACGAGCATACAGCCAGTAGTTAACTAGCCTAGCCTCGTGGTTGCTGCTTTCCCTAACGTCCGCAATTAAGGCACACCTTTTTTCCGTCAGCAAAATATCGAAAGTCGGGAGTGCGCCTTAAATAGTCAGGAACAGGATATTTGAGACCTCAAATGCTACTTTTTAGTGGTTTTCAAAAATCTCTGTCTCAACATGAATTACATAATGCAAATAAAGAATAGGATCTACTATTTGAAGTTAAACTACGTTCCTAATTTGAAAGGAAGAGAGGGTTTTTTCAGTTTTTGTTTTCAGTCTCGATAAATTATGCCCTGTCACAAGGCACTTTGCCGGCCGAAGCTCTACCGTGTCTTCAGCTCACTCACCTCAGGGACTTGTTAGTTGACAAGTATCCTAAGTCCCTGCTCACCTGTATGATGCAGCTCACACAAGGGATAACGAATCACCACACGAAAACTAGCCTGTCCACATTTCTGTTTGGACTCGGAGGAAAATTCTGTCATCTTTAGTTTTAAAAACAACATTGTTACTGGGTCTAACTCAGTTCACAAGCACTTCAACCGTGCCTCGTAATAAAATGAAAGTATTTTTTAGCACTGTCACTGAAATAAGAGCCGATCTGATGTTAACAAAAAGACCAATGTTGGCTTTTTTTTGGTGGCTTTTTGTTAACCAGATCAGATCGCGTCTTATTTCAGTGTTCGAAAAATACTTTCACTTTTCATTATACGAGGCCCCGGCCCCCCCCCACTCAGTGTTATTTAGGGTACGCATATGCGTGTTCCAACCGACCCCCCCTTTTCAGCAAAAGTCCGGTGTGTAAAGTCAATACGGCTCGACCTTTTTCTTTTGTATACGAGCCTTTTTCCGGACCCCCCCCTTTTCAGCAAAAGTCCGGTGTGTAAAGTCAATACGGCTCGACCTTTTTCTTTTGTTACGAAAAGGACATTTTGGCAACACGCATGCGGTCATTTTGAAACCTGAGTGGGGGGGGCCGGGTACGAGGCACAGTTGAAGTGCTTGTGAACTAAGTTAGACCTAGGTCTAGTAACAACTAACAATGTTTTTTTTTCAACTAAAAATGACAGATTTTTTTTTTCTGATTTTTTTTTTTTTTTTTTTTGGGGGGGGGGGATCTTCGAAATAGGGGTGCGCCTTGTAGTTTTGTGATTTGCTTTCTAGTATTGCGATGATGTATAGTTGTACGCTTTAAATTAAGACATGTTCATCATTGAAAATGGTCATGGAAATTTACATTATCCTGCTCTGGAAAGTCATGAAAAGTCATGGAATTTTTAAAATGTGTAAGTGTACGAACCCTGAAGTAAGTCTTTATAATTATTTGGATGTTTTGATATTTTCGGTTGATTCCAGATGAACAAAAGCAAAGGTAAACTGTTCGCCAGATTCCGGTAAAAATCGCCAGTCAATCCCTCTTTGAGTGTGAAGCAAGGGTTACCGGATGCGTGTGGGTCACCTCCCTGGTTTTATCAAAGCATTTATCCTCGTACCAGACGGTTAATTTCGTCTATTTTGTAATTAGCCGCCTGGAGAAGAAAAAAATCTGCGGTAGTCCACAGTTGACAAAAAAGTAAGGCGACAACGGTACCAAAATAAGTGATAATACTTCAACACTAAATACTTAAATTGTAAATTGATTTAATTTTTAGCTATGTCCTTCCATCGTGTTTATTTTAACTTGGACAAAATGACATGAGTTCGAGAACTCCGACTCGGCAGACGTTCACCGCATGTTAATTAAATCTGTTAAATGGTTGTTTTCTTGACAAAAACATCGAGTTAGAGTGACTATTGTGACGTTTGGAGATAACCATTATGACATCACAAAGCCGCGTAGCACTAGCATTCCACGCAGATGCGCATTTTTTCACAGACATTGCGCGCAAAGCAACGGCGCATAGCAACAAAGTAAACAAAGCAGCTCGAAGTTCGGGAACTTCCCGAAGTTCGGGCGCTCCCCCAAATTCCGCGCGTGCGTTCAATTCAGCTGCCCGAAACCTGCCCGAAATCTGCCCGAAATCTGCCCGAAATCTGCCCGAAATCTGCCCGAACTTGCTCACATTTTTGGCAATTGACACTCAAAAAAAATACGCGACCCGCGAGTAGCTTGCCCGCGCCCGCAGCCCGCTGCCAAAACCTTTAGGCAGTAGTGTATATATATATATATATATATATATGTGTATTCTTCTCCAAATTTATGTATAAGTTTCTTGGTATTCAAACAGAAGAACAGATGGCTGTTCCTTTTCAAATGCCAATATACTACAGTTAACTAAGGTGAAACCTACTTCAGTGATCACCTGGGCCGTTGCATAAAACTGACTATTGATGGTAACTTTGCCATCAATGGCAACTACCATGGTAACAGGGCTCAACAGCCAATCAAAATCAAGGTCCCCACGATAGTTAACATTGATGGCAAAGTTACCATCAATTGTAAGTTTTGTGAAACGGGGGGCCCTGTATGTAAAGATGTCATTTGTTTCCTTGTACAGTGTTTCCTGTTGAAACCTATTCTAGATACTACCTGCAGACAAAGACCCCATTTCTTGTCTCCTTTGAGTAGTGTTTATGTACAGGATTGACTGAATATGGGTCATTTTCAACCCTTAAAATGACATTATCCATTTCAGAGCCATCAGAGCATGCGCGTGCCAAAACAGCCCAACCTCGAGTCGTCCTGACCAAGCTCTTACCCTCGTCCATGGAAGATGAGCTCATTCCAATGAAGCTGGACGGCAGAGGGAAGAAACGGGGAAGGGGATCGGTCAATTACTGTGAGATTTCCCCCAGCAACAGCCCGCGCCCCCGTCCCTCAACGGCCAATAATCCTGACAATGAATGGGCCCCTCCAGCAGCCGCTCCTGTTGCTGTTGCATCAAGCAGCAGGTCACCGTCCCATTCCAGAGCCAAGGCACCTTCACCTGTTCCAGAAGCAGCCCCCACGGAATTCGCTCCCATCTTTATTGAGAGGAACGAGGCAGAGGAGGCGGCAGCTGCAGCAGAGACAGAAGAAGAGCGTAAGCACATTGTCAACTTTTTTAATGCTTGAAAACGGCGTCATCTGACACCCGTCCGGCAATGATTGCTAGGGCTTAATTTCATCAAACGTATAGAGGTAGGGTTAGGGTATGGTATGGTGCAAGGTCCAGGGTTGAAGATTCAGTGAACATTACAGCAATCAATGCTGGAGCATGTATTGTAAAAGTGTGGTCATATTTGGGGGGGGGGGGGGTATTTACTTCTATGTATTTTGAAATTTTGAACCACAAAACAATCTAAAAGTGGTATTTCAGCAGTGTTTTGTAGACCTATATTTGTCTGATTGAGTTCGATTGAGTTTATTGGAGTAGTTTTAATTTCTTTATGACCTTGACTACTCACTTTGATCTCTTATAACTTTAAAACGGAGTAGTAAGATGTTGCATTGAAACCTAGGGAACATTTAACAAAACAGGATGTGCTTATCTGGTATGCCAAGTTTTAGGGCAATCTGATCTTCTCTAATCCTCCTCTTATCACCTTGCACAGCGCCTCAGGAGTCTGTGCTTAAATAGACTACAGCCTTTTAATCGCCTTTCCTCTAAAATGGTAACATTCATTGGGACTGGGCATTCTTCTCTCTTTTAAAATTGGGTTAGGAAAATCAAAATGAGATGAGTTATACATTTTAAAGCTGAGAATATCCTCATTTAGAATCATTCTTAAACTAGATAATAATTGTTGGTGACTTTTTTGGTGGTTTTGTTGTGCTGGGTCACATATTGGGGATAAGACTTGTAGCATATGTAAATGCCAGAATAAGTAACCAAAGTATGCATTTTGTGAGGCCATGATTTATTTGTTATTATAATTTCTTTCAGGTGAGACTAGGAATTGCAGGTAATTAATTTAGTTTAAAAAAAATAATAATTCCACAGAGTGGTTGATGTTTAGAGCCAAATACTATATGAATATTTCCAATAAATGTGTTGTTCTTTAATCATCAGGACCTGCAAAACGGATGAAGAAGGAAGAGAAGCCTAAAAAGAAAAAGGGCCAGACGGATGCAGAGTATGAGGGTAAGCGTTCTTGTTATTCAGAGCCATATAAGATTTATTTTCGTTTAAAGCTATGTTTATAATATGTTCTATTCTGCTTTATATGTTTTATCAGGGTACATAAGAAGTTGATGACATTTTATATATTGTACTTGCATTATTACAAAATCAGAATATATTTACCATTAATATGATTATAATAATAATTGTAATGTTAATATACTATGATTAATATGATTGTAATGTTATCTCAAATTCCATATTATGAAATTATTTTTCGCTCTGTCTCAACAGAACTGATGGACACACCCACGTTCAAGAGGTTCAATGCTGCTCTTGATGCTGTGTTTGAAAATTCAGAAGACATGGAAGTAACTGTTGACACTGGTAAGTTTCTTTTTTTTTCATTGTTGGAAGAGGAGTAACCAGAAAGAATTTAGATAGATGATATTTTAGTGATTCATCATAATGATAATGATAGCTACATTTATATTGCATACATATCCATCCCAGAGGATGCTCAAGGCACCTACACAGTAGTATAATTACTCTGGCTTTAGCTCAGCTGATATAAGGCCCTAAAAGAAATAAATTCCCACGTTTGTGGAGATTAGCAAATGTAGATTAATGTCTTCCCAAAGGACATTAGTGCCTTGACGAGACTAGAGCCTCGAACCATGTGATCACACAGTCCGGTGACATATCCACTAGGCCACAGCACCTCTACCTCATAGGGACACTATGGGATACACAGTTGGTAAAGGATCATCAAATAATCAGTGGTTTTCATGAATGTTTTATTAGCTTCCAAGAAGCAAAGTCAGGAATGATACAAGTGTCTTCTTTTCTCTTTAAGAGCAGGAACAAGTGGTTATGTTCATTCAAGCCATAATCTGACAATTGTTAGTGACAAATTTTATTTCCAATTGTTTAACCGTATCATGATCAAGTGTTGGTAATAAAGTTCTTTCGTTCATTCATTTAAAAAATATATTTATATACTTATAATCCTCTTTCAGGTGATGAAGAAGACGAGGAGTATGCCCCTGATACACTTGTATCCAAAGCATTACTGGCTGAGCTGGTCAATGAAGCAGCGAAGCTCAAGTCGCTGGATGTCATGAACCAGGTAATCTTTTTTTTCATTTTTTGTCTCGCCTTCATAGCAAAAGCGAGACATATTTCCAGAAGTATCTATTACCCGTATTTGGAACAATTAGAGGCATTATATCACATCATCATCCAAAAAGTTGGATGTGATATTCACTGTCACTTTCAGGAATTGGTAAGGACAGAAGGTTTCATATCTAAGCTTCATGAATTACTAGAATTTACTGTTATGATTCAATTATATGATTCAATTATATTGCCGCATGAATCTTGTGCAAATTTGAACAGGTCGAAGTTGATGGTTTCATATTTGTTTAGAGGACATTTTTCTTAATAAAGAGATAAATGCAAGCCAGCCAATGATGTTTATTCTTGTCAAAGAGTTTGTTCTACAATCATCTGCTGATTTTGTGAATTCCTCGTTGCTGAGGTTGGCTATTATTATCTCTTTGTTTGATGTGTTGTGACATTAGGGCAATCCTCTTTGGGAAAATATCACAGAAAAAAACAAACATTGCTGTTGTCATTAGAGGGTTCAAAACAGTCGCAATCAGATAGAACAGTCTCAATCAGGTAAAACGGGAGGAGAGATCTGAGTGTATGGTGATTAAAATTTGTGTGACCCCTCCCTGGCACAGATGATGCCAAATGTAATCATGATCATAATAAGTAGAGCCAAAAGCACCAAAGACTTCTGTTGTTGTTAAACATTGTAATCATTAACAAAGACCAACTGTATTTTCTTATATGATTTTAGGTTTTACAGATATACCAGTGATACTTTTTTAATAGATTTAGTTTTATCCACACCCAGGTCCCACTAACACCATTTTGTTTGCTTTTCACTAGATAAGAACTGAACGCTTAGTGAGGTTACTGAACATCCTTGAAAGGAATATCAGAGATGGTACAAAGCTCAATCCAAATGATCAGGTAAATCATATCAGCTCATATTAATTCTCATTTTAACCTTTTTCATTCAGTGGTTGGCAAAGCACACCCAAGAATATGAGTGCTGTACAATGTGTTTGAATTTAGGATCCAAACCCCATCCAATATTTCGATGTTGAACATTGTGTTTGGACTAAAGCCATCAGACCCTGTACAATCTGATTATGATCCGATTCAAGAAGAATTCGCAATAGCATTTGATATGAACGTTCAAACATGTAAAGTCTTAATGACAATGGATTTGAAAAGTCATATGATTAATAAAATCTAAATTGCAAAGAATTTCATGCTTCATTGGAGGAGGAAAAGCTCATTGACTCAGAATCACAGTGACGTCAGACAAGTAATGCGATTGTCTACTATTTGAAGCAAATTCAGGCTTTCATTCTGACTGAAAGAGATAACTGCACTGAATCGCAGGAGAATCGATAGTTGTCTCATGTGCTAAACAATGTATACTTTTCATCCAGAATAGTATCTCTCACCTTCAATTTGAAATTTGTTTCCATGGTAGATTATTTTTAGCCAATTTAACACTAAAACACTGCCTGAGAAGTCAACACATTTGTATCCATTGTCCCTTCTTGTCACAGGACGAGCAGAACCCTCGCGAGCAGCGCTTGTGGCGTGAAGTGACCATGGAGCGGGTGACCCGGTCAGTTGATTCCTCCCTCATAGCCCTCTACATCATGACCTCTGAAGACATGCCCAAGGAGGTCTTCATTGAGGACGTCATCGATAGACTGTCTCAGCTGGCCAAGTTTCAACTCACCAACACCATCTACCCAGAGTTTGACCCTGTCTACAGGGTCAACCCCAAGAAAGGTGAGCGGTGGTTGCATAGAATTATCCATTATACAGTGAAACCTGTCTATAAAGACCACCCTAGGGAAAAAAGAAAAGTGGTCTTTATAGGCAGGTGGTCTTTATGGACAGGTGCCTGTAGTACATGTTTCAATGAGACACCATTTTCAAGAGTAAACAAAAATGTGGTCTTTGAAGACAGGTGGTCTGCGTAGACAGGTGGTCACTAGAGCAGGTTTGACTGTGTTTTAAGAACTTGAAAAACATGAAATCGTTTTATTTACTACTTTTAGATGTGAACATAGGTGGAGAAAACAAATGCTGCTTGAATATTTTGAGCATTTAACCGGTTGACTACTGAATTCTTTCATTCCTGTAGGCTTAGTTCTGGTTCCTACAATTTCCTGTAGACAGTGGTTTAAATGGCAGTTCATCTAATATAGGGTTATGATAAAGCTTGTGAAGACAGTTCAGAATATCTGGAGATGTATATGAAGATATAAGGAATTAAACATATTAATAACTAGTTATTCAAAGTTAGTATGATTAATTTCCGAACAGATAATAATTAGAGGTCTGTGTTTTGCTGATTGTAGCGCATATTTTAAAGAGCAGTTTATACGTCATGTGTAGAAATCAGAATATACCCTTTCATGTTTCTGCAGAAATAACTTCAATGAATTCTATAATGTAATAAGATACAGTGAAGCCTTTACAAAAAGACCGCTCAAACGAGTCAAGAAAAGTGGTCTTTATTGGCAGATGGTCTTTATGTACAGGTTCCTTCAGTACATTTTTTAATGAAATATTGTCAAAGGAACAAAAATTGTGGTCTTTATAGACAGGTGGTTGCTAAAGCAGTTTTGACTGTAGGTGGTATACTATGGTTTGGGTGTTAACTTGAAAGTGATGTCTTCTGAATACTTTTGCAAAAATAGATGGCAGAAAATCAATATTCCATTCGTTGCAAATTCCTGTGTTTATTATCGATTATATGCCATAATTTATAATTTGTTTTTCTTTCAATCACGCAGAGGTGATAGCCACCCATACAAAGCTGAAGAGAGCCAGAGCGGGCGAGGTGAAGGAGAAGTCTGTTCTCATGGTGTACAACAAGCTGTGCGCTCTTGTCGCAAATCTTGCCGAGCTTCTAAACCTCCAGATTCTCACCGATTCTACGGTCCTCCTGGTGAGTCCAATGATATGTTTAGGGGATCGAATGGAACATGACTTGAAACGGGATAAGATTCTTAAAAGAGTACCAGAATCCTCTTGTATTAAAAAGTTGTGACTGAAAAAAATTAATCACAAAGTCCAAAATACATGATACTGATTGGGTTAAAGATCAGTTGCATTTACACACAAATTGTTATGCGAGAAGCACAAAATTTCCCTTATTTTCAACTGTAAATACCTCTTGTTGCCTCCATTTCAGCTATAAATACCTCTTGTTGCTTTCAATCCTTCAGCTTTGTTTTCTCCTCCATATAGTTAATACATGAAATCAGTGACAATGACTTGATGATTATAGTTATTTTTTATTTTCTGATAGATTTCTTCAATGGGCACTGCGCCTTTCTTTGTTGAGAATGTCAGTGAACTTCAACTCAACTCTCTGAAGCTGATCGCTGCTGTAAGTATAGAAAAAAAATCTAATATAAGACAATTTTCCATTTTCACCATTCTGGTAAAGTGTATTGTGAATATTAACAGCCCTTTCTCTCTTAAATGTGTGTGTTTTTAGTTTGGTTGTTTTATTGTTTTTATTCTTGTTATTTTATTTTTTGACACTTTCTTCACTCACAGCCTTTTGTCAATAAATGCATTTACAGGATTATTGAAATATGTGTATAATAAGGAGGATCTGTCTCCAATAATGAGTTGATGTTTTTAAAATATAATTTCTTGCTTCTTCAGGTATTCTCAAGGTATGAGAAACACAGACAACTCATCCTGGAGGATATCTTTGCCTCTCTTGCCAGACTTCCATCGAGTAAAAAGAACCTCAGAAACTTCAGGTAGATAAACTTTTTTCTTCTTCTATAAATGATGTATTCCATTAAAGAATCACAGTGAAACTATGGACAACATCTCAAACATGTGTCTTCCAAAAATTGAATTGTAATGACCATTATAGGTCATTTAAAGAGAAGGTTGAGTTCTGGGAAGAGGTGAAAAATAATTTGTGAGAGTTATCATTCTTATTATGCAAGTGTGGAAGAACATCAGATAAGACATGTCCCCTGAAAAGCATGGCTCTTCAAATGCCTTCATATTCCAAATATGTCAATAACATCGTAAAACTCGGGGGGGTAGGATTTTTACACCACGTGTTCGTGTAGTCCCTTATACATCTTTCTGTGTACAGTGTTTGTAACTTTACCAAGACTTGGCCAAATTTCTTATCATTTTGATGATTCCAGAACCTTGTAGTACACACAAATTCTTATATGCTTGATGATCAACCTTTTCTGGTCGATTCCACACCGTTTCTTTCACAATGCAATCGCATGACCAGAACTCAACTTCATCCTTGAAGTGGAAGTTTCGAACTAATCTTCATTTTAATTTTCAAATCAATGAAATTTAATCCAGAGGTTTGAGATTAAAAGGTAATTAACTAGTTAAGGACTTGATAGCAATCACCTTTTTTCTATGTTGCAACAGTATTTTACTCCAATCAGATTTGATTTTTGCTTCTGTTACTATGGTAGTAGAGCCATTTTATCTTTGGGTTGTCAATTTGTCTGTCCATTATCTATCAATCTGTTTATGTAAATTTCATTTATTGTGGCCATGGTATAGTTTTGGAAATCTAATGTAATATGTTCCACCTTTATGGTGAATTGATCATTAGTTTCTATTCCACCTTCCATCCAGACTGAACAACACAACCAACATTCAGATGGTGACTGCTCTTGTATTACAACTCATTCAAGGTGTAGTTGTGTTCGTAACCCCAGATGGCGATGGAATGGATCAGTATGATAATGTTGATGATGACGGTTCAAAGGTATGTAAGAAAATTCTTAGAGACAGAATTTAAGCATAGTTTGCGGAAAATCGGTACAGTGTAAACACCAGTCTGGCTTTCAACAGACAATTTTTTCTTCTTGATTGTTTCTTTATTTAAGACGCATTAATGAACAATGAAATTAAACCTTATGAGATTGCATATCAGGCTTATTAAAAGTTAGTACAGCGTATTACTGATGCTTCAGAAGTAGTCATCGGTGCCCCCCCCCCCCCTTCCTTGAATTTGAAAATGTGTTTCTTTTGGTTTTCATGTTCTGTGTTTTCATATTGAATAGCTTTTTGTGTTGTTTATTTGTAAGACAGGAATGAATGAAAAAAGGAATTAATAAAGTTGAATAAATGAGGTTTATTATCAGCGTTTGTTAAAAGCTCTGAACAGCTGCTTGTTTAGAAATTGGTTGAAATTACATAACAATTGCTCTTATCAACATGGAACATTTATTTGAGTGTAAGTAACATTCAATTAATAAAGCATTTATAAGAACAAAATTCAGTTAACATATGTGTTAAATTCTGTGACTTTGAATACTTGTATGATAGGTAATGAGTGACAAATGTGGAAGAAATCTCACCATATGTTCAATTTGATTGCCTATTTTTTAATGCAACCTTTTATCCTTCACGTTCAAAACAGACGGACCAAGGTGTGCTAGTAGTCAATGCCTATGAGACAGCAGTGAGAACAGGGCAGAACTTCCTCTCTGTGTTCTTGAAAAAGTAAGTGCTTTTCTCAGTTACTGATTCATTGGACCAAAGTTTTATTGCAAAACTATACCTAGCCCCATATGTTCAAATCCATGTTATGATTTGAAGAAAGAAAAGTGGTTTCTGACATTTGTTCACATCCCCTCGTGCATTTTGCTAGTCTAAACCAGTAGTATTATTATCATGGCTTTAGCCCAGCTGCCTTAACGTGCTTAAAGCATTCACTACATAAATATTCCTACCAGGAATCCATTTACTACACCTGGGTGGAGAGTGGCAAATGTAGAAAAATGTCTTGCAGGACTCAAACCGTGAAGCATGTGGTCCACCACACCTGAGACCCGTTGCATAAAGCTTACTATTGATGGTAACTTTGTCATCAATGATAAGTTTTGTGCAAAGGGGCCCTGGACAGCTCTTCCTGTGATACCAAGCTTTCATACCATCTGTTTTGTTGTCTTAGGTGTGTCAGCAAGGACGAGGAAGACTACAGGCCGCTCTTTGAGAACTTTGTTCAAGATCTGCTTTCGGCAGTCAACAAGCCTGAATGGCCAGCATCAGAACTTCTACTCAGTCTACTCGGGAGATTGCTGGTATGTTTGATTTCTTGTTCTGTATCGACCGATCCTCACGGCTTTGTGTATAGAAGGATGCACTTTGTTATTCATATATTTATGTATCAGACGCGACAGTTTTTTTGACTCTGTGTACATTCTTTCTACCATTGTTGTCTATCTGTTTGTGTTTTTATTTGTATTTGAAATCCAATCTCATGATAACAATACTTATACATTGTTAAATCAGACACCTCTACAACATGAAACTTCCATGTATTTTGAAACAACAGTGATATTTGCAAGAAAACTTTCAAGATTGCAAACAGTCAGTGTTTTGTCAATAATTATTCAATTGATTTGTGGCATGAAAATTTTGCGAAAATTTCCCACTCGTACAATCGGCTAAAACTTCATATGTGTGAAAGTTACTGGTTTCATAGTATTATTATTTCGAATGATTTGCAAATAAAGGATAAATAGAGAGCAAAATATTATTTGTAAAAATTTCTTTATTAAAGGAAGTTTCAGGAAGTTTATTTGACGTATTTACTTTGATTTGGGTCTTGTATAATTTCATTATAAGGGACAGAAAATTTGATGAATATTGTTTGATAGTATTGGCCAACTTTCTGAGATAATAATTCATTTAGCGATTAAATGCTTGCCTAATACTAGTTCCTCTGATATGGGAAATCAGTTATTATGATTTCATTATCATTTGTTTCTTTTACTTTTTTTGTCATGAATGTTTCTGTTTCTGTTTGACAAATTTTCAGATGCACCAGTTCAGTAATCGCTCGAATGAGATGTCGATGAGAGTGTCTTCCCTTGAGTATCTTGGCCAGGTGGCAAGCAGACTGAGGAAAGATGCTATATCAAGTGTGATGGATGAAGACAGGCTCAATACCATCGTCAGAGAGGTAATAGGAAGATTTACATGCCCAACAGGCCATTTTCATGATGTAATGAAATTTAAAGCTCAAATATTTTTTAAGTGCCTCGTTACAAATTATTTCAATCTCCTTCATCACATTTCAATATTCAGTATGCACATTGCATACTTAAGTTGTTGCTATTATGGCTTGTCCTACGTAACAACACCTAATGTATGCAATTGCACACCGACTATTAACCCTATTTTAACCGGGCTATTTCAGACCAGGTTTTTACCGGGGGGGGGGGGGGGGGGTTAAAGTCCAATTATTTGAAACAAGGCACTCGGCAAACATTCAAGCATTAAATTTGATTACATTACAAAAGTCGCCCATTATAGGGAAGAATCTGGCTTAATACAAGAGCTTTGATTCAACCGTCTAAAGAATTTACAATATTTTCCATATATTTATTTGTTGTATAGCTATTATTTAACAAAGTCCTCTTGGGAATGAAGTGGTGCATAAATCATTCTTAAACTACTCAAAAGGCTTGGAGCAAATTCAATTTTATGTATTGTATTGGTCTTTTATTAGTGTTCATTGTGTTTCTTTTTCTATTTTGCTAGAAGACGTTGAAAATACAGTTTGAAAGTTGCATCAATAACCTACAAGTGTTGATGGTAGTAGAATTATTTCACACACTTAATTGTTTTCTCTGTTATTGCGCTGCTCAGAATACATGAGATTTATTTCAGGTCTTCACATTTTCTAAGTTATGAGTATGGGTAACACCTTACAAAAATCATGTCAGAACCAATGACCAATGTGTTATACAGTCAAACCTGTCAAGAGCAACCGCCCAAGGGAAACACAAAAAGTGGTCTTTGTAGACAGGTTCCTTTAGTACATGATTCAATGAGAAAGCATTTTCAAGGGAAACTACGAATGTGGCCTTGGTAGACAGGTGGTCGCTAAAGCATGTTTGACTGTATATATATATTCTGTTCCGGGAAAAAAGAATTTATATTGTTAACTATATCGTTGGTGTAGAAGTAGAAGTAGCATTATCCGATTCACCGGTAGCATTGTTATTGAGTTCATTATAATTATATAGTATATTCAAAGAAATATAATCATTTGATATCATTTCTTCTCTTGTAGATGAGGGGAGGTAGAGAATCCCCAGTTGGAGATGGAAAGCCATGTGACAAACTGGACTATGTCATGAACCTACAACAGGCTATGGTAGACTACCTCAGCTACAACAGTCGCAATGATCCAGCAATCTTGGTAAGAAAGGCAAATGATCTGCTTGGAACTGACTTAGATGTCATCACTTGGTTGTATATTTGTAATTTCGTTATTTATATCAAGGCTTTTAGGTACACATCATTTCGTATATTGAACTTATGTATATCATTAATGAATGTGTGTTTAATATGTATACATACAAATCCGTCTGGAAATGTCTTCTGTGAAGAAACATTCAGATGTACCCCTACTTCAGACAGTTTCCATGACAGATCTATTCTGTCAGGGATCTGTGAAAATGCCATTATAGATATAAAGGCTTTGTTTCGTTGGGACTCATGAAAACATGGGATCTATCGATTATCTTATGTCGGTATTATTTCTTAGGTTTTCCCTTGATTGAAGCCCCAATTCCTATGGGCATTCATTCTCTCTGTCTCTGTCTCTCTCTGTCTCTCTCTGTCTCTCTCTGTCTGTCTGTCTGTCTCTCTCTCTCTCTCTCTTTATCTCTCCTTTATCTCTCCTTTTCCTTCCTCCCCCCCCCCATCTCCTGCTCCCCTTCCTCTTTCTAACTCTCTCCCTTTCTCTCTTAAAGCCACACTGTACTACTTGTAGCTACTTGATCCCTCTATGTAGAAAACTTCCGCAATCGGTGCCTGTTGGTCCCCCATGATCCTCTTATTCTTATGTTAATTGAGAGCTGAGTTAATGAGATAGCCACCTGTCAGTGACCTCGCTGTGTGGTCTAATCCCTTCTGGCTGAACTAGTACAGTCTGCCTTTAAAGTGTCTAAGGGTCTGTGTGTTTTGGGAATATATTTGTTTGATGTCGATTCCACTAGTACTTATTTGGTTCTCTCTTTCTCTCTCTCGCTCTCTTGTTCTCTCTTGCAGTTTTCAAGGCAATTCTTTCTTGCCCAGTGGTACCGGGACACCAACGCCGAGGTGGAACAGACCATGAAAGCACCTCAGTCCAAGAAGAAGAAGAAAGACAGCGACGATGAGGATAGTGATGACGACGAAGACGACGACGACAGTGATGATGAGGAGGAAGAGGAGAAGGCTCGGGACAATGACCTCAAGAAAGCTGATATCTTACGAGCAGCAGAGAAGAGGAAAAAGTTTCTTCTTTATTCTATCAAGGTCAAAAAACCTTCTGGATCCATTAGGTGAGGATAAAGATATACTTATACAATATTGCCATTAATGATAATTAGCTTCCTTATAATTTAATTTCATTTATTGACCATTTAAAAACAACAAAATATACAAAATATCAATACAAAAGAAGAATAATACCAAAGAACAACAACATAAAATTAATAATGGCCCGGGCCCCTGAGAAGCAAGACTGCTTGTAATCGGGGCCCTAGTATAACAGGAATAAGAAATGGTTATGAAGGAGGGAAATGTTTATACCATATGAAAAGGTACTAAACACTCTCTTCGAAAGGCAATCCTAACATTATTGTAGTAACTTTCTTAACGTGAAAAGCAGAAAAATCAGAAGGCCAAATAAGTGAGGATTTGGAGAAAATAATATTGATGTGGATAATGTTTATTGATAAGTTTTGAATTTTAGAAAGTGGAAGTATTAGGGATGATTATAAGTCTGAAGTTGGCCTATGTGATAATGAACATTTAGATGTTTGTATGTATCTATGATGAAATGAGAACTCTCTATTTGGTCCTGCTTATCCAGCTGATGCACGAGTGGGACTTAATTCTTTGAAATGCAAGAGCGCCGTAATGGCAGCTAGGCTAAAGCCGGGGTAGTAATCAAATTGTGCGCCTTGAAATATAAATTGATTATTATTATTTATCATGCTCAACCTTTCCTTTCTAATGTTAAACCATACAGGAAAGGAAGGAACATCATCACGTACGAGAGTGCCGCCTTTGTAGTGAGGTACCTTGCGTCAAGAAGACCATTCTCACAGAGTTTTGATATCTATCTTACACAAGTAAGTATCTTTTTGAAGCTCTCATCCTTGCCTGAATTCATTCAACTAAGCGTTTCCAGCAAAAACGTTGATCATTTATGTGTTAAAAGAAAATGTTATCTTAAATTATATGGTAAAGTTTCAAGCAAAGATAATGAAATATGTGATGCAATAGAAGTTTGCCTTCCTGCTTTTGCCCAGTAATGTTTTTGTGCATTTGGCCAGCAGCATGCGTTCATGATTTTCTATGAGTTGTTCTTAAGTGTAAGTGTGAATTAGCGAATGTGATATCTCAATTTGTCCAAGGAAAGGTTATAACAAATGCAGATCCATGTGTAATTGTATTAAATGATGTACTCCTTTCAAACGAAAGTCATTTGAATGTATTCTTATGCTGCTGTACATTGCAGTTAATTTTTCGATAAGTACCTATACATAATAATCTGAATAAACATTACAACAAGTGCCATGTCTATTTACCTAAGAAAGACAAATGTATATATTTTTTGTTGTTGTTGACCTTGACAAGGATATTAAATGATACCGCAGTTGCCATATCCAGTTTTTTTAGGTAAAAGAAAATCCTGTTATTCGTTTTTCTTCAGATCTTGAGGGTATTGAATGAAACAGCAGTCGCAGTCCGAACGAGAGCTATGAAGTGCCTATCACAAGTAGTAGCCGCAGATCCAAAAATACTGGCCAGGGTAAGAATTTTGCTTTGTAGGAATGATTTTAAAGAAAAATAGTGTTTTTAAGATTTTGAGAATCATGTACCAATGAATGATTTCACTCAGTTAAGAGATTACTTATATGTTTTTATATTGCCTTTTGTAAAAGAAACCTGCTGCCTAACTGATCAGAATTTTCATGTTGTAGCAAGCGCATTGTAAATGATCTTTAAACAAATCAAGAGGTTGCACTACAGCAATACATGACTAAGAAATGAAAAAAAAAAACACGTTCCTGATGTGTGGAGGAGGGAAAAGGGATGTTCATCAATCTTCATGCCCATCAATCAAATATCTATCACATCTGGTTGCATTGCTTTTATATATATCCAGTATTCTATGTTCTGATTCAATGTATGTTAATGCATTATTGTTTTTAAAAAATGTTAAGCCCATGGAGAATTCTACAGATTTATATGCACTTTATATGCTCTTCATCAAATATCTATCACTTCATATTTGAATTGCTCCTATAGCTATATCCATGTATCATGTGTTGTGATTCAACGTTGTTAAAATGTAAAGCACATAGAGAATTCTACCAATTCTTATGTGCTACATAAGAACTTCCCATTATTAGTAGTAATGATCTGGATATATATATAGCGCTTAATACAGACCTGCCAACCAGTACGATTTAGTCGTATTTAGTACGATTTTTAGAAGCAAATACGACAGTACGATTTTCCTTCATAAAATACGATTTTCAACAAAACAAAAAAAAAAAGTTTTTTGTTGTTGTTTTGTTTTGTTTTTGTTTGTTTTTTGTTTTTGTTTTTTTTAATAATTTTTTTTTAATTAATATTTTGTGTGTGCATCCGCCATTTTCAATGGCAAAATGTCCATTCTGTCCTGTAAAGTATCCTACAAGCATCTCACATCAGCAATTTGGGGATGTTTATTGGTTCATCGAACACACCTGTCGTGACGAAATAATGCATATTCAACCAATGATCAATAAAAAAAATTCTTCCTGTAGGTAGAAACTGTAAGAGGCATTGATCCGCGTAACAATCCTTGTTTATTTTCAAGAATACAACTTTTGTCAGTAAAATACAACTTTTGACACTATAGAATACAGTTTTTGAACTCAGAGGTTGGCAGGTCTGTTAATATGAAAAACCTCTCCACTCCCGGTAGAGGAATTCCTATGACATGGTCACCATGAGGGCATATGGCAATTACTAACAAGAAGGCTTTCATCATTTTACGTGGACCCCATTTCTCTCCTGGGTTTGGAGTGGCAAATATAGCTAAATACCTTGCCAAAAGACAGTGCTGTGTCAGGGATCGAAGCCTCGACCTTTGAATTTCAATTCAAGTGCTTAAACCACTCGACCGTGACATCTCTACATTATTATTATTATGTAATTTTCTCTTTATATGTGTGTTGCTAGGCTGATGTGCAGAAGACGGTTCATTGTCGGTTCATGGATCAGTCGACCAGTGTGAGGGAAGCAGCAGTGGAGTTGGTAGGAAGGTTCGTGTTGATGCAGCCTGAGCTTACAGATCAGTACTATGAAATGCTCATCGAAAGAATATTGGTAAGTTAGCAGTAGCAGAAGTAGTAGTGGTGGTAGCCCGGTTCTTATGTGCTAAATGAAACTACTACAGTCAAACCTGCTTTAGTGACCACCTGTATAGAAAGACCACCTGTGTACAAGGGGCAAATTTGTTGTTTCCCTTGAAAATGGTTTCTCATTGAAACATGTACATAAAGACCACCTGCCTATAAAGACCACTTTTCTTATCTCCCTTGAGTGGTTTTTAGAGACAGGTTTTACTGCAATTACTTCCTCACAGTTCCTAACACAAATCAATCATTTGAGAGTTGATATTGATGCAACTTATTAGCGATTGATTTCAATCTCAACTATGTACATAGAAGATAGGAGACTGCAAACTTGCGATTGATTGGAGGACTTGCGATTGATTTGGATCAAGAGCAACTTTTTATAAGACGGGGGCCCAGAACATTATTTATTAATCCTGGTCAAAATTTAATATGCTTTTCTGAATACTAGCCATATGCTGTTTTGTAATATCAAGTGGAACCTCTGTATTAGCTAACTTCCTTGAATCCGTGCTCTCATCCCATGAACAGGACACTGGAATCAGCGTGCGAAAACGGGTGATCAAGACTCTCAGGGATATTTGCATTGATCAACCTGAATTCTCCAAGATTCCAGAGATCTGCGTCCGCATCATCAGGAGGGTCAACGATGAAGAGGGCATCAAGGTAGGAACAAGTCTCTCTCTCTCTCTCTCTCTCTCAGTCTCTCTCTCTCTCTCTCTCTCTCTCTCAGTCTCTCTCAGTCTCTCTCTCAGTCCCTCTCTCAGTCTCTCTCTCAGTCTCTCTCTCTCTCTCTCTCTCTCAGTGCCATATCGATTGACTTTGGCGATCATGCTGTTCCACAACCCTCGGCTCCTAGCCTTCTCTATTAGTACCACTTCCAGTTCTTTCACTCCTCTCTCTTTTTCTCCAGGCTGTCCATCCAAACTATTCTCCTTCTTCCCCTACTCCTCCTTCCCACAATTTTCCCTGTCAAAGCAAGATTCTCTAGGCCTTCTAGACCTAAAACTAGAACATCCTCTTCAGCCTTGTTCACATGCCACAAAATACTATGACAGCTTACTATTGGGACCTTTGTTGCACGAAGCTACCTATTTAATCCCCTCTTGCCACTTATTTAGAACACAAAAACTGTGGTGGATTACTGCGGCTGATGTGAAGGGGTCTTGTGTTTTCCATGTTGTTGTATAATACAGATTGTGTAGTTTCTCCTCCGTTAAAATTTGTTTTTTTTTTTTAAATATGTCTTGAAATTACTTTGTATTGGACACTAATTAGATTTGAATTGAGAGAAAAATACACCAATGAAATATTCTTACACTGGTGAGATACAAAAGTAATTCATATCATACCCTTTATTGAACACCAATTAAATTATAATTACATAAGAAATATTCCTACAAGATCTGTACTTGATTTTGTGTTTGAATTATCAGCAGGAATGAGTTAACGACCTGTTTCAGAAGATTTGAAACCAATTTCTTGTTACAAGAGAAATACATAAAATATGCTAATTACATAAGAAATATTCCTACGAGATCTGATGTTTTACTTGATTTTGTGTTTAAATTATCAGCAGAAATTAGTTTCATAAGATTTCAAACCAATTTCTTGTTACAAGAGAAATACATCAATCTGATATGATAATAAATTTATTTTAGATAAAATGTTCTCTTTTTGTTATCTGCAGAAATTGGTCAACGAGACGTTTCAGAAGATGTGGTTCACCCCGATGCCGAATCAGAACAAGAACCTGCTGCTTCAGAGAGCTCTGAACATCATTGAAGTGGTAGCAGCAAGTAAAGATACAGGCTATGATTGGCTAGAACAACTCCTTACAAATGTAAGTAGATTGGTGACAACAGAGCCATCTATACACAGAGTTTGGCCAACTTGGTTTCACTGGGTCACAACATGGCGTATATTCTTTGTTTTGTGCTTGCCAAACAAAGCAGTGGTCGTCATATTGTGACCAACTCGAACAGGGTTGGCCAAACTCTGTGTATAGATGGCTATGGGTGACAATTATTAAACTATGTAAATTGTATGCTGATATTGCATGATTCATAGTGGTTCTGTGGAGGTGTTGTGGAATAGTGGTTTATTCACTTGACTTCTCAATCTCAAGGGTTTAAGGTTCGAATCCCATCTTTTGGAAAGTCATTAATCCACAAAATTGCCACTTTCCCCTAAGTGTTACAGAGGTACCTGGGCAGGATTATTCCTTGAAATCAGGCCTGAGAATTTCCTGATTGGTTTTCTTATTTTTTTTTCCCCTGATTTTTTGTGTTGTTGATAAAAAAAATTTCCTCCAAAAATGGGTAGTCCCTGAGATCAATGTAAATCCGGTTTAAAATCAGATGGGTGAGGTGCTTTTTTTTCATGGCCATTAAAACAGTTTAGAGGATTACAAAAGTACAATTATTGACTGCTCTTTACCTGTTCATATCAAATTTAGAGTCGAATATAAATATATTATAAGCACTTTCGACGAACCAAAATGGATTGCATTTTCTTGCATCATGTTAAAGCTCTTTCACTAGACAATCTGAACAAATTTTCCCCCATCTTTCTTTGCTGCAGCTCCTGAAAAGTGAGGTGGACGCCCACTACAAGCCAGTACAGAAGGCGTGTATGCAGGTGACCGACTGCCTGGTGGAGCACGTGCTTCGGCTGGAGAGGGGTTCCGCCGAGGTGTCGGAGGAGGGCAAGGCCAACAGCAGGAGACTGGTCTCGTGTCTCCAGACCCTGTATCTCTTCAGCAAGGTCAAGCCGACGCTGATGGTGGCTCACGCAACCACTCTTCAACCCTACCTCAGTACAAAAGTGGCAGTGAGTATTTAGTTAGCTGTCTCTGCGGTTGTTGATGAATATGAAGATTTAGACAACGTGTGTACTTGTAACTAGGGCTTCAAGGCTAATTTTCATTTTCATGGGAGCCTGGATTGCAATTTTAGAGGTCTTTGGTTTTCTGGAGTGATTCTTTCCTTTTTTTAGGCCAGGGTGTCCTGGACCCATGTTTAGCATCAAGCCCTGATAAAACAAACAGATTACACTTATCTATGAAATCTTTACCCAAGAGCAGAATCACTGAGATGAGTCTAGATTTAACATGCTTATCCCCCCTCCCCCTTCCCTACACACAAACAACATTTTTGAATTGCCCACCTGAAAGGATTTATACCTTAAAAAGAGAATTCTGAGCTGATATTTGCTGCCACAATTTCAAAGTGTTTTGGAAGGGCACAGAATGCTATTATAATCATCATCATAATTATGATAATCGCCACCATCACCACCACCATTATCAACCTTATCATTATCTCTATCATCATCATCATCCTAGACGGCACGTGAAACGATGGTGATCTCCAATGTTGCCAAGATCATAGAGATGGTGGTACCTCTGATGGACCATCCTAGTGAAGTGTTTCTGGCCAGCCTCGAAGAAGACATGATGAGGCTCATCCTCAAACATGGACAAATGGTGAGAAAATAACACGTTTTCTTATGAGTACTGTAAGTAAGATAAAAATCTTTAACAACAAAGAAACTTTGAAAATTGTAAGAAATCTCTGTTTTTATGCCTCCGTTACGAAGTAGCCGGAGGCATTATGTTTTCGGGTTGTCCGTCCGTCCGTACGTACGTACGTACGTACGTCTGTACGTACGTACGTCCCGTTCTCGTGATCGCGTTATCTGAGGAACTGGTTGATGGATTCCTGCCAAACTTTGGTCATGTATGTATCTTGTAGAGCCGATGAACTGATTAGATTTTGGGGTTACGAGGTCAAAGGTCAAAGGTCACAGGGCTCATTATGTATGCAAAACGAGCTCGTGATCGCGTTATCTGAAGAACTGGTTGATGGATTCCTGCCAAACTTTGGTCATGTATGTATCTTGTAGAGCCGATGAACTGATTAGATTTTGGGGTCACGAGGTCAAAGGTCAAAGGTCACAGGGCTCATTATGTATGCAAAACGAGCTCGTGATCGCATTATCTGAAGAACCGATTGATGGATTGCTGCCAAACTTAGGTCATGTATGTTACTTGCAAAGCCAAAAAACTGATTAGATTTTGAGGTCAAAGGTCAAAGGCCACAGGGCTCATTATGTATGCAAAACGAGCTTGTGATCGCGTTATCTGAAGAACCGATTGATGGATTGCTGCCAAACTTAGGTCATGTATGTTACTTGCAGAGCCGATGAACTGATTAGATGTAGGGGTCACAAGGTCAAAGTTCAAAGATCACAGGGTACATTATGTATGCAAAAACAGCTCGTGATCGCGTTATCTCAAGAACCGATTGATGGATTCCTGCCAACTTAGGTCATGTATGTTTCTTGCAGAGCCAATGAACTGAGTAGATTCTTGGTTCATAAGGTCAAAGGTCATGGGCTCATTATGTATGCAAAAATAGCTTGTAATCACAATATTCTGAAAACCTGTTAATGGATTACAATTGAACTTGAATTTGAAAAATTTCTTCTGTTTTGGTTTGTAAAATTGCTCTATGACGGAGGCATCATTTTCGACTGCGCGCAGTCGAAGTTCCATCTAGTTAGTGATGTTTTTGCAAGATAAATCCGTCAGTAATCTGTACCCTGTACAAAATTGATGAAAATCTGCATTTTACAAAGTTCATGAAAATATACATGAAAGAGTTGCAGTTTTAAATATGGCCTCAAATTTTTTGATATACCTATAATGATTGAAAGCAATTCCCTGTAAGTTTGCCATTTAAAGAAATCGTACATTTAGTTTTTATTTTTTATCAATTTTGTTTGATGGACATTCATTCTTATTATTGTCTTCTAGATTGACCATCTAGATTCATTAGTTACGCTTATCCCCCATCCAATGTCATGCCTTTTAAAAATCTATGTTTAATTTTAACTTTCATGTTTATTTATCTTTTCTTGAAACAGGTGCTTCAGAGTTGTGTGAGTTGTCTAGGGGCAATAGTCAACAGGGTGACTCACAACTACAGACTAGTCAGAGACTGCTTTCAAAAGTACTTTAGTAAGTGTTCTCTGTGTAAAGACTTCACATCATTACATTACTTTCTCCAAGGGAAGAACTGAAAAGACTCGAGAATTAAAGTTGTATGAAGAAACAGCTTATTAAACTTAAATGAAGTTAATAAAGTAACTAGGCCCGAGTCAAAACAGATTTTTATTTTTAAGCCAGAGCCAGGTTGTCTTGAACTATTTGGAGTCCAATGCCCCAATGTATTTCAACATGTGAGACAACACTTTAGATTTGTACAGATTTTGTACATAAATCTTGGCATGTGCAGGTTAGAATATAATTCACTTTTTAAACAAGGTGAATCTTGTACCATAATTCTTTTTCATTCTCCAATAAAAGATATTTGTATTTGTTCATGTGAGGCTATTAATAGGTGGACTCCTGTTTCTTGAAGCCCATTTTGCTTTCAAAATATTGAATTTCTATTGAGTCTTCTTCTTCCTCTCCCAAACGTGTAGTCACGTAATTAATGAGTATAATTCAATCATAATTTTACCATGATTTTAATGTCATTTGATTTCTTCTCTTTTGTGGAACAGCCATTCTAGCCAAGATGAAGACAGACCATGACTCAACTTCGGACAGCCCTATCAGCAAGAACAAGCCAGTCTTACTCAGGTCTCTCTTCACCGTCGGTCTCTTCTGCAAACACTTTGATTTCGATGCAGGGCTCAAGCACTCCAAATCGTCACCCAAGGTGGGTTATATTCAGATGCTAGCTTGTAGAAGAATTAACATGAGCGGTGCATTTGCTCACTGTCTTGAGGTTAAGAATTCAGCAATATGTTAGACATCTTTACTTCAAAAGTATCATTTTACCTGATATTTGGTTTGATATTCCATCCAGATATTCTAACCCATTACGTAACCTTGACTCTAACCCAAAACTCTGAACTAGAATCCAACCTAAAACCTAATTGCGACCCTAACTCTAGTCCTATGTCTGTGACTAAATGAAGCCTGGAACAACTGTCCTAGAAGCACAACAGTTTGATTCACCTTATCGACTTGCTTCTTATTGATTGGAAAATGTTCATGTAGTCTTAATGGTTCTACAGTGGACGAGCCAGATAATGAATACATTTCCCTTCATGCCTTGTCATCCCCAGATACCGGTGAGGGACAGGGTGTTTGACGTCCTGCTCTACTTCTGCAACCGGGAGGATGAAGACATCAAGCTGAAGGCTCTGAGCGGCCTGGGGTTCCTGTGCAATCGCCATGCAGACTTCATGCTGACCACTGAAGTCAAAGATCTCTACTGGAAGATCCTCACAGATCCTGACATATCGGTCAAGCAATTGTGCCTAGTGAGTCTCTTCTCTCCATCTAAATTTATAGTTGTCCATGTTTATTAATTCTTTATTTCCCAAATTTACCGTCGGCCTATACTTTCTACTTATTTCTAGATTTCTGTTGTACTGTTAATGCTAAATGAAATCCAATGACCTCTACTGAAAAATCCTCACAGATCCTAACATATCGGTCAAGCAATTGTGCCTAGTGAGTCTCTTCTCTCCCTGACAATTTATAGTTGTCCGTGCTTGTTATCTCTCTATTTGCCATATTTTCTTTCGGAGCGAACGGTTCCAGCATATATTTTACACTTATTTTGAGATTTCTATGGTAATGGTAATGCTCAATGTAATCAAACAGTTTTTGTGCAACTCATTTAGAGTGAAAGTTGATGTTAGATTGTCAATTGTTTTCCCTAGTTTTAGCACTCGTGACATGTGAAGGGTTGAATAAGTTCACTAGTTTCTTTCCTTTTGTAAACCCCAATATTGGTTAAGTTACTGTGTGAAGTGCACTACATCAGTGTCCTGCATCATTTAACTAGTTGTATCTAGTAAATGATTTGTTTTCTGAAAAAGTTTGAAATCCTTAAAATTTAGATTCTATTATTCATATTACTATTCAGATCGTGATCATTTGACATGTTTGAATGTTCACATCAAATGCTATTGCAAATTCTTCCAAAATCAGATACATGTAGTTGTCAAATCGTGTAGTGTGCTGTGAGCTTAATTTGTGCTATACCCTTCTTGCATTCAATTATCCTCCCTTTACCCTACCCAGGGCTGTGACATCACCAAAAAAAAGCTGGGCTTGTAGATAACATTAAATTGTCATTCATCATTCATTTTTATAAGGTTGCTGATGTAGTTTGTAATTTCTATTATTCTATTTTATTTTCTTTCAGGTGGTGAGAAATCTTCACTTATATCTTGTAGAAGAGGATGAGAGGATGAGACAAGCAGATGCAGAATGTAAGTTCCTCTCATTTATCATGACCACATTCCTTTCATTTCATTTGAAATTGATCATTACAATCCTCATTCACTCCTGGGCCCTGTTTCATAAAACTTGATATCAATAACAAGTTACAATAACTGTTATTCTTAAGCTACTGAAATTGTGGCATATGATCGGCTGAGAGGCTTTGTGAGAGCAAGTCTGTCATAGAAATTTAGCTTTTGCCATTGAAAACAAGTTTTATGAAACAGGACCCTGATTTGTTAAACTTTTTCAAGAGTCTTTTTATGTAATTTTTTTTCTTCTACTGATATGAGAGTATTTGATAAATCCGATCCACAGAGTATTCGGTACAGTGCCTTTTTCTTGCAGTTACAAAGTGCTTCCATAAAAGAGTCTAAAACTTGTGACAAATCTATTAATGATACAATCGGTGATGTAGTATAGAACTTGGAAGTAGAGATACTACTGCTTTTTACACATTTCATTTCATTGTAAAAAGGGTACGAAATAAATCACACTTTTTATGCTGGAAATTCAGACATGAATCTTTGGTTGTCAGAATGTCATTTGAATGTTGAAAGATGATTTGCTGAATTCTATCTTTCACTATTCAGTTGATAAAAGTCTTTATTTCTTCTTTCTGTTTCTCAGGGAAAGCACATGCCAAAGAGGAAGACCTGAAGGAGATGGGTGATGTACAGTCTGGGTAAGTAAACACTGTTACCTCTAGGAACTGTCATCTTGTGAAAGGAGTGTATGCTCGTTGGTGGTGGTGGTGATGGTGATGATGGTGGTGGTGGTGGTGGTGGTGGTGGTAATGGTGGTGGTGGTGGTGGTGGTGGTGGTGGTGGTGGTGGTGGTGGTGGTGGTGGTGGTGGTGGTAAAGATGATGATTATGATGATGATGGTGGTGGTGGTGGTGGTGGTGAAGATCAAATTGATGATGGTGATGTTGATGATGATGATGATAGTGATGTTGATTAAAATGATGATGATGGTTATGATGATAGTGATAATGGTGGTCATTTTGATGATTATGGTAGTGATTTTGTGGTGATGGTGATTAAATTTATGGGCCATTCCATGTGAAACGGGACAAAATGCTTTAAAACTTGTTGAAATGTATTCTACTACTAACTGTTACAAACCTTAATACCTAAAACATGTACTGTTCAATCATAAAATTCCTTCTTTGAGACGACGCCTATATTGATAACAGACAATGTCTATATTGATAATTAATGATAATGATGGTATTGGTAATGAATATGTGTTTAACCTAATGTGTAATATTGTTCATTGACCACGCCTATATTGATACATAATGATGGTAATGGTAATGGTAATGAATATGTGTTTAACCCAATGTGTAACATAGTTTTATCATCTCCATACTCTCCATTTACAGAATGAGCAGCTCTGTAATGCAGATGTACCTGAAGCAAGTGATGGAATGCATGCTACACAAGCAATCTATGGTCAGGATGGCATCGTTACAGGTCATTGTTCTAACGCTAGGACAGGGTCTAGTCCATCCTGTACAGGTGAGACTACCTCTATTTTTACTTTTAAGCAGGGATGCCAGTTTTCAGGCTTTATCCCGCATTCCGGTCCTGTCCTCTGTTTCAAATTTTGTTCAGGCTTCATAGTATACAAACATATATCAGACTCCAATATGTCATGGTTTGTTTTCAAGCTGGTTGAGTAAAAGCAACTGGGCCCTGTTTCATAAAAGTTTGTATCAATAACAAGTTACAATAGCTGTCATAAGCTGCTGAAACTGTGGCATTTGATTGGCTGAGACAAGATTTGTCATAAAATTTTAGCATTTGTTGTTTAAAACAAATTTCGTGAAACAGGGCCCTGGTATCTTGTGTTAATCCTCTTCTCTATATTCCACGGGAAACCACCGCAGTAATATGCTGCCTGGGGCTTGATAAATCTCTTGTGCTTTTCACACTTTCATATCTTCTAACACGCAAGCAAGCAAGTAAATGTACAATAGGACCTTCGTTGCTCTTCATTTACTTTTTGTAAACGAGAAATCAAATTCCATTGTCTACCACTTCATATGTTAGCAAGCCTTGAGGAGAGCTTCTGGCAAATGACATAATGAACATTGGCCAAGTTAACATAATGACGTCAATGCATAGGCTCCTTTTGCCTCCTCTTGTAAATGTAGGTGTTCCCTTTGTATATGAATTTGCATCAATATAGTTTATTAACGGTATAATGAAATGCCGATGTCAACAACAATATTTAAAGATCCTTTGATTCTCCTCTTTCATATTGAAAGAAAGGTCATTATACTATTTCTTGATTCTTGATGTGAATAATATAAAATACAATCCCAAATTGTAAGTACATGGAGACCAAACATGCATTGTTCAGCCTTACTCAACTGCCGTCCGATTTTATTGTTAGTTCCATTAGTGAATGTTTGTGTTTGTTCTTTGCAGTGTAGCGATTGACAACTTTTCTTGAAGTGCAATGTTTTATTTCAAGTACAATTGTTACCTAAACATGTGATTTGATCTGTTGCACAATTTCGATACATTTACGCAAATTTGTACAATTTCTCTTTAAAACATACAATTTCATTTCAAACAATTTTTAAACCAATTTCGACGTTTTCTTCCACCCAGTGTGTACCTTACCTTGTGGCCATGGGGAGTGACCCAGAGTCTGCCATTAGAGTGAAAGCTGACCAGCAGTTGACACACATAGACAGAAGATATCCAGGCTTCATACAGGCAAGTACTCCACTATTGTGACCTGTTATCTTTCACAAGATGGTAACAATGACAGTGGCAGTCAACTGATCTACAGCCAAGATGAAAGGAATAAGCACTTTTGGAAAGATATTTAGAAATGGAATTTGGAATTACAGTAAAACGTGTCTTATTAATTTAAGGCAACCCAAAGAAAACACAAAAAGTCGCCACTGTGACTGGTGGCCTTTATAGACAGGTTCTTCACCACATGTTTCCTTCCAGAGAGAGGCAATACAGGTGACCACTATAGACAGGTTGCCTTTATATACAGGGATGTCAGTTTTCAGGCTACAGTCTGATTTCAGACCCAGACTCTCTGTTCAGGCTTTTTCAGGCTTCATATTGTACAAGCCACACATATGACTCAAGCATGTCTGAGTCTCTTTTCAGGCCCATTTAGTGGAACCAACTGGTATCCCTGCATATAGATTTTTTTAATACAAACACATTACTATTGTGAGCACTTTAACATCACTTAATAGAAAGCAAATTTTGGCAGTCTTGTAAAATCTTGCAAGACCATGTTTATCGTCTGGTTTCGTAATGCCTGTTGGATCTCTTCTCCCCTTGCTCTCTCTGTAGATGAAGGCCTTGGCAGGTCTGAAGATGGCCTACAAACTCCAGGAGCTGCTCAACTCTGAGACGGAAGAGTACATCCGTGGTATGAGGGAGACGGACAACCATCACTACGCCCTCTGCAGTCATCTCTATTCAATGATCAGGTCCAACAGGTCACATCGGAGAGCCATTCTTCTCAGTCTACTCAGTCTCTTTGATGAGCATGTGGTGAGTTCAGACAATCATATTAAATCAACTTAAGGTCATAAGTTCATGAACTTGTATTTTCTACAACAAATATGATATGTGCACTTGATTAAAGGCCTATGAACTACACATCTGCAATGATTCGTACATACATACATCATCAATAGTGATCTGTCAGTTTATGACAGATTCAATGACCCAATCAGAATTCTACATCAAGTCTCTCTCCAAGTACCTCTGTCTGGAGCCATCCATTTCAGCGTTTTATATCATGTTGCTCCACATTCTGCGATTAAATCATCTAGAAAGCCTTTAACCCTTACTGTACTGGGCTATTTTGAGCACCTCCTGACTGGGGGGGGGGGGGCCTGGGAGGCCCCCCCCCCCCCCTATGATCTCGGCCGTCGGATGTCCGATGAACACGAAAATTTGCATGTTTGTAGATATTTACGTAACGAACAAGATGGTGTGATTAGTTTTTTGCGAATATGCAAATTTTTGTCGTTATAGCCTAATTAATTATGCAAAATGCTAATTTTATGCATTTTACAGAAAATGTGTCAAACTCCACTTTTTGAATGTTGAAACTCATTATTCATATGAAACTTCTTTTCTAACACAAAATATTTATTTTGATGTAATTAATAATGATAATTTATGCAAATTTGATGCGATTTTCAAATATTTATTTTCTTATGTATTTTATTGTTTTTTTTATTTCTTATTATATCTATTGTTTTTATTTCTTATGTATTCTTTTGTTCTGGAATACATCAAGTTACTTTAAGAAACATATAAAAGCAATTCGATATCAATTCATATCACCCACTTAGGAAGGAATACATCTAAACCTGTATTCACATTTCTGCTTGTACATGAATATATGCAATTATAGCATATTTTTGATGACATGCGCATACTAATTGTTATGTAACACCTCACAGGTATATCCGATTGCGACGAAAATGGTATCAAAACGTGCGTAAGACTTGAGGGAAAAAAGTCATGAAACAACAATTCAAAATTTCAAGCGGTTGCGGCGCAATCTCCGAAAATGTCGAGGGGGGGGGGCCTCCCAGGCCCCCCCCCCCCCCAGTACAGTAAGGGTTAAGAAGTCTTCCCCTCATTTCTTCTGTCTCTCTCGTTTGAAGCACCCGTTTTTCATGAGCTCGATGCAACTGTCCTTCCAAGACACACCTATTGTGATGAAATTGACAATATAAAGCATATAAAGATTGAATGGAATATCAATTGTGAAGGGAGGCAACAGGAAAATGTAAATTAGTCTTAAAGCTTTCCTTACCTTTTAAAACATTTATAGATGGTGTATTCTACATGTTTATGGATAAATTTGTCATCATCTTCAATGGAATTTAACCAAAAAAATAATAACCTACTTTTGTCAGTTTTTTTTGTCAGCTTTCTTTTAAGGGGTCTATTTTGGTAGTTGAGCATGAGAAGACTTTGGTGCCAGTTGGGATAATCACATTTGTTAAGACCAACAAAATTCCTTACATCTCTCTTGTATGTTTCTTTTGTTGTGTAGAAAAGTGACCTGAAGCTGCTGGTGTTTGTGGCTGACAATCTGTCATCTTTCCCCTACGCAGCACAAGACGAGCCTCTCTTCATTATGCATCACATAGAAATCATAGTCTCTGTATCAGGAGCAAACTTACTACAGTCTTTCAAAGATGTAAGTAATAATCACTATTTCTGCATTATTTCTCTCTCTCTCTCTCATTGAATGTTAATTGTTGGTTTATTGATGCTTCTTTAATAAGAATTCATCGCACCAAGAAATTATGGTGTATGCTATGAGAACATCAGTGAGACAAGTGTCTTGCATACTTGACGATAAAGAGAAGCGTAGTATCCTGAAATATAAAAATCAATCAATTCTCCAGGACTCCACCCTTCCATTTATGATTTGTTTTTTATTTTATTTTATTTTTTCAGAGCTTTTCTCGCAACCAGCCATCCAGACCGCCCTCAAGATCATCTCAGAATTCAGATTCAGCGAAACCAGCCAGTAGGGCGATCTTTGAAGATGATGATGAGGACGATGCTGAAAACCTCATCGGTAAGTTCATGCCTCTCAGCAGGCTTGGTTTAACCCTTGGTGCAAGCTAAGTGAAACATGGCCATTTGGCCTCCCAGGGAGAGGTTTGTGAAGACCAAAGTGATTTTACGCTTCTGATGATATGCTACCAATTGTTAAGATTGTCAGTAACCTCGTCTTTGTCATTTTGGGTTGGGAACTTTCTTTCTGAAATTCTCCCACCCTTGGTCTTGATTATGTTTTTATACGCTTATAAGAAGAGTCGCGATAACTCAGTTGGTAGAGCAGTGGTCTTGTAATCCTGCGACCCGGGTTCGAAACCAAGGCGATGTGCTAGTGTCCTTTGGTAAGGCATTAATCCTCATTACCAGGTCTCTCGGAGAGGACCTAAAGCCGTCTGTCCTCTGGTTGCTTACTAACAAGCATTTTTGCTTTCCTAGCAGTTGAGTGAAATAACCACTACTACTACATCTTTACTACCTCATACGCTTATAAGAACCATACCTTATGATTTCTTTGATTTTGACCTGGGATCTTAACTACTACTGAACCGTTGATTTCACTCGTAAGATTTTGTCAGATAAGTATTGACTTGAGATTTAAATACATCTAATAGGATGTGATAGGTAGGATGCGACCGTCATTGTTGGTCAAACAGTTTTTGAGCGTCAAGAAACGCCTGGCTGGAATGCTCCCCAGGGAGTGGAGATCCAATGACCGGGGCAATAGTATATCTGTAAAGCGCTTAGAGACATCGTAGATGTATTAAGCGCTATATAAAAGCGAAATATTATTTTTTTTACATCAGTTAACTTGTCAAACAAATTAAATCATCTTTTTGTTCCTTGCAGAGCGAATCCCAGAAGAACCCACCCAGCTACTGGAGTGCTGTGTAGCGTCTCAGGCCGTCATCATGCTACTGGTACTCAAGCAGCATCTCAAAGACCTCTATGGATTCAGGGACAAGTAAGTTAAAGACCCAGTCAGAAATGAAAAATGAAATAGATGAATTATATTTTAAGGGAAGTTTTTAAGTCGTAGATTACAATATAAGTTATAGGCTATTTTAGTGTCTCTCAGAGGAGTAACAGCTCTCTGAAAACTTGAAATCTGAAGCTTTGAGAATCAGAAGCTGTCAACCTAAAAACTAGCTATCAACTAACCAGATAGCAAGGAATGTTCTGTTATGGAACAGGACAAGAATAAATTTCCCTCTCAAGGGCAGATCTTTTGAAGTCTTCAGGTAATAACTGCTTTACTTAAGACCTGTCAGTTATAAAAATCCAGTCTATAGAGCTAATGATTTGCTATTGATTGATTTTTCTTTTAGTGTGTAAATGTATCCTGAAACAATCATATTTTTCAAAGAGAAAATGAAAAGCCGGGAATAAAAATACAGGCCAAAGACTTATGTTGACTTGCTGTATGAACAAAACAAAAATCAAATCATTATCCATGCCCATTTCTTTGTAAATCCCCTCACAGCACAATACACAGATACTCGCCGACGGAGGCAGCCAAGGTGTACGAGAAGGCCGTGAGTAGGAAGTCCTTGGTTCACTTCAACCCTGCCAGAGCCCTGGACCTCCTCAGGACGGGCCAGCCTAAGGGACCTCTCAGTGAGCAAGAGAAGAGGGACATCGTGGAGGAGTACTTAGATGTAAGTGCCCACTTTCTTTTTCAGTATTGAAGTTTTTAGAATGGTTTAGGTTTTGTTAACCACCTAAAATCAGATTCATGAGGCATTCTCCGGCGACAATTGCTCTGCAGTTAATTTTTAACACTTAATTTCTAACACTTAATACATGATATTAATTAAACTCAATCCTGACCCCAACACTGCCTTACTGTAACCGTGGCTTATCCCAAGAGCTGTCATGTTTCCAGTGTCTCTTTTCAGAGAGGAGTTCGTAAATGGTATTTTTTCCATATACCAATGTATTCAAACATTTCTGTTTCAATATCACTTTATTAATAAAGAAAGTAATGGTATATAATGTACAATTTTATAGATACATCAACAACAAAGAGAGGAAGTCCAGGTCATGTTCTATTATTATTATTATTATTATTAACAATGCAGGGCTAATGCATCACATTATTTATGATAGAATACATGATAGACAAGTCATCTGTTCGGGGTTACAAGGGTGCTAATTCCATGTTCAAGTAATATGGATCAATGCCATTGTGGCTCTATACAGACAACGTTACATAACTGTGAGATACATGTATAGAATTTAGAAACAAAATGTGTGACTAACTTATAAGAAACATCATAAGGAAACTGACAAGTTTTTGTTTTACCTGTAAAAGAGATACAGTTTAATGCTATTAATCTGCTACTATGATTCCTTGATACAGTTCAAGCAGCTGATGGAACTGATGGACGACAGTGAGGATGAAGAGGAGGATGGAGCTAAACCAAAGGCTGGATCAGGACCGGGTACTCCAGTCAGGAACCAGGTAGGCCTCTTCTTCCAAAAATCTTTGATACTTCAATCACGTTACAAGCAAGAACATTCTTGACATTATGGTGATTCTTTGCTTGGACCATGAGGACAATATCATTTTCAGATCCCCTACAACTATTTTGTCCATCCTTTTTTGTTTTGTCTAGTATCCGTGTGTCTCTATTCTTGAGACAATGTTTGTTTTGTCTTATAATGTGCTCCAGTTTTCCCCTAACTTGATGCAATGGAATGAAATTGATGGGAAATGGTTTTGTAGACAATGTACATAGCAATGCCACGTGGAAACATAAATCAGTGGTCGATCGGTGGTAATTTTTGTTTGGTGGGATAAAATTTGATAATAGTAGGTGGGACACATTTCAACTATTCAGAATTATCTCTAAATAGTTTCGTATGTAGCAGTTCTTCCTATAACACACATATGTTCATATATTTACTAGTCATTTAGGTCTTCAAGTGTGAAAATGACCATGATGAAAACTAATTCAACTTAACCGCAGAATTCTGCGCAACGGATAAGTACACTGTATTTTGGGGTGGGGTAGGGTCAGGGGTACAAGTAAGGTTAGAGTTGCGGATATGGTTTGGTGTTTGGAGATGTTATCAGGGTTGGGTTTAGACTTTAGATTACTTGACAGATGGGCTATTCTGCAGTTCCAATTATCAAATGACCATGATGAGAACCAAGTCAATTTAACTGCAGAATTCCGCACCCCGTTTAATACACTGTATTCGGGTGAAGGGTAGGGTCAGGGATACAAGTATGGTTGGAGTTAGGGTTATGGTTTGGGGTTTAAGATGTTATCAGGGTTAGGTTTAGAATTAGAATTACTTGTGAGATGGGCATTTCTGCAGTTGTTCCAATTGTCAAAATCAAAACCCTAAGTCAGATCAGGGACCCGTTTCACAAAGCCTTTTTTTCTATGACAAATTACAAAAATCAGTGACAAATCTGATGATAACCAATCAGAAGCAAGGATTTCAGTAGCTTATAACAAAAACTATCATTCGGCACTGATGACAAGTTTTGTGAAATACCCCCCAGATCAAATCAAATCACTTCTTGTTTTTCCTCTTGACAGGCTGGTGAGGATGGTGAGGCTAAGGAAGAAGTTAAAGAGGAAGGAACCAATCACAACGGTGCCGCCGGGGCTACACCAGCAGGAGGAGGAGGGCCCGTGTCGACGAGCCCAGCAGCAGCCAGGAAGACGCCTGAACCACCCCACATCCCTCCCAGTAGGATGAGACAAGTGAGGAAACATTCTGCAGAAGATGACGAATCCTCAGAGGAAAGCATACCATCACCAGTACCTGTTGCCAAGGTAGGATGAATATCAGGCCTGATAATTACCAGATTTTACCCCTTATTTTCCCAATTTTTCCTCATTTTCTTACTCAAAAGGAGGGAATGTAACGAGGTCAAATGTCAACGTTCACATGGCTCATTATGTATGCAAAAATAGCTTGCTTCTGTTTCGGTTTGTAAAATTGCTCCATGGCGGAGGCATCATTTTCGACTGCGCGCGGTCGAAGGTCCATCTAGTCAGTGCTAAATTGATCACATGTTATTTGGCAATAGTAATGTTTTTGTTTTATTGCTTCATTGTTCTAATAAAATGTAATATCTCTAAGAACGATATCTATGTGTTCAGACTTTGTCAAAAAGTTACTTTGCTCATTACTGATTGCTGATTACAAATTTCTTTTAGATATCATTTATTTTGATTATTCATCATGATTTATAGTATGATTCTTTATTGTGATGATTCATTATGGTTTGAATTTGTGGAGGCGCTATGGCTTAGTGGTTGGGCAGTGGTCTCATAACATGGAGGTTCCAGAATCGAAAGCAAGTCACTATTCCTCATAACCAAGTCCCTTTGAGAGGACTTAAACTGTCGGTCCTGTAGTTGTGTACTTATATCCATATACATGCTTTCTTATCAGTCGAGATAAAACAATCATCAAACAAATTTTATTTTCAATAATTATGATATATATATATAATATTTGTAAAGCACCAATCCACCTGATATCAAACGCTCCTGTCATTTCACGAGTGGATTCTTGTCATTTTTTCAGTTTGTTGTATAATATCAGTAATTGTAAAAAACCATTGCCTATTTTTATACTTCTCCCATCAGCCACGAGCAAGATCACGAACACCAGCAAGAAGTAGAAGCCGACAAGGAGGAGGAAGGGGAGGAGCGAGTGCAAAGAAAGCAAAGCCACAGAAGAAACGCAGGAGAAGAATATCCTTTGACAAACACCAGCATTCCATAAGGCCTATAAAAAGAGATGTTGTATTACCCTTTCTTGAAATCTATGGTCGGCTTTTTTTAACCATTTTTTTAAACCATTTTTTTAGAATAAAAAAAGTTTAATGAATAAAAAAAGATATGTATTCAAGCTTTCAAAACTAAGAAATATTAGCCCAAAGAGGGAGCACAAAAAAAATAGATGTCCAACGGACCGACCCATGTTTTGGCACCTAAAGGGCAATACAACATTTTTTTTTTTTAAGGCCTAAGGGCTCTTCCGCAAAAGAAATACCTGTTTAAATATTCTTTACATGTTGGTTATTCTGTATGAAGTTTTATTATTATAAAGAAATGTCTCCTAGAGCAAATTTTAAAAGTTCATTTACAGAATTGTTATTCAGGAAAATGAATTATGTCTTGCCTGTCCAATAGAATAGAGACATGGGCACTGCTATTCTGATGGAGGCTGCATTGGTCATTTTTTTTTAATAGCTCTCATTTCTACAGTATCATTTTCCATGGAAGCTTGAGGTGGGGGAAAACAATTCCACTGACATATTGAATACACAGGGGGTGATTCAAAATGTGGGCAAATGTTGGGAGTGTGTTCCTTTGGGCTTCTTGCAACAAGAAGGTTGATTATCAATTGTACTGGGAGGAGAGACCAGGGTCACAGTGATTTAAGTTTGCTTTCCTCACCCAAGCAATGGTGACATTATCATAATCATACTTATTTTAATCATCGTCATAATTATAATAATAATAACATGGTGATAATGATGATGATGACGACAAAGATGATGTTGATAACTGATATATGAATTAATAAATGAATAAGTAAATAAAGTGAGGTAAACTTATATAAGTAAGTAAGCAAACTTAAAGAGGAAGTTGAGTTCTGATCATGCGATTGCAATGTGAAAGAAACGTTGTGGAATCGACCAGAAAAGGTTGATCATCTAGCATATAAGAATTTGTGTGTATTGCAAGGTTCTGGAATCATCAAAATGATAAGAAATTCGGCCAAGTCTTGGTAAAGTTACAAACACTGTACACAGAATGATGTATAAGGGACTACACGAACACATGGGTAAAAATCCTACCCGGATTTTTACGATGTTACATGACATATTTAGAATATGAAGGCATTTGAAGAGCCATGCTTTTCAGGGAACATGTCTTATCGAATGTTCTTCCACACTTGCATAATTAAAATGATAACGGTCACAAATTATTTTTCACCTCTTCCCAGAACTCGCCCTTCTCTTTAAGTAATGCAGTAAATTGTTTAATTGCACACGCCAGATTGTTCTCTATGAATTCCTTAACTCCCTCTCCTTACATTGAATCCAGTGACGAAGACGACGATGACGAGGAGGAAGACTCTGGGGACCCAGACTGGTAAATCATCACATCTTCAGGATGAAGCTGAGTCATGAGACCGGTAACCTGCCCCAACTCTGGATGTAGACGTAGTATATCCAGGATATATGGACTTCAAAGGAAGTTGTATTTCTGTCAATGTCCCATATGCTTTCAACAATGGTGTTTCCATTCATCTCCAAGGGTTCAACGTACTACAATGTTAAGGAACAACACTTTATTCTTTCTCCCTCTCTCTCTTTCTCTATCTCTCTCTCTCCCTCTCTCTCTCTCTCTCTCTCTCTCTCATTACTCTCTGCTATTGAATTATATTTTGTAGCAGACAGTCAATCGAAATATTCAAATATGATAAGACAGAACTTTCTCACATTTTTCTTTACTTACTTTAACCTGGTTTTGAAGAAATTTTCAAAATATATTGAAAACTTTGTATTGCTGTGATTAATCATGAAGCAAAAACAACAAGGCCTTTCTTTACTGCTTTCCATTTCAAGAAGAATTATAAAAATATAGGATTTTTCTGTCTCATTCAATTATCTTTATGTAAAGTGAAGTGGATAAATGAAGGCAGACAAGAAATTTGTTCTACTGGAAATTAGATACTTGCATTGCTAAAAAAATTGTCACCTTGATTAGACTTCTATAAAAAAAAATTACATAGCTTTTTTGTTATGATTTCAAAATCCATGGCTTTGTTTTGGCTGTATCTGTTTATATGGAAGGAAGATGATTCATTGTCCCTTTATTTTTGAAAAAATGCATTATTTTTTTGAGTAGATTAATGTCGCAGTTCGTCTTGGAATCAACGGGACTGACTGCAAAGAATAATTTGCGCTACAGTGTCTGACATGGTCCATATTATACTTACGGTCAGTCGAAGAAAGTAAATAATCAGCTGGTTTCATTCATTGCAGCACTCTCAATACGTTGAAGATGAAATATGTTACTCTTTATCTCTAACTTTGTTTTGGATATTATTTGTTGTATTGCATGAGAGTCTGTATTGCTTGTGTTTATTTTACTTAGCCGTTATTACATGGTGCTTTCTGATCAATCCAAAACATTCCCAATTAGTGTGGACTTCAAGACCAATCTCTGCAAGTTGATGTTTCATTTGGACGCGTTTTGTGTCCCCCTATTTTAAATCAAATGAAAAGTAATGCATCTATCGCCTGCTTCATGAATGGTATTATTTTTTGTTGGCACTAAGACAAAATCAAGAAAACACTGAATACAAAGACATCAGTAAAGTTTGAAGTGAGTCTCTTGGATGCTGGGAAAAAAAGATGAACTGACTTACTTTAACCAGAAGGCTTTCTTTTCCAATCCATGTGACTTTACATAAATGAATAGCACTTCAAACTTTGTTTAATATTTTCTCTTTGAAACAATGAATATATTTATAATTAAATACATGGGAGAAAAAAAGGACAGTGGTTGTGTTCTTAAGGGAAAAAAAAACCTTAATATATAAAGTTTCTGCTTCTCATCTCAACTGTTGTGCTGGAATGGAAGCCTTTCTTTGTCTCTGCCAAACAGTTTCTCCCAGCTTCAGAATACATCTTGTGTCAATTAGATTATGAAATTTCATTTTGGTCTTACGCAACGTATGCAATTTCTTTCGAAATGATTATATTGACAATCAGACAAATGGCTGTTTTCATTTGGAATATTGAGAACGATTTTAGCACAAGAATAAACAATGGTAATTCAATTGTGGAATTTAACATATGACCAATATTTGCAATGTTACCTTTTATTGCGTTACTTGAATTTGTTGTTTTCACAGTCTCAAATAAGAATAACAGACTAGGAACAGCCTTAAGATTTAAATGATGGTCTCATGAATTTATTTATTATGAATGATTTTGGAAAACAAACCATATTCAATTTGCAAAATAATATATTTATGAGATTATGATGGACATGAGTAAAATTGAGAAATCTTATTCAAGTGTTATCATATTTTTGTACAAGAAAGTAATTTATGAGATTTACAGATTTTGTCTAGGTGTCCGCTAATGGTGAAATTACCGATACAAATGCTGAAGACAAATTTTATGATGCGTTTTCATATTGTGATGGAAATGTAAGGGGAAGACATGTGTCTAATCACTCTGAACTAGGCAAAGGTTTTGCGTACACATTTGTGCTGTTTATCTCAGTTATGTCCAAAACCAATAAATCTCAATGAAAATTGGTTGGTTGTGAAATTCACAGACAATTTATCCTCGTGGTTTGTATTCAGGAAAGGGTAGTAGCTCAAGTCCCAGGGGCCGTAATCAATTCAGAAGGCAGATTAAGCAAGTATTTTACTTAGCATTTGGCTTGGCTAAGTAAAATGTCTTAAATCTTATTCAGATTATATCTAAGCTTTTTACTTTTGCAAGCCGACTTTTAGGCAAAATACTCACTGATAAGCATTGTGACATGGTCGATGAAAAAGTGATTAAGTGTATACATTTGGTTCTTTAGATTTATAGAGTGCCAAAAGTTCACCTCGTCTCATAAACCATAATTCTGTAGCTAAATCCCAGTTACACCGCCAGAATGAAACAAAAAGACCAGGTCGTAGATTACTTGTAGGATATTCTTTAAGGTACGACGTCGTCCTAAGAACTGAATAAAGAAAGGATTTTTTTTGGCACCAGTGTCTTGTAATATTTGTTCATTCAAAAAGAAAATCAAAATTATCGATAGGTTCCAAAGATATGTAGAGTTGCGCTGTATGTTAAATCAACATGCATTTTCTTGTAAATTGATTGTATAAAGAAAAAAACTGTAAAAAGGAGAGTTAAAAGTGTACAAATTGGGATTTATTTATATCCTATTTGTGATCAAGTTAGATATATGTGCTATTGATAGACAGTTGATTTTTATCATCGGGCCAAGTGTGGGTATTTATTGGGAAAGCACAATGATTTTTTAAAAACTTGTTGATTCGATTACTCGTTCTGTAAATAGCCAGGTTGTACATAAAGACAAAGGTTTTTGTAGTACTTCCAAGTAAATACTTTTGTTCCCTTTTTTTCACTGTCTGTAATTAAACTTGTTCTAAAGAAGGTCATTTTGTTGGTAGTTGGACTGAAAAGAAAGATTCAGTTGAAATGTTATTAAAAGCATGTTATTTACGTGTTACTAAATCAAAGTGTCATTGAGTCATATTTTGTATTTGGGTGGTGTATGAAGGATGGTATGACCACAGGCTCTGGTGACAAATTTCTATCATTAACCAAGTTCCTAACTTCACCCCTTGACCCAGCATTATATCAAATTACCCTAACCTAACTCTGAATTTAACCTTAACCCAAATCACAGCCCTGATGCTAACCCTATATTTTTGACAAATTAAAGCCCTGAGCATAATCCGTCGCTGTTTTCACGAAGTGACGGTAGTGAAAAAAAATTGCATTCATTATCTATGCATGGTCACCTAATGAAATGCTGGTATTAGAGTCAAATACTTTATTACATGTATTCACTTACTATGTCTACCGGGTATCCGTCTTTCTGTTTCTTTCTCTTTCCATGAATTTCTATACCTACATGTATGTACATTTATCTGTTGCTTTCTCTTTTTCTCCCTCTCTCATTTCTATTCTTAATCTCTCTCCCTTTGTCTCCATTCTTTCTTGATAAAATTGATTTGATTATAATTTTCCATGCAAATCAAATTTCCTCATGAATACAAAAAATATAAATACAAAATAATAATCGACTCGATTCTAGTTTGAATGATGACTACCTTTATTACATTACATCATAATTAAACAAATGTTAAAGCAATAACAAGGCTGTACATTTTTTTTCTTTTAAACGACAAGATATTTTCATTAGCGAAACTGTTGGAAACTGATATAAAGATGTACAAAAGATGACAGGTTAAATGAATGTACAGCCAGAAATATTGAGGGTTGTTCAACCGTATCCGGACACCTACTACCCCATGGACATCCACCCCGGATTACCACCCCCTGCCAACTACCCCCTAGGGCAACCACCCTCTAGGACGACTACCCCCAGGACAACTATTCCCTGGACAACTACCACCGGACAACTACCCCCCAGACAACTACCCCCTAGGATAGTTGTCAAGGAGGTAGTCGTCCTAGAGGATGGTTGCCCTAGGGGGTAGTTGGCTGGGTGTGGTTATCTGGGGTGGATGTCCAGGGAAGAAGGTGTCCTAGAACCTTGTTCAACACATGCCCCGACCACAAGTGCCCCAAGGTCGATATCCTACGCTAACTGAATTCTTAACTTAATTGGGTCAGATTAAACTCTAAACCTAATCCTAAACCTAACCGAAACCCAGTTGCAACCCTAACCTTAAACCCAACCCTCTACTTTTGACGGAAAAAAAACCGGGAGCAAAAAGTTTTCGTAATATGTAATCAAGTTAATGCACAAACATTTGTTAAGTGTATCGTTACAAATTATTTCATTTACCTGTTACAAATAATTGTATTTCAATAGTGAGAATTGCAAAGCGAATAGGCCATTTTCGTAATGTAACCAAATTTAATGCATAGGTCTTTGTGAAGTGCCTCAATACAAATTATTTCATTCACCTGATAGAAATAATAGTATTTTTCAATAGTCAGAATGCAACTGCATATATTAAGTGATGCTAGGTAGGTCAAGCCATAATGTTTGTCCAACCTGGCAACAACTAATGTATGCAGTTAGGGTTCTGTCTATTGAAATACTATTATTCTTATCAGGTGAATGAAATAGTTTGTATTGAGGCACTTCACAAAGACCTATGCATTAAATTTGGTTACATTACGAAAATGGCCTGTTGCAAACATTAGTTGATGCTAGGTATGGCAAACACTATGGTCAGTCCTACCTAACAGCACGGAATGTATTCCATTCACTTTCTGAAGATTGAACTACAATTATTTATAACAAGTGAATGAAATAATTTGTAACGAGGGACATAACAAAGATTTGTGCATTAAATTTGGTTACATTACGAAAATGAGAGAGAGAGGGGGAGAAAGAGAGAGAGAGAGAGAGAGAGAGAGAGAGAGAGAACAACAACAAGACGTTTGCCACAAATAAACTATGTACAGGATGTAAATATACAACACATATTGAGTAATCACCACGACAAAAACAAAAGTCCTAACAGAGAAGGAGTATGCTATAGCTAGGCTTGCTCGACATCTGTGCTATCAAGTATCAACACACAGATAGTAAATTTCAGCATAATATACATACAAATACATAGCGAGTTGTTCTATTATCTCATGTCAAACAGGTAAAGACATAAAGTATTATTTGTTGTTAACATAATTTTCTTGATAATTATGATCATAACTGAGCGAGTCCAGTTGTTGGGTTATTATGATAAACTAAATTTAACCCTCTCCTATCAATAGAATGAAGAATTTCAGAGCTGATGTTGGATACATTGCATGTGAAGGAGGGAATAATTATTTAGGTTTAAAAATGTATGTATGGTTTGTTTTGACCTGGATTAAGCATATTTGAGTTACTAAATAAAAATACAATGTGCGAACGTGACAAAGGCATATTCCTGTGTAACCCGAGTATAATTTTTATTGACAATACAAATTGCTTTCTTTGTGACGGCATGGGCGTCATAAATGAAACCTACAATCAAGAACGTTGCTATAACATGGTGACAATGCTGATTACTATGGCGGAAAATAACACGTCCAGGCGCTAGCTCCGTAATCCCTCATCTGTTGAAATAGGTAAGTTTTACCTATTCATTTCAAAGTGTGTTTTTGTACTACGTCGTTTTGTGAACTATTGCAGAGAAACGCAGTCGAGTCCATCGACGGCCTTCCCTCAGAATCCGCACCGGTAAACGTCGCGACCGTTGATGCTTTGCGCAGGTCTGAAGTTATTCTGTAGCAATATGGGTGTCTCAGTGCGGTAAACATAGGCATGGCGGGTTGTCTCGAAAACACCACGCAATGCAGACATCTGGAAGAAGAGGGAAAAACAAAGATGTGAGGGATGAGACTAGAGACAGAGATAACAAGGGGCTATTTTTGTAATTAAATACGGGAAGGGGGCACAGGAGCAGTTGTCAATTCCCTCCCTCCCATCAGATGACCCGCGCGCGAAAAGAAACAAATTGTATGAACTTTCCTATAGCTAGCTCCCTCCTAATTTCTAACAACAGAGAGAGGGAGGAGAGAAAAGAGACAGATATAATATATCTATGGCCTAGAGAGAAATTGATAGAGAGATGGGGAGAGAGTCAGAAACACAGAAATAGGTAGTCCGAAAGAGAAATATAGAAAATCCTCGATCCGCCCCTGATTCGTTATCGGTTCAGCAATTATACCCTTTGTCAAATGGAGCTCGCGGATTAAAATCACCCATTTTTGTTGTTGCCCGATTAACACATTTCATTGTCATAGCGATCATAAAATTCATTTAACTTTGAATTGTCATCATTTTAGAGCTCGCCTTCTCTTACCTGTTCTCGAGATATTGTGATTGGTTGTTTTAAGACTGTCCACGTGACTACCTCATAGCATGGGGGCGTGGTTAAGGAACCGATGTAACGGTAGAACTGGCTTCGATTCTTAGGGAAAAGCTCGGTGAGTCGAATAGGTTCGGTCACAAGTTGTGATTCGTCTAAAGTTTTGTGAAAAAAGGATTAATGAAAATAATGTTTAAAGCCTATCTGCACTAGTTTGGCCAGGAGGGATAAGACCTCCGCGCATGGTCACTGACAGGTGTTTATCTCATCAAATCAGCTCTCAATTAACATTAGAAAAAGGGGACCTTGGGAGACCAACGGTCACCGATTATACATTGTTTGCTATATAGAGGGCGTAAGTAGCTATAAGTAGTGCAGTGGGGCTTTCAAAGAATGAATCGTCTACATCATTGCAAGATGTCCGGCATTCGTTGCTCCGTATAAAGGTACATCAGCCAGTTCATGTAGTTTATGGCGAATTAGCCTAAAAACGATAAAAGCAGGTGAAATAAGTAAAAACAATAAAGTCGTATTTTACATTTGAGAAAAGCTTATGAAAATTTTGCTGTGTTTTTTGCCGAAGAAAATATTGAATGGCGTTGGTCAAACGTCCCCACACCTTCTACAGCTAGGCTATCCCCTTAACTTGTGATTGTAACAATGAAACCATCAAATTTGTTTTAAATCATTCCAATCAGTCTAATTGTGTAAAGAGAATAACATATACAAATTTACTTTACCTTTGAATTTGATTTCTTTTAGGTGTTTCACTAGTTTTTCAAAAGCTTCGTTCTTCTCACCGATCTTCGAGGAAAAAAATACAAAGTGAAATAATTACAGAATGATATTTTTTGCGAGGGCTACGTGATCGATGCATTCAAATGGTTAAGGTTTAAGACTGAGCAGGAGGGGGTAAATGATTTTATAACAAGATAACATTTCTGGGAAAAGGAATTGAAGAGCTGTAGTCCCAACCGGTAACAACTTATTTCAAGCAGCTGCCATTTTCTAAGGTTGCACAATAAAATCTACAGGTATGCTGTTACTTTTGATGACCATTGGAAAGTTTGAGTCGTGATTATTTTTCATAAAGAAATATCGTTAATATTCCACTTTTTTTTTGAACTAACAAGGGAAGAATCAAACAGAAACTGATGATAAAATATGAATACAAAATCTTAATTGAACTTTGCTGACACTGTATATCATAATAGCAATTTTAATTTGTGCAAAATAGTAAATGTTACAATCCTAAAACCTGCAAATTTGACAATTTTTCGATTACTTCCGGCACACGAAAATAAAAAAAGATGAATTTCTTGTGCACTGCTCGTATTATTAGACGAGTGGTAGCGAAAAGTAATTAGCATTACAAAAGCATATTTCCCTTTGAAAGTGGCCCGTTAGTTTGCAGCTAGGCAGGAGTCGTTTGTCTACGTATCTGCAAGGAAGATCCAGTTAAGCATAATTGTTATGCCTGGCATATTCTCTCCTGGGGGGATCAACGATAGTACAAAGGGAATGAGCTAGATATGACTCTAGCTCTTAAAACTCCTTGGTATCACCTTGTTTTAATACAAGCAGAACTATCAGTCAAACAGATCGAAAGAAATTTTGACAGCTATTGAGACATTTAGAACTTTTGTGTGACATGAATCATGGAAAACTATTAAAAACTGTAAAAAAAATCACCACTGTAGGTACTGACCTCGATGAAGACACCGATTGCTGCTACCCCGCCTGGTGTGTGAAAGATGCTATCTCCTATTAACGACTGCTCGTGGTGAACAATATGCATCTATTCGAAAAGAAAGTCAAAATAGTATATGATTAAGATCAAAACAATGTACAACCAGAAGAATAGCACCTGGAATTACTTCTTTAAAAGACATAAACAGTTTGTCAAAGGTCGACACTCTCATTGAAAAACGCTGATGTGGATCAGTATAATTAGTGATAGCTTTAGAATTAATATTATAAGAATAATTCATGTAACGCCTTTTTCAGTGGATACAAAGTAAATTGCATTCGAAATGACCGTGATCGGCCAGGCACGCGAGTTTACCTCTGCGGGATATTTTCTGCGGTCCAGGACATGTTCAGATCCCTGCTCGTTGGAGAAACCCCAGTGGAAGTGCACCTGGTCAGCCACATAGGTACCCCCAAGTCCCCCTCCACGGATCGTGTAGTTACCCTCCAACATTAGCTCCACTTGAGAAAGAGATTAAAATTGTAATTTCTTTAATAATCACTCTTTAAATGGAAATACATTTTATGAATTTATCATTTGATTATTTTTATGTTTGTTATTGTTAATTACAACTGTATATCACCATCTGAAGTGAAATTAAATTCATAGATTTGATTGCTGATGCTGTTACAGTGGCGGATCCAAAAAGGGTCATCCAGTAATAAAATCTAAATAAATAAGAGTTTGGTGTGCCTTTCTCATAAGAGAAACAAAACATCAACATTATATTCATCATTCTTATCATTAGCATCACCATCATCACAATGATAAGTACGATAAATATTTATGATCATGACTACCACTAATTAGATGATGATTACCAACATTAGCATTGCTAAAGAAATGTAAAGAATTTAAGCAGAAATAAATCATTCATTCATTGCCATCAGTTTCATAATCATCACAATCACCGTAATCATTACCGTCGTCATCAACATCACCATCATTATCACCTTCATCACCATAACCATCATCATCGTCATCATCACCATCACCATCAGCATCAACTTAATAACATTCGTCGCCATAATACTTATCATCATCATCACCACCATCATCATCACCATCGCCAACATCGTTATTATCATCATCACAATCACCGTTATCATTACCGTCATCATCAACATCACCGTCATCATTATAACTATCATCGTCGCCATCATCATCACCATCAGCATGAACATAATAACATTTGTCGCCATAGTCCTTATCATCATCACCACCATTATCAATATCATCATCCATCACCGTCCCTTCGTCAGCTTCATGGATCGCATCACTGCCAACAACCCACCTGTAGTTCCGAGGTTCGTAAGAGTCATCCTTTTCCCGTCGGTATCGCCGTATCCATTCAGCTCCAGAGGGGCCCACTCTTTCCTCTTCGTGTTGATGGTCTGTATAGCGATGGGGGACTGCATCGACCCGGCACACTGGTAGGGGAACATCTGCCCCCATTTGTGGGGACCTGGGGTGATATCCAATTGCCAATTTGATTAATATCTAAGTCACTCGATATTTGCTCCTAAAAATATTACCTATTTTCCAATCCGTTATTAAAATGAAGCGTAGAATATCAAATTGTGACCTTTGCTCTTATCATTGAAACGTTCAAATAATTCAATGGATGATAAAGTAGGGTCTTTTTCTTGGGTGAAGCTTTTCTTCACACACCTAATCGGAGATGAAGGTAGCCCATCTTATGTGTAAAAAATGCCAATTTGATAAGTGTAAGGATCGCATTGTACACGTACAACCGCTATACTACACACACGCAATATATTCTTTGTGTATTGTATCCATCAGGCATGATCAGTGCAACGATGGCTGGCTACCAATTAAAATAGGCAGGGTGGTCGGATATAATGAGAGTAGATGATGGAGGGGGGGGGGGGGTAAAGCGCAGTACTTAGGGGCAAATCAAATAATTATACTAAGACCTCACCTCATTTATGTTAGAAATTAAAACGTTATTATCTTCTTTCGAATTGCAATATATCCCCGCACCATAATTATAAGCATGTCATGCATATATGCCTTTTCTCTGGGAAAGGGGGCATTGACTCTATAAATACCAAATCACATAAACTATTCACCATTATGTCACCGTCATGTACATATTTTCTATGGATATAATTTTTCACGATCTCAACTTTTCACCACCCTAGCGTCATGTAAATTGTCAATTATGGATAAAGTGGAATATTAACTCTTCACCACCCTACGCTAACTTTTCACCACCCTTCCGTCATGTACATTAGCTATCGATAAGCTGGAATATTAACTCTTCACCACACCACCCTACGCTAACTTTTCACCACCCTAGCGCCATGTACATTGTCTATGGATAAGCTGGAATATTAACTCTTCACTACCCTACGCTAACTTTTCACCACCCTACCGTCATGTGCATTGTCTATGGATAAGCTGGAATATTAACTCTTCACCACCCTAGAGCCATGTACATTGTCTATGGATAGGCTGGAATATTAACTCTTCACCACCCTACGCTAACTTTTCACCACCCTAGCGTCATGTACATTGTCTATGGACAAATGGTAATATTAATTCTTCACCACCCTACGCTAACTTTTCACCACCCTAGCGTCATGTACATTGTCTATGGATAAAGTGGAATATTAACTCTTCACCACCCTACGCTAACTTTTCACCACCCTACCGTCATGTACATTGTCTATGGACAAATGGTAATATCATGGAGTTACTAGCTTAGTAACTCCATGGTAATATTAACTCTTCACCACCCTACGCTAGTAACTCCATGCTTTTCACCACCCTACCGTCATGTGCATTGTCTATGGATAAACTGGAATATTAACTCTTCACCACCATACGCTAACTTTTCACCACCCTAGCGTCATGTACATTGTCTATGGATAAAGTGAAATATTAACTCTTCACCACCCTACGCTAACTTTTCACCACCCTAGCGCCATGTACAGTGTCTATGGATTATTAACTCTTCACCACCCTACGCTAACTTTTCACCACCCTTCCGTTATGTACATTGTCTATGGATAAGCTGGAATATTAATTTTTCACCACCCTACACAAACTTTTCACCACCCTAGCGCCATGTGCATTGTCTATGGATACACTGGAATATTAACTTTTCACCACCCTACGCTAACTTTTCACCACCCTAGCGCCATGTACAGTGTCTATGGATTATTAACTCTTCACCACCCTACGCTAACGTTTCACCACCCTACCGTCATGTACATTGTCTATGGATTATTAACTCTTCACCACCCTACGCTAACTTTTCACCACCCTAGCGTCATGTACATTGTCTATGGACAAATGGTAATATTAATTCTTCACCACCCTACGCTAACTTTTCACCACCCTAGCGTCATGTACATTGTCTATGGATAAAGTGGAATATTAACTCTTCACCACCCTACGCTAACTTTTCACCACCCTACACAAACTTTTCACCACCCTATAGCGCCATATTGTGCATTGTCTATGGATACACTGGAATATTAACTTTTCACCACCCTACGCTAACTTTTCACCACCCTAGCGCCATGTGCATTGTCTATGGATACACTGGAATATTAACTTTTCACCACCCTACGCTAACTTTTCACCACCCTAGCGCCATGTACAGTGTCTATGGATAAACTGGAATATTTAATTTTAGATTTAAATTTAGTACATGTAGAGAGGCGCGGATCCAGGGGGGGGGGGCGAGCGGGCCTTGCCCCCCCCCCCCCCCGAAAAAAAAAGGAGAGAAAGAAAAGAAAAAGAAGGGAAAGGGAAAGAGGAGAAAAAGGGAAAAAAAGAGGAAGAAGGAAAAAAAAGAGGGAAGAAGGAGATCGGGGGGGGGGGGGGCAAAAGGGATTGCCTCCCAGGCTGCTGCCCCCTCCCCCAATCAAAAAATAAAAGAGAAGGAAGGAAAGGGAAAGAAAAAAGGAAAAGATGAGATAAAGGGAAGGAAAAAAGAGGAAGAAGAAAAGAAAAGAAGGGGGATATCAGTTGCAATTTTCCCGATCGGGGGGGGGGGGGTGGAGGCAAAAGGTCCTTTGGGGAAATAAAATTCAAACGTGGTTTATTTCTAATTCCATAACGGTGGTTTACAAATAATGCTGAAATGACATAATTTTCCGAGATTTTTCATCACTTTTAAGTAAATTATACTTTTGTATGCATGCGTTTGTTGGAAAATGACAAATTCCTAAATTTACAGCCAGGCAAGAAAATGCTTCTTGAGATGCCTACATGTCAGGGCCCGCGGAACGGCGGGATCCTCGAGCCCCCCCCCCCCCCCCCCCCACTTTTTTTGAAAAAGTATATTAAAGAGAAATAGAAAGAAAGAGAGCAAGAAAGAAAAAATAGTTAACTGCCAGTGTCACATTATAATGATGTATCAAAATATGTTCATCTGACCATGATTAAATTAAAGGCCTGAAACCACGAGGGCTCAGCCCCCTGGATTCCACCTGGGCCCTAAGGCGGGCCCCTTGATACTCATCTGACCGTAATTGAGTGCCTAAAACCCATGAGTTTCCGGGGGCTCCGCCCCCTGAACCCCACGCCAATTAGTGACCTGCAAATGTGACAATTAGGTATCAAAATAATGCTCATCTGACCGTAATTAAATGCCTAAAACCCCTGAACTTCCGGGGGCAGACAAGGTATCAACATAAGTTCATCTGACTGCAGGCGCGTAGCCAGGGGGGGGGGGGCGGTGGGGTGGTCCCCCAAAAAACGCGTAGCGAGGGAGCGCGGGAGGGGGAACTGAATTCAGACGAAGAATATTTTCGAGAGCGGTACAACGAATCGTCTTCTTTCTCTAAAAATTAAATGAAACGTCGAAACTTCCGCGCTTCGCACGGGAGGGGGGAACTGAATTTAGACAAGGATTAAGAGTCGAGAACGGTACAACGAATCGTCTTCTTTCTCTAATGATTTAATGAAACGTAAAAGCTTCCGCGCTTCGCGCAGGAGGAAGAAAATAAATTCAGACGAGGATTATCTTCGAGAGCGGTACAACGAATCGTCTTCTTTCTCTAATAATTTAATGAAACGTCAAAGCTTCCGCGCTTCGCGCGGGAGGAGGGGGAGGGGGACTGAATTTAGACAAGGATTAAGAGTCTAGAACGGTACAACGAATCGTCTTCTTTCTCTAATGATTTAATGAAACGTAAAAGCTTCCGCGCTTCGCACGGGGGGGGAACTGAAGTTAGACGAAGATTAAGAGTCGATAACGGTACAACGAATCGTCTTCTTTCTCTAATAATTTTTTGAAATGTCAAAGCTTCCGCGCTTCGCACGGGGGGGAACTGAAGTTAGACGAAGATTAAGAGTCGATAACGGTACAACGAATCGTCTTCTTTCTCTAATAATTTTTTGAAATGTCAAAGCTTCCGCGCTTCGCGGAGGGGGGAGGGGGTAAACTCGCCCCTACTTGCACCCACCCTCTCCCAATTACGTCACTGCTGGTCACCATAACGTACCAATATTTGGCTCGCATGATTTCAAATTGCCCCCCCCCCCCCCCCTAAGAAATCCTGGATCCGTGCCTGCATGTAATGCTCATGTACCCCTTACAGCTCTATTTATTACCAAAGCAAGTCAATCATTCATTCAATAGCGTCTGACGGTCAAGTCTTAAAAGTAAACAGGTTTCCTTGCATAATTTGAATTCTATAGGACACTCCTGACAGATAGGACATACGTGACATATTCACAATTCCTGTTAAGTTCTTCAGACTTTCATGTTGGCTGAAAAAGAGATCATGGGGTTCAAATAAAACCTTTAAGAGATTTATTATTTCCGATCGGTGGGTTTATGTATAAGCAATTGCTTCACGAGGATGAACTGAAATAAACAGTTGCGATCCCCTTCTGTCGCCTATATAAATTAAAAAAATATATATAGTGCTTGATATGTAGACGGGTGAGATACTTTAAAGGTACTATGTCCCTTTTGCAGCCAACCTCAAATGCTGTAGAACTTTACAGGAATTATGAATATGTCATGTATGTCCTATCTGTGAAATTTAAACGTTAGCAGTGTCCTCATATTCAAATTATGCAAGGAAAACCATTTACTTGCTAGACTTCACTGCCAGACACTATTGAGTGACTGACTGGCTTTTTTTCTTCTTTGGTAATAACATACATGAAAAGAGTTGTAAAGGGTACATGAGCATTTGTCTACATCAATAACCCACTTCTTGTGATGGTCAAGATTAAACTGATTGAATCTTTGCGCAGCATAAAACGTTTGACCATTCGGTACAATTGTCTGAAAATCAAGACTATTACTTTTGGGCTCTATAGCCCTATTGTCGATTTGAACTAATAGTCATTATTTTCCCACTTGAAGACATTTTCAAGCCCCATCTTTTTTAGGGAAGTTCTAAATTAATATTATCTTTCAAATGCAGTTGGAATTTAACTTTTTCATTTTTTTGGCCTGCAAATGGGACATAG